ACAGCTCTGCTCCTTCAGCTCTGCTCCACTAGGGGAAAGTTTCCCCAGCAAAAGTGTTACAGCTCTGCTGTGTTTCCATTCTGGTGAAAGTTGTTATAGCTGAGCTCCGCTCCAGCAAAAGTGTCACACTGCACAACAAACCTCACTCAAACAGATTTTATTGGGAAGGAAAAATCCAGGAGGGTGGCTGCCTCTAGGGTGAGAAGCAGCGGCCAACTTAACAGGGTACAGAGCTTATATAGATTTTTATTTTTATTTATTTATTTGTTTATTTATTTTTTGAGGTGGGGAGGCTTTGCAGGGTGGCTTGGGATTGGTGGGTTTTTGTAGTCTGATTCTAGGGCAAGCTCAGGGATTGGTGGAATTCTGCAGCCTGACTCTGGGGCAAGCTCAGGGATTTTAAGCCCTGGTGTCAAGTCCTGGTCAGGGTGTTTTTCCTTGGCTCAGGTCTCCGGTCTAGTCAGGGTCAGCGTGTTTTTTTCCTTGGCCCTTTCCACCCTACACTGGGGTCCACACTCAGATTGTCAGGTGTGTATGTAGGCACTTTACCCATTGAGTCATCTTGATGGCTGGAGTTCTTTTCCTTTTTTTTTCCTCGAGATGAGGTTTCTCTGCAGCCCTGGCTACCATGGAACTTGCTCTAAAGACCAGGCTGGCCTCACACTCACAGAGATCTGCCTGCCTCTGCCTCCTGAGTAATGGAATTAAAGGTGTGTGCTGCCACCACCTGGCAAGGTTATTTTTCTTAATGGCCTGTGAGAGTTACGAACTTGAGTATCTTATATTTTTGTGGTATCTTATATATATATGTGTATGTGTATCATTTGATGTACAGATATTAAAATTTGAGTATTAATAGAATCTTTGGATGTTTTCCTTTGTAGTTTGAGTTTTGTGTCTTGTTTAAAATCATTTACTATGTTAAACTCAAATACTTCCCTCCAAATATTTTACCTAGTTTAGTTTATTTTTAGAACAGTAAAACGTTTATTAAAACAGTAAATTTCCAGACAAGCCATACAAAAGATCGTAGGGTTTTCTCTTTTGAAAAGGGCCATCAGTACTTGACAGCAAAGTCACGGTGTTACTAGTGAGGGCTGTAATGTTTACTTAATGTTTCTTTTGGTTTAAATAGTCAAGCCTGACCATTTAGAGCAGTGGTTCTCGACCTTCCTAATGCTGCAACCCTTCAATACCCTCATGTTGTGTGACCCCCCCAACCATGAAATTATTTTCTTTGCTACTTCATAGCTATAATTCTGCTACTGTTATGAATCATGATGTATTTACAATTCATAACATAATCTTTGTTTTCCAGTGGTCTTAGGTGACCCCTGTGAAAGGATCCTTTGACAACCCCCAAGGGGTCACAACCCAGAGGTTGAGAACTGCTGATTTAGAACATCTGAAATAAATTAGACTTGGCCAAAAAGAGCATCTTTTGTAGAACTGGCTGGATGCTTTTAGTGAGTGCAGTTAACTCATGAGTGCAATTAGCTCATGATGAGGATCACAGACACCCAATAGTTCTAGAACTCCGGGAGGCTGAGGTAGGAGGGTCCCTCACTTGAGTTCAGGGAGTTGAAATAGGACTAGGCAATATAAAGGGAGACCCTGTTTCAAAGGAGAATGCTAAAGGGATGGGTTCACAAAATAAAACTTCAGAAAAAGACAATCTTAAGCCTGCAGCCAGCTAGAGTTACCTTTATTCAGTGTTTTATGCTCAAATCAGGGAGGAGGAAAGGAATACAAGTCGAGAACTCTGCTTTAAAGATAAAGATTCGCCAATATATGTTTAATCACCACGGGTTGAAGTCTGGGGTTTTATTCTGTGATGCTTTGTGAGACAGTGCCCATTAAATGCAAACAAAAAGTGAAGATTTGGTAGGACAGAAGTGAGCGCCTAGATCTGATCAGTTTCAGTGCTGTCCATGGTCTGGTGCAAGGAAGCCTTGGGCTGAGGTCCTTTAGCAGAGCTATGCAGATATGTAGTGCTGGGGATCTCTTATCTTTCAAAGTGTGTCTACATGGTAAGCTTTGATTATGAAACTTACTTTAGCTGTTACTGGGTATTTGATAGTCCCCTTTCTCAAAGGGATAATCTTGGAAGCCAGCAATGACCGTGTGAAAATAATGTGTTCTTACCCGGTTCTGTTATATAATAGGCACTGGTTCTGCCAACAGCCATGGGGTTCCCTTGATGGTCCTTCGTATCAGCTGGCAGCCTGAGTTTGGCCCCTAGCCTTATCTCCTGCTTCTCTTTCTCAGTGGTCTGGTTTGCTTTTCAATATGACATGAGATGGGGAACCGCAACCTTACAGTCAGTTTGCCTAGGTCTGCCTTGTAACTTACCATTTTCTTACTGATTGGTAATGGCTTTCCTTGCTGCATTTTTATAGTGGTGTTAATGTTTTTAAATTCTGTAATTTTAATTGACAAAATTTATTATCTCTTCCATATTCACTTCAGTACCCTTGTTTCTAATTCTTTTCACTTGTTTACTCAACAAACCAATTACTAAAGAAAATAGAGCCAGCCACTCTGTTAGGCTTTGAGCTGTAGTTACAGAGTCCATAACCTTGGGGAGCTGACTTGGCAGTGGAGGAAAGACACAGTGGCCATTCGCCAGTGTGTTGGTGATATAGCTGCACTGTGTAGATACTTCATTGTACATGTGGGGTATGCTGTGTATGATGTGAGGGTTTCAGGTCTGGCTCTCCATTTTGTACAAATTAGAAGGCCTTAATGTCTGGATTTATAGATATTCAGACCACTTGCAGGGGCAACAGAAACTGGACTCCCAGGCTTTCCATTTGTGGTCCTTGGGAGCTCAGCTATGCCCAGCAGAAAGGTTCCCAATTTTCAGTCATTTTCTTGGAAATAAACACCTTAAAATAGAGTCTACCATTGTGTTCTGGGAAGTGCTGAAGATGACCTCTGTTGACTAAGGAAAGTGTCAGTATAGCAGAAGTTTCAGGCTGTTCCAGGTAGCCAAACAGCTTTAGTTCTGTAGACCTTCCTGTGTTTCCCTGACTTTGTCTTAGAGTTTCTGTTGCTGTGAAGAGACACCATGACCACAGCAACTCTCTAAAGGAAAACAGTTAACTGGGTTGCTCACTTACAGTGCAGATGTTCAGTCCATTATCATCATGGTGGGACATGGCAGGCAGACATGGTGCTGGAGAAGGAGCTGAGAGTTCTACATCTTGATCCACAGGCAACAGGAAGTGAACTGAGACACTGGGCATGGCCTGAGCATATATGAGACCTCAAAGTCCACCTCCACTGTAACACTTCTCCAACAAAGCCACACCTTCTAATAGTGCCACTCCCTAGGAGCTTATGGGGGCCAATTACATTCAAACTACCACAGGGTTGGGCTGGGGGCTGGGGAAGGACTGTGTTGTGCTGAGTTTTCCTAGAGATAATCTTTTCCTAATGGAGCTTCTATTTTTACTTTATAGAGGCAGCTTATTGCTGTAGCACTTCCTCAGGTTCCTATTTAACCCACTTTCTATGCTAATGTAGTACATGTACTTAGCTGTTTTTGTACCCTGTGTACTTGAGAATTCCCTTTTCTTGTATTTTAAGGATAGGGTTCTAGCTGGGAGGTGGTGGCGCACGCCTTTAATCCCAGCACTCGGGAGGCAAAGCCAGGTGAATCTCTGTGAGTTTGAGGCCAGCCTGGTCTACAGAGTGAAGTGAGTTCCAGGAAAGGGGCAAAGCTACACAGAGAAACCCTGTCTCGAAGAAACAAACAACAACAACAAAAAAGAATAGGGTTCTATAACACATCTTGGTTTCTTCATATACTGACTTTAAGTAGCATATGTTTTTCTATGATTAGAAATAATATATGGAATATATAATTAAAGTTTGGAAAAATAAATATGCTTCTTACATTTCAAATGACCCTCTGGGCTCTTATAAATGGTCTGAACTTCTTACTCAGTTTTTATTAAACTATCTGATTTTTTTTTTCTTGCCTGACTTCAGCAGTTCCTATATTTCAAAGAATCATGTGTCAGTAAATAATTTTGTGGGGCTGTAGAGCTGGCTCCATGGTTAAGAGCCCTGTCTGCTCTTTCAGAGGACCTGGGTTCCATTCCCAGCACCCAAATGTCTGTAACTCTGGCTCCTGGGGATCTTCTGGCCTCTGGAGGCCCCAGGCATGCATGTGATGCACAGACATACACATGCAGGTAAAACACCTATATACGTAAATTAAAACAATTACAATTGTTTCCTTGGAAAAAGAAGTCCTTTTGGGCCAGTGAAATAACTCAGAAGGTAAAGGCAGCTGCTTGAAGACTTGGTTTAATCCCTGGAACTCACAGAATAAAAGGAGAAAAGTTATTCCCACAGGTTTCTGTTAACCCACACGCTTGTGCTGCCATTACAAGCACATGACTCCTTATAATAAGTGTAATTAAAAAACTTTTAAGCCATTTTTGTACCTTGTGTGAAGTTTTCTCTTGACATCAGGCAGAGAAGCCTTTTCATTATTTTTGTGGAAGTTCTTTTATGGTGCTGTTTCTTTCTTCTTTTTTTGTTTATTGTTCGGAAACAGGGTCTTTACATAGCCCTGGCTGTCCTGGAACTCACTATGTAGACCAGGCTGGCCTTAACTTACAGAGATCCTCCTGCCTCTGCCCTCCCTGATGCTGGGATTAAAGGTGTGCGCCACCAAGCCCAGCTACTTAGTCATCTTTTCTGATTACTAGTTTCCAATTTAAAATACTCAATATTTGAATTGATCTGTGAACTCTTTAATCTACTCATAATGGAGGTGGAGTGTTCCATGATTTCTGGTGAAAATTGTCATTTTTTTTTGTCATTTAATTGGGCCATCCAAACAGTTTCCTGTAGTTGGGAGTTTAGCTAAGTGACCTGAAGCATTCCGTGGAACCTGGTGGCCACAGTGAAGAAGTAGATTAGCCCCTTTCCTTACCTTTGTAAATAGTGGTTGCATTCTCACGATGCTCTTCTTTCTTTCTTAGTGGAAGAGAAAGCCAATACCTACCTCCTCCTTGGCATGAGCTTAGACTCTTGTGCACGCTACCTGCTGTTCTCTGGGCATCTATCACAGGCACAGAGGATGTATGAAAAAGCCCTGCAGATTTGTCAAGGAATACAAGGAGAAAGACACCCACAGGTAAAGGAGGAAGGCAGTTCTGAGGAACAGTATATGTAAGCCAGGCCTGGTGGTGCAGGTACTCTGAAGATGGGCCTTAAGGTCACAGGTTCAAGGCTGCCTGGCCAAGTTAGGTCCCTTGTCAAAAGGAGAAAAAGACCAAGGGCTGGGTATATTTCGGTGGTAGAGAGCTTGCCTAGCATTGGTGAGGCTCTAGATTCAGCACCTAGTATCAGTTATGGGTGTGGCCAGGCTGAACTGCATGTGAGGGTGTAAAGGTTTATACACAGTCTGCTCACTTTCTTTCCACCAGCTTTCAAGTTCCCAACTACTTACTACTTGTTTCAAGGAGGGTTTGAGATTGCTGATCAGTCACTGGCTCTGCCTAGACCCTTTTACATGAGTTGTGGTTTACACAGTAGTCTCTTTGTACAAGGCAGGTCTAACCCAGTGTCTCCCCGTGCTGGGAACTAGACCCAGGGGCTTTGCACCGGCAAGTGCTCTACCACTGACCTGCATCTCTGCACACCAATTAGAAGCAACACCATAACCACTGCATTATAGAACCGCCTCCCGACCAGTCAGAGCCTAAGTAAATGTTAGGTAATATATGAGTGTCTTTGCCTCCTGGGTAACTGTGGGAGGTGAAATAGGGTCTTAAAGTTTTCTTTTTTTCTTTTTGACAGGACTAGGGATTAAACCTAGGGCCTCATAAATTCAAGGCAAGGGCTCTACCACTGATCCATGGCCTTAGTCCTTAAACAACTTTTAAAACCTCTATTACAGAATTTTGTATGGCTTTTCTTTTTGGTTTTTTGAGACAGGGTTTCTCTGTGTAGCTTTGTGCCTTTACTGGAACTCACTCTGTAGCACAGGCTGCCCTCGAACTCACAGAGATTCACCTGGCTCTGCCTCCCAAGTGCTGGGATTAAAGGCGTGCGCCACCACCGCCCGGCTATTTTGTAGGATTTTTCAAAGCAGGCAAAACAAAGCCTTGTTAGAATGCTAAACACAGAATTGAGATCATCTGAATGCCTGCAGCCCACCATATAAAACAGACAAGACCGAACATGGAATATTTAGGACTTAATTCCGAGAGCCCGAATGGCATGTCACAGTAAGAAGCAAACCTGAATTAGAACACCACCTCCCTCTCTCTTTTTCAAAGTCTTTTTTTTTTTTTTTTTTTGGTTTTTCTGAGACAGGGTTTCTCTGTGTAGTTTTGCGCCTTTTCCTGGAACTCACTTGGTAGCCCAGGCTGGCCTTGAACTCACAGAGATCCACCTGGCACTGCCTCCCGAGTGCTGGGATTAAAGGTGTGCGCCACCACCGCCAGACTCTTTTTCAAAGTCTTAAAGAGGACCCCCCCCCCCCCCCCCCATGCAGGTGATCTGTTTCGTCTCGGTGAGGCTCAGGATCATGGCAGGAATGCTGTTGCAATGCATTGTAATGAGGCGTACAAAGCACTCGGAATGCTGGCTTCTCACCCCTGCTTCTCACTCCATAATGTCTAGAGCGGACTATCCTGTTCCCATTCTGAGGCTTCACTGCTGGCCGTAGTGTGGGTCTGACACTGTCTGTAGTACAGTGTGGAGCCCCAGATCCCTGCAGTTCGCCCTCTATTGTGGAGTCCTAATGAACTTGAAGACATGTGTGTGCAGTAACAAACGTCAGGTTAACGTTCTGTATCGGTGTATTTGTAAAGAAAAGGCTGCTCTTTCTTCTAGACCATTGTGCTGATGAGTGACTTGGCTACTACTCTGGATGCACAAGGACGCTTTGATGATGCCTACATTTATATGCAGAGGGCGTCAGATCTGGCAAGAGAGATAAATCATCCTGAGCTGCACATGGTGCTCAGCAATCTGGCTGCCATCTTGACACACAGAGGTAGGTGGAGCTGAAAGGACTGGTTCTCAGAAGGGTATTGCTGGGCTTTGAGGTAAAACGGGTTTGGGGGGCAGGGGCAAATGACAGTGAAGAAAACCCTAATCAGTGGTTCTCAACCTGGGGGTTGTGACCCCTCGGATTAAACAGCCCTTTACAGGGGTCACCTGAGACCATCGGAAAACACAGATATTTACATCACAACTTGAAACAGAAGCAAGATTAGTTATGAAGTAGCAATGAAAGTAATTTTGTGGTTCGGGTCACCACAACATGAGGAACTAAAGATCACAGCATTAGGGAGGTTGAGAACCACTGCTCTAAGATAAAGGGCTGGCTAAATCAGGACAGAAAATGCATGTTAATGTACTATTTTGCTGAATTCACACACTTTCCATATCTCTGCACGACCATGTGAAGGTAGAGAATACTTTGCAGTGATGGGTTCTTGTCTCTGTAGTGCTTTACAGATTCTTAAATTGTTTTCACAGGTACAGTTCCTCAGTGCTCTGAAGCCTCAATATGATACAATACTATTTCCTGCTATTCCATATTACTCAGGGTTTCACCTGATGTTTCCATAAACCTGGGATTATAGGCCTCTATTGCATGCACCACAATTGTGAAATCTTTAAAGGGCATTAGTGGTTCCGTAGCACTAAGTTCCCTAGAGCTGACTGACACCCAGGTTCATCTTGAGACCAGTTGTCAAGCACGAATGACAGACAGCACTAGGTGTCATTCACCAAGCACCCGGTGATCAGACACTTGCCCTCACTAGTAGTGGTTTCTCTTCAGTCACTTTGAAAACACATTTTCTTCTCCCCTTTCTTTGGGTTATTCTAGAGCGATACACACAAGCAAAAGAGATCTACCAGGAAGCACTGCAGCAGGCAGAGCTGAAGAGAGATGAGGTTTCTGTGCAGCACATCAGGGAAGAACTGGCTGAGCTGTCGAGAAAAAGTAGACTTCTGACTTAATTGTTAAGATGTTAAGTTCATTTTGTTGCAGAGGGTAATTTCTGGTAGCCCAAAGGAGTGACTGTTCTTCAGTGTCGGGACCCTAAGCAGAGATGTGAATCATTGTTGAAATTCAGCTTTCTTCAACTCAGCCTCGGTGAAGGACAAGTTGTATACACTGCCACGTTTGTTTTTAAATTTAGTTTACTTTGAGATGAGGTGTTGGCCTCCAACTTGGAGTCCTCCTGCCTCAGTCCCCCAAGTGCTGGGACTGTTGATAGGCAGGTACACTGTGCCTGGCCCTCCGTTTGTTTGTAAAGGTGCAGCAGCCTTCACCCTGTACTGACTGACTTCTGAGGGCTTGATGTGAAGTAAGTGGTGTTTTCCAGTGCAGCACGTAAGGGCCGTCCAGCCTGGTCTGAGAAAACTAGATTAAGTGGCCAAGTTCTCCACGTGTGGTCATTACACCTTCCGTAAGATTTTGGTTCATACTTTCTCTTCTCTATCCATTTCTGGCAAACAAGTTACTTGTCTGAAGGCACAGGAGGATTTTGGTAAGTTCTCTTACAGTCTTTTATTGAAGCATTGTGAGATTTAATGAATATGGGGGAAATGAGAATTCTAGTTGGCCGCAGTACGGAGCATTAGCTTCTGAAGTGGAAGTTAGGCCCTTAGTCTCCTGGTTACATGTAACAACTAAAAATGGTGGTGGCAGAAAGAAGGAAGCCTCTCATCAGTGCTGTCTTAGCCCTGGGCTTCCTTTACAGTCACAGTCACCTAGTAGAGTTGAGCTGAACCCAATACTAATACTGACAGCACTGATGTGTACCATTGGCAGTATGGAACCGCTGACCTGGATCCTACTTAGCTCTGGCTTTTTACTTTGCAATCTCTGTATTTACGCTGTGAAGTGGGAAACCAATTAGATTCTTTTTCTGATGACTTAAAATGAATCGACTGTTATGTTAAAAAAAACATTATCACTGCTTCAGAGTACATACATACAAGTTAACATGGATGGATGCTTTTACCTGAGAGAGAAGACAATTTTTCTGGGTGCCATGAAGGAACACTGGTGGTGTTGGCATTTCATGGAGGTGGGCGACGTGAGTAGGACTGGCCAATGGACTTTTGGTTCATATGTTTGTACTGGGAGAACCTTCATAATAAACTAGAGACTATGTAATATTGTATGTATTCTAATAATCTTTGAATCATAGAAAAGTAATCGACTGAGTTACTAAAAGGGAAAAACCCTAAGGTCCAAATCCTCGGACTTAGACCAGAGTTGTGTGTTGTGCATTTACCACTCCCTAGTTCACCACGTATTGACCCATTAACCAAGAATAACAAGAGATAAGATTTCAATCACTTCTTGCTTTGAGAATGTTTTACTGTTTCATAATTCCAGAGTTAGGAAAAGTAAAGTCTTAGGATTTTGAATCCTCCATAGTGATTCACCTCATGGTCCTGAGGCTGGGGAGGCTGCAATTTGCAGATAGATGTCTGATATGCATGTTCCCAGGAGCGTTCTTTTGCACTGTTATAAAAAAGGCAGTGAGACAGAGGGACTGATCGCCTTTTACTGATTACAACTTTAAACAATTTACATTTAATTTCATATTAAAGTTTTGAACTACACCATGTTACTGGAGTTTTCAGGGAATAAGTGTATGTAAGACAAAAATCACAGCATATGAAAATTTAAAGTGTAGTATAAAATTTCTCACTAAATAGACTGGAAAGTTGTCAGAATATTACCTCTACTGGAAGACCTTGATTTAGTTGTATGTGCATGTGTTACAGATATAGTGTTGGCCCACAAAATGCTACACCTTGATTTGTAGCTGACTTCATAATCTCAGTGCTTGCTTGCTCCCTCCTTAGTAGTATCACGGTAAGGCGTACCTCCACCTCTCTAGGTAAACTTTGTGAGGATCTTGTTCTAGTTGTTTTGAACTAAGAATTGATGCTGGATTTCGTGTTGTGGTGAGCATGGAGCAAGCTAGGCTCATCTGTCCTAAAGTGAACCCAACCCGGAACGGCAAAAGACCCTTAGGGTCAGTCATCATCATCATCTTTCGGGCCAGTTGGCCAGATGATTTACTAAGTTCTAGGCTATTACTGGAACTTGGCAGGGGGTGGAGGGGGTGGGCTTTCAGCAGTAAACTTAATCAAACACTTAGTCTTAGTCTTCATTATGTTTATGATTATTGTAAAGGTACACTTTGGACACTTGTAAACTTTACAAGTGATAAGAATCCTATCTCACTGTGTAGCCTTGGCTGGCCCAGAACTCATCTTGTAATCCAGGCTACCCTTGTACGTTTAGTGGTGTGCCTGCCTCTGCCTTCCAATTGCTGAGATTAAAGGTGTGTGCTACCATGCATGGCTAAAGTTTATTTTAAGATCTCAAATGTCTGTCTTTGTTACTTGCTAAGGTATATGGGCAAATTTGAGCCTGTGTCTTCATCTATAATAAAAAAAAGGGGGGGGGGGTTCGAAACCAGTGGTACAGATGCTAAGGGGGGGCTCAGGCAATGGCTCTAGGGACTTGAGTCTACAAGTTCTGGTCTCCTGAAAAGTCTGTGACCTCTTTTTCCCTCCAGTTCTCGATGACATTATCCCCAAACCACTAAGTATCTGTGCAGTAGAAGAAGCCTGAACACCAAGATAAAGCTGTGTGAAAGCAAATCTTAGAAACACAGCAAGCAATTCTTAATAAAAAAAAGTCATCCTCCAGTACCATAATTAGTTTAAAATTCAGTCTTTAAATTACTTGCACCTTGACAACAATTTACTGGTGTTCTGTAGAAGCAGAGTGGGCACTGACATAGAGATAGAAAAGGACTATATTCAGTGGTTAGTTCAGGATGCAGCATAAAACAAGCCTGGAAGACCACAGTTCTGTACAGATTGTTATCTTTTTAACTCAGCCAGATATGTATCCAACTAAAGAAAAGTGTGTGTGTTTCTTGTTTGAAACCTGAGACATGAAGACCCTTAGGTCACAAATGATAGACTGTAGCTATGGACAGGATAGTCAAATTTATTTCAGAACAAAAGCTTTGTTGGGCTGCATCAAATGCAGAATACTTAGGGGCATGGTCAAATTACCAGTGTGCATAAACATTGACGTATGCCTCAAATAAGCCTTTAAACTTTAAAACTGAACTATAACATACCCATGCAGTAATATTTTTTTCAGTGCTACTAATGAAGAAAGTAAAGCCCGCACTGGAAACTCCCAACATACAGTTCTGTTGCTCCTGCACGTAGACCTCATTCAGGCTTCATGACAGGGTATGTATTAAAACCTAAACATTTTCACAAGATTGAAACATTCCCAGGAAAGTTGAATTTAGTGGAAACAGAAGTACAATGCCCATGACAGCCAGTACTGTGTAACTGTGCTGCGTGAGGTGGTTTAGAAGGCTGGGGTTAAAAAGATAGACAAAGAATTTAAAAAATGACCCCCAATGTTGATGTGCTGATTTAAATTTAAGTACACCAGATGCTACAGCAAGGGGATACACTGCAAAAAGGTCATCTATTTACAGAAGGGCGATTTAAAGACATCATGGTTTTCTTTACAAACAGATGTAAGAACAGGAATTGTCCACTTTTAAAAAACTCTACACTTCAACCTTCCACTGTTATAATCCACTGAATTGCCTGTATGGAGGCAGGTTTTTTGTTGGTTTTGTTTCCCATTTGATTTTCCAAATGAATTTACATCATTTCTTCTTCATCTGTGGCCCTGGCTCCTCTGAGAAGTCTCTGGGCACAAATCATAGGAGAGCAGAAATTCTTTTTTAATCTGTACTTCAGACCAAAGCCAGCGTTCCCTCCTGTGCACAGGTCAGTCGTCACTATCGGATAGTGTCTCATACTGCGCGGAGAGCAGCGGGGCAGGTTCTCGCTCCCAGATGCGGTTCTGCTGATGGGGAGCTGCTTGGCTGATGGCAGATGGGGCACACGAGATCGGTGTTGGTGGTGTACTGCTGAGCATCCGCATGGTCAGAGGGTTGTAAGGGAACTGGGTAGATCCTGACAAGAGGAAAACGAGATGTCTAGTGTCATTAGCATCTAATGCAGTGTTCACAGGATGGAACAGGGCAGGGGTATTCTAGCAAAATGGTCTTGTGATGCCTTGAAAACAATGGCAAGGAAAGGCCAGTGATCAGTTTAATTCTAAAAAGGATAAGACAAGTAACCACCTAGGTAGGGATAAGTCATGCTTCTCCATGGGGAATCGAAGTACAGAGCTACTGAATATTAAGCTCTAATTAGGAGCCTACCACCCATACTAGTAACTTTCCACTAGAAATCAGAAATGCTGCTCTCAGAACATGGCAAGTATCCAGGAACCTTAGCCAGGCTCTATGCAATCTCACTAGGCTGATTTAAATGTGTATGAGATTTAAAATGGGGTACATTAACGAGAGTACCACTTGTCCTGTCCCCACAGTACCTCCTATCATTTTAAACCAAAGCATAAAACATGCATTTGTTCAAGTCCTCTTCTGGTCTAAAAAAAACTCCTTCCCTAAAGTAAAGTAATGAGGTGAGAAAACCACTGGGGGAAGGGAAGGGGGATGGGGATGAGGAAGGTTACAAAGTTCCCCGACACACTTGTGTATGTTGTGTGCTAACCTCCGCTAATGTGTGTATGCTTCTCTAAGAGATTGCCAGTACATACACATTTACACATGCCACAGAGGATTAAAAGGCAGAAGCCTTGAAGTGTACACGTTTAAGAACTATGAAATTGTTAGGCATACAGGGAACCCACAAGGGGAAAAAAATACAATTCTCTGAAACTCTAAAATCTACAGCAGATATGCCAGTCTTAATAAAAAAAAATGATTGTTTTTGAAATGACATTTAATTCTTGTTTGTATTGTGTATAACATGTAGGTGGAGGTCAAAGGTCAACTTTCAGGAGACAATTCTTCCTAAACGTTTATATGGGTGGACTGAACTTAGGCCATTAGGCCTGCAGTTACTTTACACTAAAGCCATTTCATGATCTCACTGACCCCTACAGTTATGTGATTAAAAGCACACATGCATGTGAGACATTGTGGAGAGGTAAACCTACAGACAGAATAGCTTTTGTTAAAACATTACACTTCCTAGTTCTGGTTTTGATTACTTAGTAAAAGCTAAAGGCAAGTCACTACAGGTGACATTTCATCTGGGTACAGTCCATGGAAGAGCTGAAACCAGACTTATTTGCAAATATTGGTTACCAACCAGCATAGTGGATGTATGGATCACATAAATATAAAATCTCTTGTAGAAAGTAGGGCCAAGTAATGATAGAGAAAACTACAGTTCTGTGGGGCAGTGGTGGCACACGTCTTTAATCCCAACATTCGGGAGGCAGAGGCAGTTTTGGGAGGCCAACCTGGTCTACAGAGTGAATTCCAAGACAGCCAAGGCTACAGAGAAAGCCCGACTCAAAAAAAGAAAAACTACAGTTCTTGCCCAAACCATAACATCTATTCAAAAGCAGGTAATATTAGCAAAGCACTAACATAAAAATGACATCTAATTTATCAGTTAAATGAGGCTCCTCAACACTCCCCACCTGTGGAAGAGGGCCTGTCTTCCCAGGCCCATCCTGGTGTCTGCCTGTGGTAATCACCTTCTGAATGTACAGAGGAGACTGAAGAAGGTCGTTCAGTTCCTAAGTAGCTTTGCCCAGGAATAGGAGATTTAGACTTTCGGCTGTTTGACTTGTTGATCAGCTTTGGTTTGCATACTCCTAAAAGTGAAATTCAAGTTCCTATGTTAACTCCAGGTAATCTCAGTGACAGCAACAAAGCCTCCCAAAATGCTGATTATGGAACACCGAGTGAAAAAAGCAGCGGTAGCATGGAGAATCCAGATCCTGTGCTCAACTAAGGATGCAAATTGTCTTTTAAGGAGCGGGTAGGGCACATCATCCTGTAAACTTAAGAGCATGGTGACTGCTGGCCTTAAGAGTGTGGGTAATAAACGTCTGCTCCCCTCTCCCTCACCTCAATTTAAAAGAAGTAAATGGAGGACTTAGGCCACTCAAGTGTGTAAAGAACAGGCTACAGCAGATATGCCTTCTACTCCAGGATCTCAGCAGATACCCCAAAGTTCACAGCACTGGGACACACATGACTGGGTTCTATGACAAAATATTTAAAGAACCACATCACTTAGCATATTTTTTTATCTTAGCCCAGCAGTTTTATCCTACCCCAGTTGTAAACAACCAGTATCATTTTAACTTCCTAATAGTTGCCAAGTGATCTTAAAACACAGAAATATACCACCAATAAAAATTAGAAGGGCAGAATTAAGACTTCACTTTCTAGAGTAGTTGATACTGTCTTCAAGGTTACTACGTGTTAAGTATAGGGCAGGGAGAAGAAAACACCAAACATTCATTTGTTTTAACCCTTTCCTTAACCACAAAGATTTTTACCTGAAAACAGGAAACAAACCTAAAAACAAACCATAAAGAGATAACTTGATATAAATACTGAAAGCATAGTGTTCCTAAGATTTTTTTTTGTTGGTTTGATTCATAGGTTGTAGATGATCTCACACTAAATACATATCTTGCGTTTGCAAAAAACTTGACTAATTTCTATTCATCCGATAGCTTTGTGGGTTCAAGCAAATCTTTAAAAAAAAAAAAAAAATTCTCTTGTCTGAGATGTGTGGGGTAGGGATGCAGGTATCAGTTCTTCCTTCTGTCCTGCTGGTACTAGGGATCAAGCCCAGGTGGGCAGCATTGGTGGCCCATGCCTTTGCCACCAAATGGGGCAATGTGGGGTTTTTAATCCCTTTCTGTGGCTTGCAGCTACATTGAGATTTGGTCATATTTATCAGAATAGTAAATGACATAGCACACAAAACACACTGGGGCTGGAGAGATGGTCAGGTAGAAAACTCAAAACACGAGTTAATAAGAACATTTGTTACTCTTACCCAGGGGCCCCAGGTTCAATTCCCAGCACCCACATGGTGGTTCACAACCTTCTGTAATTCCAGTTCAAGTGGATCCAACACCCTCTTCTAGCACAGGAGTTCTCAGTGATCCATCAGAACACTGAAATAAAAACCTTACCTGAATGAGGTGATGGGTCCCCTTCATCTCTCCGAGTCTCACTGCTGGTCACAACTGAGGTACTGGCACTACCAGGCACAATTCCCACAGGTTGGGGCATGACAACACCATGATCTTCAACTTTATCATCGAAACTTCCCATGAGAGCCTTTCTAATGATGTCTTCTAGACCAAGATTACTGGCAGGATCAGCAAAAGAATGGCTTCTCGAGCTAACTGCACCTGGAGAGACAAGGCGGCAGTGGACTGCTGCTTGTTTCTGAGGCAGATCATGGCACAGGGAAACAGGGAAGAGAAAGGAACCCTGGGCTCTTGCAGCAGTCAAGACACTGCCATGATGCTGAGACCTTTCATGGTGAAATGCAGCACCCATCAGATCATTCCACTATCTCTGTTGTGCTCACTTGTCAGCACATATTTAGGACTCTTACCTGATGTAGTAACTGCGGGCAGATTGAAGATCTCAGTTCCTGGCTGCGCAGCTGCTGTATTCAAACAAATCTTTAGGTTAATTGAGATGAGATAATCATGATACAAAGACTCAAGAAATTCTAGAATAAAGTTAACCCTTTGATTTTCTACATTTCATTTATTATGTAGAAATGAAATGAAAATACCTTTCTTGGGGCAGGGAGGCTATTAAGGAAAAAATCAGGTCAGGTAGAAAACTCAAAACACGAATAAGATAATTCACAAAAGAGGAAGAGATGTTACATTGCTGAGGGCAAAGCAAACAGGAAAAAGTCACTGGCAGAACAGGAATCCAGGTTTCCTAGGGATGAAGGCTTGGACTTCAGACACCCCTGAAAAGTACCAACAGTCCAGTTTGAGAGTGTTTAAAAGCCACCTCAGTGGATGGATACTGTGGAAGCAACTTGCTACCAGGGCGAAGTGGGAGCTTTTTTATACTCGGGATATTCCCTGAGTAAAAAAAAAAAAATTCTGCCATGATCCATCATTAAATCCCAGTAACTATACAATTAATAATTTGCAACTTGAATAAAAAATGAAATGAAAACCACCATTCTGTGCCAGAAGAAGGGACCTGGAGACATAAGTTGTTTCTATCACTTATTTGCTGCTGAGAATGTTAAAAGGAAAAAACAATTTTGGAAGTAAGAAGGTGCCTGAATAATGATACCTGAGCACTGTACACTATGGGAGGATAGACTTGCCTAAGGATTAGAGCCATTTACGAAGAGCAAATGTGCCTAGAAATTACCATTCTTGATCAGAGCAGTTGACAACTGACTGGGGGGAGGTCGGCACTAACAGCAGGACTGTAGAATAACGACTACAGGCAGTCTGACTTCCAGAGACATGCGACACAGTGGGCAAAGTCAGCCTGAAATAACAGTTGGTAGAACTTACTCAGTGAACCATTACTGACTGAACCAGAAGAGACTAAAAAGCAATAAAAGATGACCCCATGAGAGAGGATGTGGTAGCACATGTACGCTCAGCACTTGGTGGGCAGAGGCAGGAGGATCTCTGTGCCAGAATTAGAGACCCTGTCTCAAAAGATCAGATGACTGTAATTCAAACAGTTCTAATCCCAAACACTCCGAACGTGACCTCTCCCTTCCCTGAGTGTACAGTTACGTGTGCTGCTTTCATGTATAGATCAGAATGACCTGGCAACTTAGTAAAATGCCACTTTCTACTTGTTTTTAAAAATACAGACAGGGTCTTATGTAGCTCTGATTGTCCTGGAACTTTATGTAGACCAGGCTGGCCTCAAACTCCCATTTTCTAAATTCCCAGGGCCTTATAATTTGCATATTAATAAGCCCTCAGAGAGTCATGGTGCAGTGTGAGGCCTCCTTGTCTTAAAGAAGATGTGACAATTGCATATAAATGATAGGGAAGAAAACACCTGAGACCTGACTTAACAGGGGAGGATAAGGAAGGAATAGATTGAAGTTATGTGGTTATGAAGAGCAGGAACTTCCTGTGGGGAGCGGAGTAAATGTTCAGTTTTAGAAAGACCCAGGAATATACTCTAGATAAAATGAAAAGCTGGGCTGGATGGTGGTGGCACTCACCCTTAATCCCAGCACCTGGGAGGATCTCTGAGTTTTGAGGCCAGCCTGGTCTACAAAGTGAGTTCCAGGACAGTCAGGGCTGTTACACAGAGAAACCCTGTCTCAAAAACAAACTGGACTTCAGACACAAATTCAAAGGTTTCCAGTATGAAATTCAGTTTTAATGCCCTAAAATTAGTGTTCAAGGGAAAAGGTGTTGAGAGCCCTGAAGAAAACAAGGGCCAGGCTGAGCTAAGGAAGCTAGAAAGGGCTGACAGAGACACAACCTGAGGCAACAGAAGGGCTAACTCTGCAAAGATGGCACCCTGTCACACCTGGGAAGCCACCAGTGAAGTGAGTGCTTAAGAACAATGCCACTGTTCTGTCCCACAGGAAAACAAATTGAGATACTGAGTCGAAGCAGTTTTCTTGGCTTGGTGGCTTTCGGGTTTTCAGCTCTATTTCCCAGTAAGAAGTCAATGATGCCTTAGAACCACTGGTTCTTTAATATAAATTCCTTTTTCTATAGCCAGAGCTCTTACAATAAAGAACAAAACAAACAAAAAAAATCCCAGGTTCTTGGGGCTAGACAGATGGCTCAGTGATTAAGTGCTCTTCCAGAGGATGTAGGTTTGATTTCCATCATCCATGACAGCTTACAGCCAGCTGTAACTCCAGTCTCTGGGGATACAACATCCTCTTCTGTCCCTTGTGGGCACTGCATATGTGGTATACAAACATGTGGGCAAAAACACCCATACACAGAAATTGAAAAATAAAGTAATTCCAGACTCTAACACAATTTTGTTAGTTTTGGCCTTAAAACTCCAGCACACTATCTCCTATCAGGTAACTTTTACAAAACACTTGTGACAGCCTCCCCACCCGCCATCAACATAGACCTCAGTTTAGTAAATGCCTGCTGAATGACCAGTTTGCTGAGGACAGTGTGAAAATCCCATCAAAGGAAAAGCTATCAAGTAGTCTTCATGAACTTCAGCATGCTCTGTCAAGAATTTCCTCCCCACTAGTCAGTCAAGACAAAGCTAGAGAGGGTGACAATGGTCCCCAACAACCTGCCATCCCTCAGCCTGTGTGTCTGTATGCTTAGAAAGGGCATCTCGGGGCTGGAGAAATGGCTCAGAGGTTAAGAGCACTGGCTGTTCTTCCAGAGGTCCTGAGTTCAGTTCCTGGCAACCACATGGTGGCTCACAGCCATCTATAATGAGATCTGGTGCCCTCTTCTGGCGGGCAGGGGTGCATGCAGATAAAACACTGTGTACATAATAAATAAATCTTAAAAAAAAAAAAAAAAAGGCATCTCTAAGTTAAGAGACTACATGAGAGCACCGAAATGTTTTGTTGGTGATTTTTGAAGAATAGAGGCAACTGTTGAGGACCGGAGATCAAGGGCCTCCTCAACATCATTAGAAAACCAAGGTAGTGTTTCTACTGATGGGGTAGGTAAGCTTAGTCACTCTGTAAGTCTGACAGTTCTGGTCGGCATTCTACAATTGGTTGCTACTTAAAAAGAGAATCCAGGGTATTCCTATCTTGAAACCCCTTCTACTCTTGGGAGTTACTGCTCACTTTTCTATAATCTATATTTACTGTGCTAAGATGAAGAAAAGGGAGGAAAGATACATCTAATAATTTAGAGATAGAATAGGTTCACAATGAGTGATGTGGGTCTCTCTCATCCTTTTCACCATTCAATAGAGAGCAGCATGCAATAAATATTAATCACAAGTGGTAGAGATGTAATTACACACCTGTCTGGCAGTTCAGCTTTAGAGCCCAGAATTTCTTTTGACAGGGTCAGGATACTAGCAAATCATAGATCAGAGACAAGTCTCTCTAGATTCTCTATCATTGGTTAATAAGACTGGCTGGCAAGTGATGGCGGCACATGCCTTTAACCCCAGCACTCGGGAGGCAGAGGCAGGTGGCTCTCTGAGTTCGAGGCCAGCCTGGTCTACAGAGCTAGTTCTAGGTCAGCCAGAGCTGTTACACAGAGAAACCCTGTCTTGGGAAACAAAATAAAACTGGCTGGTAGCAGAGGACATGCAAATGATAGTACAGCAGCGATCTGCTAAGAGCAAGCACATCAGCCCAAAGGAAAGCAAGGGTCTGCCACACAGTTTTATGGAGACATACATTCCCGAACAACCTTGGGGACTGAGCACTGTGAGTCCTGAACTGTTAGAGGGTACATCGGTGGAAGCCAAGATTCAGGTTGGAATGCTTGGTTGGAGTTCCAGCCCTGTTACTTCTTGGGCAACCTTCATCAGTTATTAAATCTGACTCAATTTCCTTTCTCATTTATAAAATGGAGATAATCACATGTAACGTGCACCAAGCATGCTACTTAATCTTTTCCTACATTAGTTTGTCACAGGTGCATCTGTATGCCACAGGACTGCACTGAGGCCCTTGGGAGTCGGTCAGGTCCTGGTAAGTTAGAAGACAGCCAGGACAAGCAACTATAAATCATCCTGTCCAATATCCAGAACTAGTAGTTCCCCAAACCCCAGGGAAGAGGTGGCTTCAGAGTAGCGCACTGACACTTTGATATCTGTTTTTCGGCACAGTGTCGTGTTGCTTAGCTGTTCAGGTTGCTAATGGAAAGATATTCTTACACTATAGTTATAATGATAAGTTTAAGACAGATATCATTTATTTGAGTTACTCAGAAGACTTTCAAAAGATAAATAAATTGAGATAATATACTTAGAACAAGAACATGAAGAATGATTGATAAAACAGGACTTAGAGGCAAGACTCATGAAAAACATGCTTTTCAAAATTTATCTGAAGAACTGTTATGTGGAGATGGCTCAAACAGATGAAAGTAAAACAAATGGGTGGGCTTTAAAACAAGACACAGACATCAGTAAAAACCCACACAGAACTAACTTAGTTACAAGTAAAGAAAGCTGTGCCCTAGACCCAGCATTAGTTCCCCATGAAGATGGATGGCTTCAGAAACACCCAAGTTCCTGTCTCCTAAGAAGGACCTACTTGCGAATTTGCCAACATTGTATAGATCAAGATGCTCTATAAAAACCTTCAAACTCAGGATTATAAAAAAGGCAACGTTGGAGATAGCATTGTTAATGCATGTTTTATTTGGGGTTCATGAAAGAAATCCCACTTACCCATATCAGAGTCACCTCCACCAGAGGAGTTCAACTTACGAAAAATTTCCTGCTTCTTTGATTTAACCATGGGTGATGTGCTTTCGAGCTTGGTGAAGAATGAAGGCAAGTAGCTTATACTTCCTGGTGATCGAGAATCATTCCTGTCAGGAACACAGTTCAGTCTGTTAGATTCCTGCACTCCTAACCCTGAGAACATTCCTTTTAATAACAGGTATAGAGTACTCAGAAAACTACTGCTTCCCCAATCTGTGTTTGCTACCAGCCTAGGAAAGAGCATGTGACCATAAACTCGTTCAGAAATAGTCAAATGCTTTTTGGCTCTGAAAGATAAAACAGCAGAATTCGTATTAGGATGAAGATGATCTACAGCATAGTTTATTTATTTATTGGTTTTTTTGAGACAGGGTTTTTTGAGACTATGTAGCTGTGACTGTCCTGGAGCTCTGTAGTCCAGGCTGGCCTGGAACTCACAGAGATATGCCTGCCTCTGCCTTCCCAGTGCTGGGATTATAGGTGTGTGATACCATGCCTTGTTAATCTACAGCACAAATTCTTAAGGAATAAAATGGCAAAGTATTAATTGGAAAACTTAGAAACAGCTTATCAAGTTAAGCACAAACTATGGTTATATACGCTAGGAACTACTTTACTAGCAACATTCTTTAAGTATACTAGTTGTGACTAATAACACTCCTACCTGTAAAATAACAAAGGCTCATATCTAGCCAAGCAGTTGGACTTCAGCAAAATAGCTGCAGTATCTACATAAAATTGCCTAATCATTTTAAGATAAACAACAGAGGAACTGAGTTTTAATACAAAGAATTTCATATTTCACTGGTAGCTTCCTATACTCAAAGTTTAATAAACTTCCCCTAACAGAGATGGTAACAGAACATATTGTTGACAATACTATCTAGTCATATGTATTCATTCACCACTTAAACACAAAAACACTGTGAAGAAAGACAAAAAGAAGACATGATCCCTGTGCATAAAAATTCAATTTGGGAAAACATGAATATATGATGATTTTCTCCCTCATTTCATTGAAGGTAATAGCATGTATGATGTTGCCTACAAATATGTAAAATTAATTCTCAGAAATTCATCAGCAGTCTAGAATTAGAAAGACCTGTTTTAAAACTGGACTCTCCTCTCCCTACCAGCCTTGGCCACCATCAAATCATGTATTTGTCCCTTGGCATTAAAGGGTGTTAATGCCAAGAAAACAGTGTGACTCTCAAGAAAAGAACTCAGACAACAGAGAATACAAGGGAATACAGCAGGAAATGAAGCTTTGTAAGCCTGGTCTTGGAACAAAAATGCCATGCTAGTGACTGAATGCTTTTCTCAATGAGTCTTATGTCTACCTACTCTGGTGAGGTAGGACAAATGCAGGGCAGTTAGTCACTCAGGTCAAAGTAAGGGTTAGAATGAGGTGAGAGGCCAACCTAAGACACAGTGCCTGTGTGGCCTGGGCAGGCGTCTCCATGACGGGTAAGGTGACCTGCTGACATCCCATGCAACCTAAGTCAGAAGCTCATTTTTTAGTAAAAGGGGGACCTGTAGGGCCCTGCCCCCCCCCCCCCCCCCCCCCCCCCCCCCGTTTTGGGTAACTGTTGCCTTGCTTGCTGACCTTGACCTTGATATCTTCCCTATGCTAATTCCCTGCGGGTTCTACCCTCCTGAATGCTTAAGGGAAGTTCCTTGTCTGTGTATCCTGCATAATGGGCGTTAACAGCTTAGATGCAAGATGGTAAAACATCTGTAGCGAACTTCTGCCCTCCAGGGTTCTCCCATTGTGCTGTAAGCCTGTATTCAAGACCTCCTCCCTCCTTCAATAAACGGCATTCGGCATTTAAAAAAAAAAAAAGAATGAGGTGAGAGGAAAGTCTACAAGGCACAATCTATACAGTCCGAAACACTTAATATAGGATGCATACTCAAATGCTGGCTGAACCACCACCACCACCTGCTGCCCAAAGGGTCTAGAAGGAATAACTTGCAGGAGTAATGATGAAGTTTCTCTAACTTATTTAATGTGATACTTTGGCTAACATCTAGTAGTATGAGCTCATGAGGAAAATATCCTTAGATGTTCTTCCCAGAGTCCTAGTCTGATAGAAAGACCACAAAGAGGAAAGTCTTAGGCACAGCATACCCACCTCTGCTCGGCAGGCTCCGCCCCCCTCTGTGACAAGAGCAGCATGCTGTCCTGCTTCTCATGCACAGCAGGGACCTGCGGTGGGGAGATGGGCTCATAGGGCTCTGACGAGATGTGACTCCTCTCTGGAGATTTCCCAGGCCTGCTGGGGTAGAAAATGCAGTTTAGGTTGTACTCCAGGGTCACCGCTGATTCAATGTTTGCATTTACTACATATAATTCCATAAGTGTATTTGGTATTTCCTTCCCCAATCAACCCTACCCTGTTCTTAAAATCATGACAGTTTTTGAGGTTGATCTACGAACCTTAAACCTTGCATCCATCAATACCCACATGTAGGAGAAAAAAAGCCTGATTGATCTTCATGGTTTGTCCTTTACAGCTGAACCTTTAGTTTACATATTTTAGTTTTACATATCATACTTACCATTTTATGTATTTCTTAAATGTCAAAATAAACACACATATCTTCCTATCTCTTCACCTCAGTTACCAGCCATTTCCATATGGCTCATGATGCACATTCTATTCTAAAACTGCCAGAACAGCAAAATGGATTATGTAAACATTTTGAATGATAAAATCAGGTAATTTTACTAAGAGCAATGAAAGAAACTAACCTTCCTCATTCAGACTCACAGATGTAGGTTATAAGTGGAGAAGGCAATTGGAATACCTCTTCATAAATGTCAATTGTTCCAAACCTGCTACATAGTATACAGTTTTCTGCCTTGTTTATTATTTATTTATTTATTTATGGTGTGTGTGTGTGTGTGTGTGTGTGTGTGTGTGTGTGTGTGTGTGTGAGAGAGAGAGAGAGAGAGAGAGAGAGAGAGAGAGAGAGATTGTTTTTCAGGTTAATCTAAACGGGACTCCTGGTTTCTACATGTCTTCCTGCTTCAGCCTCTGAAGGACTACAGATTACAGCTAGCCTTCTGTTCTTTATAACTGAACTTTTCTTTTTTAAAAGAGAAAAATATAAGCTGGGTGTAGTGGTGCAAAAAACAACCCTCAGGAGGCAAAGGTAGGCAGGTCTCTCCTAGTTAGAGGCCAGCTTGGTCTACACAGCCAGTTCCAAGATAGGGAAGGCTACATACAAAGACCTTGTCTCAAAAGACAATCCCCCCCCCCACACACACACACACAAAAGGAGAGCGAGAACAAGCATGCTTTCATGTTATCTTTAAGATAATTAATCCTTTAAAATGATTATGTGCAATATTTGCTTCAAAATAGTCCAGTATGGCGTTGGCGGCAGGAGATGGGGGATGGGGGAGGTGAGAATGAAATCGCAGCAGCTGGCCATTCGCTGCATTAAGCATACACGGAAAGAATGTTCTGTGAGGGTTCTACTTTGTGTGAGCCAGGGTCTCTACGTAGTCCTGGCTGTCCTGGGACTCACATAAATCCTCCTGCCTCTATCTCCAAGTGCTGGGATTAAAGGCATGAGTGACCACACCCAGGGGTTTTCTACTTTTAAGGAGTGCCATCCCACCTGACTCCTGCAAGCTTCCTAAATATATTATCCTTACATCTTTCTACCTTGCTCATTTTGGGGAATAATCATGTCTCCTATAAATCTCTTTTTTGGCCGGGAGGTGGTGGCGCACGCCTTTAATCCCAGCACTCGGGAGGCAGAGCCAGGCGGATCTCTGTGAGTTCGAGGCCAGCCTGGGCTACCAAGTGAGTCCCAGGAAAGGCGCAAAGCTACACAGAGAAACCCTGTCTCGAAAAACCAAAAAAAAAAAATAAATAAAAAAAATAAATCTCTTTTTTGGAGCTGAGCATTGGTTTCCACGTGATTGGTTTATCCATCCTCTATGTATATTCAAAGTATTTGCTAGAATCTTTGTTTTACTGATACTCATTCTTGTTCTCAGCATTCTGAAGAACTATTTCCTTTGTGCTATTTAAATATAATTTAACATGAATTGATGTTTAGTGTACTGCTTTGAATTAAAACACTTGTTTCCTTTTTGAAAAGCTTCAGACAGAAGCACCACTAGTCACCAACCCTGAAGCCTTGCCCTCATGAGGCAAGTGCATCCCTACTGCACTATACTCACGGCCTGGATTTTTTTTTGTTACTGTTATTGAATTTATTGAGACAGGGTCTCATTATGTAGCCAAAACTATCCCTAAGCTTCATATCTTCTTGTCCCTGCCTTCTGAGTAGCTGGAAATATAGCAATGTACCACCTGTCTAGCCTGAGAAAGAATTCTGAAAGAATAATCAAGCCTCTGCAAATACTACCCAACTACTTTTGAATATACATTAATACACATACTGTACTAAGTGCCCAGACAGTGAACATCCTGAAAGTAATATACAGAGAAAAATACCCATTTCCACTTTCCAGAGAATAAGGGCAAATGATATTTGATTTGAGAAATGAATCTCCTAACTTCTAGACATATTAAAATTACCTTACTGGGGCCAAATTTACATATGTTTGGTAAAAACAAAACAAAATTCTACCTTCCCCGGGATTTATCCACAAGATGTTCTGGAGAGACTCTAGAACCTGGTCTTGGATGCAGAACAGTCTGAGACTGGGACTCTGGGCTGTAGCGACTCGATGTTTTAGCTCTTACAGGTGTGGATGCCAGAGCAGATGGTGAAGTTTGGAATGTTGAAGTAGGAGGCTGCGAGGAAACTTGATTTCTAGCAAAATCTTGTGTGATAATTTGCTGTGGATGAGAAGAGGAGTAAGTGGTGAAGGTCGTTAGATACCTACCCAAGAGTGGTGTGAACTGAACTTTTTGTTTTGTCTTTTTTTTTTTTTTGAGACAGAGTTTCATTCTGAGCACAAAAGGGCCTTGAGTCAGACTCCTAGTGCCCCATGCTAATTAACCTGAATATCTTTGCTATGATTTTATTTAAAAAAAAACCTGCTTTCTGCATGATTAAAAAATAATAATAGAAGTGGGAAAAGGCTTACACAGATGTGATCAGCAAGTGTGATCAGCCGATGGGTCCTGGGCACCTGCCCCATTCCTTCGGCCTGAGAGGATGAGGGCAGTGGTGGCTGCTGCTGTGGAGATGGGGACTCCTGCTGTGACCGATAGTGATGCAGTGGTCCTTCATACTGCCGAGTGGGCTCATCTAATAGAGAGCAGGTACACACATTACACCAGGAATGCCTCTGCCCCGACTCAGTATAAAGTATTAATAACTCAGAAGAACATAAGAAAAGGATGTGATATGTACCTCTACACCTAATTTTTGTTTTTATATCTTGAAGCAAAAAATATCCACTGATGTAGAGTAAAATATGAGTATAGAAGCGGGCAAAGCGCCGGTGGTGGTGGTGGTGGTGGTGGTGGTGGTGGTGGTGGTGGTGGTGGTGGTGGTGGTGGCGGCGGCGGCAGCACACCTCTTTAATCCCAGCAATTGGGAGGCAGAGCCAGGCAGATCTGTGAGTTCAAGGCCAGCCTGGTCTACAAAGTGTGTTCTTGAACAGCCAGGGCTGTTACACAGAGTAACCCTGTCTTGAAACAGCCCCGCTCCCAAAAAAGTGGGCAAAGCCATCAGCCATTTTCCTGTGTGTGTGTGTGTGTGTGTGTGTGTGTGTGTGTGTGTGTGCGCGTGTGTCTGTGCACGCATGCACGCACTTACTAGAGTATTTGTGTGCATGTATGTGTGAATGTGCAGGCCAGAGGTTAATGTCAAGGGTCTTTCCTCTACTGCCCTCTACCTTGATGTTTAGTTTCTGAGACAGGGCTGTCAGTGAACCGGAAGCGCACGGATCAGCCAGACTGCCTAGCCAGTGAGCTTTAGGGTCCTTCCTTTGTGCTCCTGCACCTCTTCCTCCATGCGGGGGCTACAGGACTCACTGCTAGGCCCAGTTTTTTCATGAGGTTCTTCTCGGTATCCAAATTCAGGTCCTCAAGCTTGTGCAGCAGTTACTTTACCTACAGACACCTCCTCAGCCCCAGTGCATCTATTTTCACTAAACTATACACAAAAGAGTACCCAATAATAGTGTAAAGGGTGAAAGTTGTTAGTACAGCTCTAAAGGTTTCTAAAGCAGACTAACCAGCAACAAGTGTTCTTACCACGGCCTAGACAGGTAATTAGAAGCAAATGATAATGCAAATATGAGACACGGAAATGGCAAAACAGACATACTTTCTGCTTGCTTAGCCATCTCTGGCTGATAGGCCTGTGGCTTGTCCTGGGTTGGTGCAGGGGAGCTGGCAGGACTTATCACCTCAATAGCATCACTAGGTGCTTCATACCTGTGAGAAGACACTTTAAGAAAAGAACCTCATTTTAAAATAAATCCATGGAAAGGTTCAGAAGTCCAAGTTCTTCAAAGCTATTAGCATATTTTAGTTGTTTTATTCTGCTAAAGAATGTCCAATAGCATTCTATACTAGGAATAAAACTTAATCAAACACAACAGACTATTAAAGGTGCCTCTGTGCTCCTAATCTCAATAGGTTGTAGGTTCTTTAAGCATGAGATGAAGCAGAATTAAGATTTGTGATAAGCCCCTGGAACCTTGAAAAGAAACCACAGGCGAACATTCATCAAAGGAGATTAATGAGTAAGTGAGGGATAGATCTCAACCATTAATTGATCCCAATAATTCCATCTTTGTGGGACAATCTGATCTTAACAAACAGGCCATAAAGCTGCTTCACTGTCCCAAGACTAAGTTACTGCTTAGAAAATGCTATCCTGAGTTTCTCAGATAACTCAAGCATTACACTGAGAAGTGAACAGGAGTGGTAGGAAATATGTGAAGGAAATTACTTCAAAGAGGGAGAGTATCAACCAATTCTGGAGGATACCCACACAGACCCCTCTAAGATACATACAGCTCTCAAGAAAATTGATGGGTTCTGAAGATGTAGATCATGGGTAGCTTTCTACAAACCTGCCATGCTTTTAGAGTTGGGATTTGGGGAGAGTCAGGTAGAACTTGGTAAGAAACTTCTGTTAGAGGCCATCTACAGTCTGTCCCAGACCTGACTCAGGGTTACGACCTTGGCTGAACACAGGCATAGGTGAACTACTTGGCCACTGCATAATGCTCTTACTATTCAAATGGACATCTCTACATACCTCCCACCTGTCACGGAAATCAATGCTTACGAGCTAAAACAAACCACTATGTTGTAAGTAACTTTCTGACTTGAAAGTTTTGTATTTATTGTTACTCATCAATGCTTATGAACCAACATCTTAAATGACAAGAACTGACAGTATTCTGCAAACTATATTCATGTTGCTCTTGAAGATTAAGGTGCAAGGTGAAGGCTGAGGGCGGCTCTCAAGAGTCACACTGAAAAGGACACTGAGTAGTTGTTATGAGCCTATGTATCATGCCGGATATTGCCAGTGATAGAAAAGATAACTGCACTCAAAAGTAGGAACATGAGGATCTAAGAACGTGGGCTTTCTATTTTCAGACTGCTGAAAAACGAATTCCCAAAGCAGAGTCTGCTAAGTGCACTGACTGCAATAGACTTAATCCCTGACTCCCCACCAAGATGCCCTGCATTCCTGCTCTCCCTGAGCTAGCAGATTTTGAATGTTGAAAATCTATGTTGTAAACTTCCTTAACCCCAGGTTAAAGGGTGTATTTCTTCTACAGTTTATTCCCAATGCCACTTCTCTGTGAAAATTTTGCCAACAACTTATAATGACCCAAGTGAATACTTGGCGATAAAAACCAAACTCTATTCCAGTACTACTGAATTTCCTTAATGGAGATAATAAAAAAATGACTACATGATTAAACTGCTTCCAGTTATCACAACTGCTAATTTAAGCATGCTTGTCTTTCTCTAAAATTCCATATAGAATATATTTAGGTCATAGCTAAGAAACAAATTAAATTACATTTATTCATTTATATATTTACTTCTGTGTATGGAAAGCCATTATCCCTACACACATGGGAAGGTCAACTGATGGCATGGTCAGTTCTCTCCTTCTACTATGGGTTCAGATCATCAGATTTAGTGGTAAGTACCTTTACCTGCTGAGCCATCTCATCACCCCTAAGAAATTTTAAAAAGCATTTTTGTGTATTATTTTGATACTTACTTGCAGAACAAACATCACAGTGACTAGCCAGACTGAATCAAAATCCAATTCTCAAGAAAGATACACAGTGAATACCAGTCACTAACAGGCTCACTTAAAAAACAAAAACAAAACCACTACTTCAGAGAAAGACACAGGAGGCTTTGGGAGATCAGTGAATTTAGCAAACAAATTCTCAGAGAATGCGTTGTGGGAGCACAGATCTTGAAGATATTCCCATTTCAGGTGCCTAAATACCTTCAGAAGCTCTATTTTCCATCTAACCACTTCTAATTCTATGGTTTTTTCCTAGATAATATATTGATTGGCTTATACTTATAGGACATGGGAATATGTAAGTCATAAGAATATTAGAAGATACATTTTTGCACCCACAATACTTTCTTTTCTATTACTGTCAAGCATTAGGATTGTTTCATTCCAGGCCGTGCTTTACCTAAAGAATAAAGTCACTCTTTACTCAGATACCACATTGTGAAACTCAGATTGAGATACATACAGCTACTAGAAGAGTCTGAACTTTGAGAGCCACGGTCCCTCGCATCCTTGTCCGAGGCAATTTGCCGGGTGATGATCACGTCTATGAAGTTAGCTGCAGTAATGGTAGTCTTCCCTCGGGTCCTTAGCTCTTCCTCATATCTGGATTTTGGAGGAGGCCCTTTATCTTTCCCAGCCTCAGAATACACTACTGAGGCATGAGGCTGGGGCTTGCCACTCGGAAGGGCTGAAGAAGTGCACACACACTGAACAGATCTCTTCTCCACCTCCAGGTTTTTCTGCTCTAGCTGCTGCTGTTCACTAACTGCTGCTGACCTGCTTCTCAAATTGTCTTCTAACCTGGCAGCTTCATGCTTACTCTCTTTTGTTTTGGAAACATCCATCTGGGGTGCAGAAGCTGCAGCGTCCACAAGAGCAGCCAGGGCATCCGCAGCAGTGTTGTAGCGGGAGGCTGGCAGGCCTTGACTTATGGAAGGGCCCCCAGCAGGCAGTGGCCTGTAAACAAAAGAAAATAAAGGACTTAAGAGAAGAATATTTGTTGGAGGTGGGGTAGGGCTTGTTGGGAAATGAAAGAACAAATTACATTTAAAAAAAAGCAAATAGAAAAGCTTGACTATTTTAGTCAGTGGTTTAAAAACCATACAGCTCAGCAGGTAAAGGTGCTTGTTGCAAAGGCTCACAATCTGAGTTCAATCCCCAGGACCACATGGTAGAAAGAGAAACTAGAACCCCCACAAGCTGTTGTGTGACCTGCTTGTGCACACACAGTTATCAAAAAACGTAAATTAAAATAAACACATGCAAGATATGTACTTATTTTGGTCGAAATGTTTATGAGAGTACAAAAGACTGACATGATTCGTAGCTGAGCAGTTGGATCCAAAGGTGTGATTACACTGGTTCCATTGGTTCCCTGGAAAACACTGGGTCTCTGTTGCAACATGGTCTCCTGAGCTCTTACTGAAGGGGAAGGGGAGCGAGCATATCCGTGGCTGCCAGGTCGGCCTGGCTGTTCTGAGCCTGAAGAGGTAAAAGAAAGAGGAACACTGATAATCCAAAGGCAGCAGCTACAAAAATAAAGGCAGCAAAAATGTAGAATTTTTAATTCCTAGTATTACTAAATAGAAAATGAGAATAAGAAACTTGATACTATACTTTCTAGAAATGAATTGTAAGTTTCTCAATAAAGATATAATAAAACCCAACAAAAATTAAACAATCTCAGCTGTCATTTCCACTTTTGTTAGGAGTTTCTATCTCGATTCCAGAAAGGAAAGAAGAACCAACTACAAAGTGCTGCGCATCTCAGACGCTAATCCTGCAGACTGCTGCAGATTCTGCTATGGTTAGAGCGCTCTCCCAGATCAGATTCTGCTATGGTTAGAGCGCTCTCCCAGATCAAACAGCTTTCCGTCCACCACAAAAAGACACACACAGCGGCTGCATTGCAGTGTGGGGTTCCTGCACTCAACCCTAGTTCTTCCTGTTTTACCTCTGTGTGTGTACAGACATGCGTGCATGAGTGTGCATGGCCAGAGATCAATCCCTGTCATCCCAGGTACTTTCCACCTTGTTGTTTTTTTTTTTTTAATTTATTCTTTCTTTCTTTATTTATTTATTTTATTTTACAATATAATTTAATTCTACATATCAGTCACGGATTCCCTTGTTCTCCCCCCTCCTCCCCCCCTCCCATTTCCCCCAGCCCACCCCCCATTCCATCTCCTCCAGGGCAAAGACTCCCCCGAGGATTGAGATCAACCTGGTAGACTTCAGTCCAGGCAGGTCCAGTCCCCTCCTCCCAGGCTGAGCCAAGTGTCCCTGCATAAGCCCCAGGTTTCAAACAGCCAACTCATGCACTGAGCACAGGACCCAGTCCCACTGCCTGGATGCCTCCCAAACAGATCAAGCCAATCAACTATCTCACCTATTCAGAGGGCTTAATCCAGTTGGGGGCCCCTCAGCCATTGGTTCATAGTTCATGTGTTTCCATTTGTTTGGCTATTTGTCCCTGTGCTTTATCCAACCTCAACAGTTCTCGCTCATATAAACCCTCCTCTTTCTCACCAATTGGACTCCCGGAGCTCCACCCGGGGCCTAGCCGTGGATCTCTGCATCCAGTTCCCTCAGTCATTGGATGGGGTTTCTAGCACGACAATTAGGGTGTTTGGCCATCCTATCACCAGAGTAGGTCAGTTCGGGCTAAAGGATACGGTCAACAAGGCAAAGCGACAGCCTACAGAATGGGAAAAGGTCTTCACCAACCCTACATCTGACAGAGGACTGATAATCCAGAATATATAAGGAACTCAATAAATTAGACATCAAAATGCCCAACAGTCCAATTAAGAAATGGGCTATAGATCCACCTTGTTTTTTTAAGAGAGTCTCTCACTGGCTTGAAATCCAGAGATTGGGTAGGCAAGCTGACGAGTGAACACCAGGGATCCAACTGTCTAAGTCTCTCCACATCGCTATTACAAGTCCATGGCACCACACTTGTGTTAGTTACGTGGTTTGGGAACCAAACTCAGGCGGCCACGCTTCTGTGGCAAGCACTTTACCACCTGAGCCGTCTTCCCTCCCCTGCCCCTGGCCTATTTCTCCTTAACAATTACGTAGGTTGCAGCAAGCTTTCTCTTGTGAGATGGAATATTCACAGTACCCTCCCCAAAAGTTTGTCTTCCATAGCTACCCTTCTTCGAGGTTGGAGAGTGTTACTCAGCTTTAACTCTCTCCTAGCAGAGCTGGGAGACTCTAACTCATTCCCTGATCAATTTCTTCTCTACTTTGCTTGTACTGTGCCTTCCCTCCAACCTTCTGCCTCATTCTTTGCCTGTGTAATAGCCAGACAGTTTAGCCAGACTTATCCCCACAGCCAGTACCACTTCAGCCAGACTCTGTGACAGTTTCCTCCCTTCTGAATACACTTTGACATATATCAGTATTTCTATAGGACCGATTCCTAGAAGTGGAATTGCTAATCAATTAATCTTCATATTTTTAATGCACAAGAGTGACCCCATTTACATGGCATCTGTCATATATCAGTGTCTGTGTTTGTGAAGCTGCTACATGGAAAAGGTCAATTCAGTATCTAATAAGAAAATAGTATTTTGATGTTTTTACCTGTCACTTTGCAAATCAATGGGATCAACATGTGTTTAAGACCTAGCTCCTACCAAAATTCTGTATCATTTGAATTTGACTTTAATTTTTCATGTTTTATATAATCTACATGAACTCAATATTATGGTATTTATGTATTACAGGCATTTTTTAAAGGACCAGACTATTAGTGATTTTTCTAAGTATAAATAATATTTAACTGCATAAATAATATTTATATTAAATATTAAATATTTAACTATAAATAATATTTAAATGTATTTCAGCTATGCAACCACATTGAATGCAAACCACGTAAGTCATCAGGAACAATATGACTGGATCAAATGTGATGATTAGCTTCCACCTGCTGACATTCCCAATGATTTCAAAGGGTTTGTCCCTCATTAAAATATGAACTGGACACTCTTGCCATTGTATCTTCATTGCTGTGCCTACCTGTGCAACCATTACCTCTGCTTTCCCTCTGCCTACACCCACTTTGCCCTTTGGAGGGCATCTAGAGACTGAACGACTCTTCTCTAGCACCTGCCCATGGAAACCTCTTGACAGGGTTTCAACTCTTGTAGCTCAGTCTGTGTTCTTGAGTGTCACATGGACCCCATAAATGGTCTTATTTGATTAAAATAACCGAGAAAGACAAATGTAACAGGGATAAAGAGAGATGGCTCAAATACCTGTAAGAGTAAATGAATCCAAAGCAAAACTACTACTTGTCCTCCCTGCTGTGATCTTGCCATTTGTCATGCTGTCACTCTAAACGCCACTCTCCAACACCGCCGCCCCCACTTCCTACTCTTCTTTATTATGAGACAGGATCTTGCTATGAATGCCAGGCTGATATCAAATGTACAATCCTCCTGCCTCCGCTTAGGTGTGGTAGTTTGAATGAAAATGGCCCCCAAAGACTTAAAGGGAATTAGGAGGTGTGTTTTTGTTTGAGTACTTATGGCCTTGATGGAGGAGGTGTGTCACAAGGGGTGGCTTTGAGGTTTCTTCTCTTTACCTGCCTGCTGCCTACAGATCAGGATGGAGGGCTCTCAGCTCCTCCTCCAGCACATCTGCCTGCATGCTGCCCGCCGTAATGACAATGGACCTGTAAGCCAGCCCCAGTTAAATGGGTTTTTTTCCTTTATAGGATTTGCCATGGTCCTAGTGTCTCTTCACAGCAATAAAACCTCAACAAAGACATTGGGTTATAGACATGCACCCCAGGTTGAACTCAGCTGTATTTTAACTTGCAGCTCAATCTTATTTTTTAGCCTATCAAGTTACTGTCAACTCCCTTCATTCTGCTTCTCTGTTATTCTCAGCAGTTTCTTTCTGGCCATTCTCTGTGTCTGAATGTCTGATGGCACCACTGGCGCATTCATGAATTCCTGAGACTATTCATTCAACAGCCCAGGGTTCTAACACACCCCATGCCACTGGTCACATGACTGACCTCCTAAAAAGTGCTTCACTGTAAGCACTGTATTCAAGACGCCACATCTCCTTCTAACCAGATTTTCTAATTCCCCCTTTAAACTAGAGTTTGGGCTGTTCTTCTGTCTTCAAGAGCCTCATACCCAGTATTTCTAGGAGCAACTGAAGAACATGTTGCTTGGGCCCAATCAAATTGACACTTTTGTCCTGGTAAGTCCCTTCTGGCTTCTATTTTACATATACTGACTTTCCATCTTATAATTTTTGTTTTCCTACATAGAATAATTAAGCATAATGCCTCACAAGAAATCACCAGGACCTGTAGCCTACGGAAATAGCAAAGCTTCTCACTGACCTGGTCGTAGGTAGAGATCAGAGGAATTAGCAGACATCCTTTCTCGTTCTCGTTCACGTTCTCGTTCGCGTTCACGTTCGCGCTCCCTTTCACGTTCGCGCTCCCTTTCACGCTCACGCTCCTTCTCCCTTTCGCGCTCTCGATCCCGCTCAGCACTTGCAGCTGCGGTAAGGTGTGCTGGGTGTCCTGTAAAACATGAATCTGCAACTTCAAGACTGAACGGACAGCCTAGCATGTTAAATCTGTAAATGACCGAAAGACAACAAGCTTCAAATACAGATGTATGGAGTTTATGGTAGAGTCTCAAATAGTAAATGGAGCATAATATAAGTGTTTAGGGTATCTGTGGAGTATCTAGCTACAGGTATATGTTAAATGAAGAGCAGAATGGAAGAAAGATGCTCAGAATTCCTCTGCAAGCTACACCAGAAAAACTAAAGTGTCTTGGTCTTGTTAGAGATGTATATATTTTAAACAATTTTGTCTGAGAAATAGAGGGCATTATTTTAAATATGTATATGCTCTCCCTAGAAAAATCATTGACTTATTTTTCTAGAACCCTTGCTTCCTTTTCATCTAGAACAAGTCAGATATGTTAGCTTGGAGCATCTCACCTGGAGACAAAGAGGCAGCATTGTACGGCCTGGGAGGGAAACTAATCTGTGTACCAGGGATGTAAGTGATTCTGTCCATGGGAGGAGTGCTCGCTCCCCCAGCATGAGGCACTAAAATTGTTGGAGGCATATTGGTCAAGTCAATGATTCCTATCCAAAAGACAAAAACAGTTCATGTTAGGCATTACTGCAAACCAACACCTAACTCCAGAAACATACATGGTTTTTCCATTTTGTCTCTTTACAATACAATGATAATTTGCATTCAATGTAAATAAGAATGTTTAAAAAATTATCATTGCTCCTCAGACGTCTTTAAACCTAAAGGAGGCTATGAATGCACTGAGCTCTATACAAGTCACCTCAGGTATGAACATATTAAAGAAAATATGATCTTTAAACACTTCTACAAGTAGATGGCGTAGTTACTTTAATGTTCACTGTAACAGCTCATCTCATAGTATTACTTGCTTTCAAGGGCAAAAATCTATAGAGACAAGTATAAGCTTCTTTTATGTCTTTCCATCCTCATTTAACAAGTATTTACTAATTACTCGCAAATGTGAAAAGAATTCTACATACCTCTTGTAGCTGGGTAAGGGAGACCCAGTGGCTGCTCTCGTGGGGACAGTCCTCTGGCAACATCAGGACGCAAACTCACTTGCATCTGTTGTGAGGTAATGTAATCATTTAGGATGGTCTGTCGTGTGTTCTCCATTGCATACAGCTGGTACTGACTCGGGTATCCTGGGGTTGGTGAGAGCTGTCTCTGAAACAGGAGAGCAGCAGCTGTTGAGTGAAAGAAAGAAAAAAATGGCACTGAGTGTGTGAGATTCATCTGCTAAACGTTGTCCTCAGGAACAGTGAGGACACACTGCCCACTGCAGTGCGCCAGCCACTTTCACTCAACTCCAGCAAGTACAGGGATTCACTGTAGACCTTGACACATGAGTAATATGAAGTCTAACACCTTCTTCCTTCTTTTGTTTTCTTTGAGACAGGGTCTCACTGTGTAGCCCTGGCTGTCCTGGAATTGGCTCACAGTGTAGACCAGGCTGGCTTTGAACTCACAGAGACCCACCTGACTCTGCCTCCCCAGTGCTGGGGTTAAAGGTGTGCGCCACCAAGTCCTGTAAGCCTAACTCATTCTAATGCCTGAGATGTAATGGAAAAGGGGAAGGACAGATTCTGAACATTTCTGAAGTAGTTTTGTTTTCAATCATTATCATGAAACTTTATTATGTTTTCACTTTATTATACGAGAGTTGTGGTTGAAAGTCCTCTTTGACAACACAACAGTTAAGAGTGCATATGAAAACAATTTCTAACATAGAAATTTTATTTTTCTAGAGGCAAAGATGACTGTATACAACCATTCAGTAATGCATGTGTTTCAAAAAAAGGATGGCAACCTTTTTCTGTAAAGGGTCAGATGAAAATTATTTTAGCTTTTAAGAAGTATACAGTATTTCTCACAGCTACTGTTATCATACCATGGAAGGAGCTAGGGACAAAACAAACAAGTGGCTAGGGCCATGCTCTCAGAACTTATCTACAGGAACAGGATTTGGTCAAAGAGCTATTGTTTTAATAGCCCCTGCATAAAAGCACGACGCAGGATGCAATGAAGTTGTAAGTGTGACAACAAGTAGAAGATAAGGTCTCTGTTCTCGAAACCATTTATAGTCTAGCTCAGATGGAATAAAAAAGGACAGTGAGATGAAAGCATTACCAAATAAAGGTCTGTGACAGACACTCGACAATCATAAAAAGTTTGGTCTGAAAGTTAAGGGAACCATTCATATGTACATGTTCTCCCTAAAGAAAGCAAACACCCCTGATAGGTTTTCTAGACCATTAATTTAACTTTCATCCAAAACTGCAGGACAGTGAGTGTGACATTCTCCTAAGCACAGGTGTTCTGCAAATCACAATGGGGTTATATCCCACTAAACCCATAACAGTGCAAGTTCAGAAGCTGGAAGGGCACTGAATATATTAACCTACGTCCTACACGCAGTAGCATTGCACACTGTACCCATCAATTGTTTCTACTCATAAGTGAGGGGCCACTAGCCCCAGAAAAGATTGAAGTACACAATTAAAAGTAAAGTTGCTGCTGACTACCTTTTGCATTCACACCATTGCTAAGTCAAAAGCTTAAGTTGGTCTGTAATCTCTGGATCAGGGTTAGGCTCAAGTAACAATCTACCAACAGCAGAATTTTCAGATAAAATATTCCCATAGGTTCTCAGCTATCACGAAATTTAAGTAACTGCTGGGCTTTTTTGCATAAAAAACGTTGTTTACTTTGTGTGTACAGAGATTTATGTGCAGGTGTGCACATCTGCCACAATGGACTTGCGGGTCACAGGACAACCTGTGGGAGTTTATTTTACCTTTCACTGCGTGGGTTCCATAGGTTGGTGGCAAGTAAGCCCCTTTACCCCCATAGAACCCATCTTACTAGCCTGGCTTTTCTGCCTTTTAATATGACAACCTGGTAATAAAGACTACTATAAGAACCAGGATATCACCCAAGACTAGGCTACCCTGAAGTAACAGAAAGACACCCACCTTCTCCTCCCAAGTTCTAGGACTAAAGGTGTGCAACATAATACCGAGCTTTCTATAAGGGTTTTGTCACTTAATTTTCTTTAAACTATAGCTTCATTAAAAAACAACAACAACAATAAAAAGCTAACAAGTCTGGGAATTTCTTTCATAACAGAGAGGCAATGGTGAGATTTAGTCAGGAGTTTAAGAAAAGGCACTGACCTTCAATCAGAACACTATGGTGTAATTAACATATAGTCATATAGATACAGTACTTCTTTGCTGTAAATTGTCATTAAATATTGGGCTTACCAGGATCCAAAGTCCTGTGAAAGGTCATGGTTGGATCCAAGTGCGTGGGAAAGGGACCCCGGTAAACCTCTCCTGCAGCGCTACTCCGAAGATGAGTATCAAATGGGCTGTGACTCATGACAGGATCCACCCCGGGCACTGGGGACTTGGCTGCTAGACTTTCTCTTTGGGTTGGGGTCAGAGTTGATTTCCTTTCATGACTGGTAGACTTGCTGGAAGAAACTGTAACAGCAATAACAAAGTGTCAATGCCACAAAACCTTGGAAAAATGTCAACGTGTGCCCCAGCATGTAAAGTCCTATCTTCTAATATGTGCAAGTTTAAGAACTAGTAGGAGCCTTGAAACCTGGAGACTGTTGTGACCTTTTGGAGCACAGCAGCAATTCTAAAGCATCTCACATTAAGATTATGAAGCTCATGGAATTCAATAATGTTCTCTATATCCCATAAATGATCGTATTTCCTAGGTGATACTAACACCTAAATTCTAAGACAAAACACATCTATTTGGGCCCCATATGTAGCAAATCTCAAATTCCCCCTCCTTGTGTTTCCTAACCTCCTTGCTACCTGTCACCCATAAGTTAGCCTAATTTTGCCTTCAGTCTGCTCTTCAGTGATTCTTTACCTCATAAACATTCAAATGCACACCTCCCCCCGAGTTGTTACTGTGATTAGATTGTCTCCTGCATACCTACCACATCCATACACTTTGTACCAACCTCCTTGTAGAGATTTCTATGTACCATAAAGTGTCCTACATTAGCCATGTTACTAATTTCTCTTTAAAAAACAAAACAAGCCGGGCGGTGGTGGCGCGCACCTTTAATCCCAGCACTCGGGAGGCAGAGGCAGGCGGATCTCTGTGAGTTTGAGGCCAGCCTGGGCTACCAAGTGAGTTCCAGGAAAGGCGCAAAGCTACACAGAGAAACCCTGTCTTGAAAAACCAAAAACAAAACAAAACAAAACAAAACAAAAAACCCTGTTTTCCTTTTTTAAAAAAAAAATTATGTGTTGGCATTTTGCCCTGCAGTATGTCTATGCATCGCATATATACAGTGTCCTTGGAGGCCAGAAGAGAGTGTCAGATCCTCTCGGATCCACACAGGTGGCTGCTAGGTGCCATGTGGGTGCTGGGAACTGAACCTGAGTCCTCTGGAAGAGTAACCAGTACTCTTAACAGCAGAACCTTCTCTTCAACCCCACTTAATACCTTTACTCATTTATGTCTTCAGAGCTAGAGATTAAATCCCACATACTCATATATTTTGAAGGTAGTAACTCACTGATATTAAATACACAAATGATATTATACAAGTATCATTAGTGCTTCTGATTTATTTGTTTTTTCAAATAGTCTCTCATTTGTAGCCTCAAACTTGCTTCTGCCTCTTCCTTATGTCCCAAGTGCTGGGGACTGTAGCTTTGGACCATCACACCCAGCTACCATAAAGCTATTAACTAAAATCCTACTAGTACAAATGTGGCCATAACCAAGCAAACTTCCATATCAAAATAAAATCTTGCTGGTTTATCCTGCCTGATTCCAAGTCCTTTTCCCTCTAGCAGGCTCTCCTTCTTCTGCCTGCTGTACCCACTCCATCCCGAAACACTCCACACATCTTCACCATCCAGCCCAAGACCTAACACAGTGGGTCTCAATCTTCCAAATGCTGAGACCCTTTAATACAGTTCCTCTTGTTGCGGAGACCCAACCATAAGATTATTTCATTGCTATTTCAGAAGTGTAATTTTGCTACTATTGTGGATCATAACGTAAATATCTGATATGTGACCTACAAGAGGTCACAACCCACAGGTTGAGAACCACTGGCCTAACAGGTAAGACTTCAAAATATTCACATTCAGCCCCAGAGAACACATTTCCACCTTCCCAGTGCTGGAATTATAAGCAGACATCACTATGCTTAGCGCCCCACCCCCACTGAGCTATCTCCCTGGTCTTACAACCTGTGGATCTTGAGATAATCTAGAACAAATGACTTGATATTTTTTATTTGTTAGAGGTAAAAAATGTTGCAACAAAAATCATACCGTCAGAAGTTCTGTTCATCATAGGTGAGCCTCTGGATATGGTGCTTTGGTAACTCACAGGGGTCCTGCGAGCACTGCTGTCATCATAGATTCCCGGGCTCAGCTGTGCTTTGGGAACTTCATGAAATGTAGACCTGAGAACGGACGGGCCAGAGCTCACCACTGACGTGTGCCGGGGACGCACTGGCTCACCGGCTTTCACATCCTCATATTTTCCCCGTTCTACTACTTTTATGTTCTCTGGTACAATTTCCAGCACTCCACGGGGTAGTTTGCTAGGCCCTGTTATTAAGGACTTCACATTGTGTTTGATAGCTGATTGACCTGAGTTGTTGTCAAATTTGATTGGTGTGCCCTAAGAGGAATGAAACAAACATTACAGGTAGCAAAGTTATCTACATACTGTTCCTTCTCAGGTGTATGACAATTATACACACTCCTGATTATTCACTTTAAATTATGTATACAAGAAAAACTGATGATGTATACGTGAAAGATTTACTACCAAGAAGTCTGACATAAGAACTACCTAGAACTAGTAAGCTGTATTTTTTAAAGTGCTTCAAAAATGTCAGTCTAAGTGGAATTACTGACAGAAAGAGCCATCATGTATTTACCTGGGAAATGGAACCCTCAATTATTGGCCTTGTACTCTGGACCACTTCTGGAGTTTTTCGGCTTTCCTGAGTTAGAATATCTTGTCGTGGAATCTCATGAATGGAACGCCCCATTTCTTTGATGGTGGTGATACCATCATATGGTTTTCCTTTGGTAATGGCGCCTTCAAATGCTCGGATAGGAGGGCTTTCCCTTTTAATCTGTTTGGGATATTTAAGGCCGTCTTCAAAGCTATCAGTTGTTGCTCTTGGTGTGCCTTTGAGAAGAGTTTAGGAAATATACTTGTTAAAATAATGCTAATAGTTGCACAGCCCTGCTACTGAAGTTCTACCCTAGAACCTCAAGCAGGCACTCATCACTCATTATGTTTTAGGATTACTCAAAATATAACAGCTTATCATTCATTACATACATAATCATTCAGAATGGTTCTTACAAAGATATTTTCATATTAAAAGATCTGGCAACTAAAACATAATGATGCAGCTAAGAGAAAAGTTAAGATTAAGGTTTAACATTTAATAATTCAGAGGGTAAAATATCTAGAAAAGTAGGTTTAGTATTTTGTAAAATTAATATTAAACTACCTTGCCAGTGTATCAGTTTATAATAAAAGGACAAAACACAATATACCCTGCATTATGGAACCAGATAGCACAGTTCTCTCTTTAAGGTCAGGATGAGGGCTCCCTCTGGGTAATGCTCGGCATATCAGACCTTGCAAAACAGTAAAGAAATAGTTATTAGATATAACATAGTTAATTCATAATACTAAATATTCTGTATAGAGAACATAATCTTGATAAAAAGCTATGTGAAGGAAGGGATGCCATTTCAAAATTGTACACAATTCAGAAACTATCACAAAGGACTGGTGAGATAGTTTAGTGTGTAGGGGTATTAGCAGCCAAGCCAGAAGACCTGAGTTCAGTGCCTAAGCTCCATATGTTGGAAGAAGAGAACTAATTCCTTCAGGTTGTCTGTCTTCTGACCTCCACATATGTACACTATATACATGTACGTGCAAAATACACACACACACACACACACACACACAAAGAATAAATATAAAAAAATAAAGGGGAAAAAATCAGAAATACCTAATATATAATTCTATAATCCTTTTTAAAAAATATTTTGAAAGTGTTTTACATATTATTTGTGTGTGTGTGTGTGTGTGTGTGTGTGTGTGTGTGTGTGTGTGTGTGCGTGCGCGCGCGCGCGCGCGTATACCTTGTGCATACTGGAGCAACAGTAAATTGTGAGCCTCCGTGTGGGGACTGGGAAAGGAACCTGGGTCCTCTGCAACAGTGGCCAGTGCCCTAAGCTTCTGAGCCATCTCTATTGCTCCACAATATCATAATTCTCATAGAACATTTTCCCCAATAAAAAATAATCAAGAAAGGCGCTAAATTTTAGTTTAAAACAGAAAGAAATTTCAGCTGGATTTGGTAGTACATGCCTATAATCCTGACACTTGTCAAGTGGAGTCAGGAAAAGAATTCAAGGAGTTTGAAACCAAGGCCTATCTAGACCCTACCTGTGCCCCAAAATATGTTCAAAGCTAAATCTAAAATCTCTCTCTTAAAAAATTAGATTATTTAGCCTGGGTATGGGGTGTACACCTTTAATCCCAGTACTAAGGAGACAGACACAGGAGGATCTCTGTGAATTTAAGGCCAGCCTGGTCAAGATAGCAAGTTCCAAGACAGCCAGGACTACATGGAGACTGCCTCAAAAACAACAACAAAACAAACAAAAGAAGATTTCAGTTTACATAATGAGAACTAACAAAAGATCAAAGTCATCAAAATGAAAATGAAACTTGGCTGGGTATGATGGGTACAACTTTAATCCCAGCACTCAGAAGGCAGAGGCGGGCTGTGATGTCTGAGCTTAAGGCCAGCCTGGGCGACATAATGAGTTCAATACCAGCCAGGCTAGAGTGAGAACCTGCCTTCGTTGTTGTTGTTGTTTATCCCATCACCTCTCTGCCCCCTTTCCCTTTTCCCTTTTCATTTCTTACATGAGGACCCCCAGCAGAAAGTGAAACCCCACAAAGTCCCCTCTTAAGGTAATTAACAATAAACCCAGAACATCTGGGCATTTTCAACAGCCTTGATAATCAGAGGAAGAACTATAACCAGAAGTAAATCTGAACAGGATAATCAAACTTTAAAATACATCTTATAAATGTGAATGTTAATTCAACTAATCATTACATTTTAGGTTTTAAATACAGCATAGATAACATTTACTGAGATTTAATTACAGTGTAATTTTCGTGCTTAAATTTTCCCCTTCTTATAGTCTCTTTTCTTGTGTGCTAGAATCTATTTCCTTCACTCCTACACCAACATACACATATAAAAATTTAGAAGAAATGTGATATTTTGAAGTTCCATACATCTTCCTAAAAACTGCACTAATTTCAATTTTCTCTGTGGCCAAATAAAATTCCATTGTGTATATGGACCACATTCATCTTATGATGGACATCTAGGCTGATTCCATTTCTTTGCAATTGTGAAAAGAGTAACAATACACATGGGTGAGGAGGTCTCTCTGCAGTAGTCTAGAAAGCCCTTTGGGTGAATGCCCAAAAGGATAGCACTGGTTCAAACACAGACATGACGATCAACGAAACAGAAGGCTGGGACATAAACCTATGTAGCTGTAGTCACCTGGTTTCTGACCAAGGTGACAAAAGTACTCACTAAAGAAAAGATAGCCTCTTAAACAAATGGTGCTAAATAACAAAAGCCTTCAGGTACCTGCCCCGAGGAACTTTTTCCCACAGTCGGGGGAAGGTGCTACAAGCAGCAGAAATCTAATCTGGCAGGTATCAAATGAGTCTACTTATCTGGGGGTATACACACACCATTGTTCCCTATCTATCTAAAGGCTATGAATCAACAAATTCAGAAATGTTGTAATTCTATGGCCTTGGGTGTCTGAGAATGTCTCAGATGAGATACTTTTGCCTGGACACTGACCAAAGGCCCGCCAATGAGGACAACTGCAGGAAGGCAGACCTCTGTTCACACCGGAGAAAGGAACAAAGACCTAGTTGTGGGAAACGGATTTTGACTGTGTGACTGCTTTTTACACATAGCTGGGGCATGTTATCCACATACTCCAAATGTATAGGGGAAGTTGTGCCCAATAAATGATCAATCATACTGTCAGAAGTTCTTGGGAAAACAAATCAGTTGGGAAGGCTACCATAGCACACAAGAAATTCACTGCAGGAAACAGTTAATACATTTAAAAGTCAATAGCACCAAAACATAAGTTCAACCTCCACCAGAGCCCCTGGCTCCAATGGGTCAGCCTTGTCATTTCTGCGGCTTGCAGCAGCCAGGAAGCTGGATGACCATATGAACTAACCTCTAACCTGGCACAAACATCAACTGCAAAAGGGTCAAAGACTCAACATAGGACCTGAAACTACGAAAATGCTAGAAGAGAAAGCAAAGCAAAGAATCCAAGACTCAGGCACAGGTAAAGACTTACTGAATAGGACTTGGGTTACTAAGGAAATAAAGCCAATTATTGACAAACAGGACCTTACAGAATTAAAATCTACACCACAAAAGACACTGGTAATCATTACAAGTGAAGAGGTAGTCCACAGAATGGGAGAAAGCCTTTGCCAACTATAAATACAAGAAGAGTACCATTTAGAATATATAAAGAACTAAAAACCCTAAACAATATAATCAAAAAATAGGCTGAGAGTTTACAGAGAGGTCTCAAAAGAGAAAATATGGACAATAAATGTACATGTGTGCGTGCACACGTGCGTGCGTGCGTGCATGCATGCGTGTGTGTGTGCGCGCGCGTGTGTGTGCGTGCGTGCGTGTGTGTGTGTGTGTGTGTGTGTGTGTGTGTGTGTGTGTGTATACACACGTTTGTTTGTTTTTCTTTTTTCTTTTTTTTTTATTCTGAGCCAGGGTTTCTCTGTGTAGTTTTTGGTGCCTGTCCTGGATCTCGCTCTGTAGCCCAGGCTGGTCTCAAACTCACAGAGATCTACCTGGCTCTGCCTCCCGAGTGCTGGGATTAAAGGCGTGCGCCACCACTCCCTGGCCTTGTTTGTTTTTCAAGACAGGGTTTCTCTATGTAGACCAGGCTGGCCTTGAACTCACAGAGATCCACCTGCCTCTGCCTCCTGGGATTAAAGGCATGAGCCACCACCGTCCAGAAGCCAATAAATATTTTAAATGTACAACATCCTTTAGCCATCAGGGAAAAGCAAATTAAAACTATTTTGATATTCTGTCTCATTCCTGCCAGAATGAATTTCATAAAGAAAACAATTACAATAAATGCTGGAGAGAATATATGAAAAAAGAACTCTTATTCATTGATGGGAGTGGTATGAACTAGTGCAGACATTACAGAAACCACTGTTCAGGTTTCTCAATCAGCAACAGATAAAACATTCATGACCCTACTCTTCTACTCCTGGGAATCTAAACTCTGAATGCATCTTAGTTGAAAATCACTGCACAACTTTGAAATACACCTGGGGAGAAAGGAAAATGAGAAATATGGACACTGCAAATTAAAGAAAATAAATGAATATACATATCAAATAAGGAGTTTTAAAGTAACATCCTAAGAAGTTCCTCGCTGGGAAGATGACTCAGTGGGTAAAGTGTCTGCTGTAGAGGCAAACAACCTGAGTTTAAAACCTTGCATGACATGGAATGGGTCTGTAAACCCAAGGCTGGAGGGGCAGAGTCCGACAGAAACCCAGGACTCAATGGCTAGCCTAACTTTAGGTTCACTGTATGACAGTGGAAAACAGCCTAAACTGACCTCTGGTTTTGACAAGCAGCAAGTGATCTTAACTACTGAGTCATCTCTCTAGCCACAGATGTTTTGTTTCATTTTCTAAATAGAGAAAGTATGACTCAGAAAATTACATAGGACTTGCTTGGTCTTGACTATTTCACCTAGATTAAATTATCTGAGGCAGGTTGTGGTGGTTTGAATACCTGGCCAATAGGGAGTGGCACTATTAGTAGGTTTGGCCTTGGAGGAAGTGTGCCACTATGGGGGTGAACTTTGAGGTCTAATATATGCTCAAGCTATACCCAGTACACAGTCTCTTTTGCTGCTGCCTGCAGATTAAGATGTAGAACTCAGCTCCTTCTCCAGCACCACATCTGCCTGTACACTGCCATGTCCCTTCATGAAGATAATGGACTAAAAGTCTGAACTGTAAGCAAGCCCCAATTAAATGTTTTCATTTATAAGAGTTGCTATGGTCATGGTGTCTCTTTACAGCAATAGAAACCCTAACTAAGACACAGGTTAAGATTTAAAAGTAAACCAAACCACAGTGATCCAAAATTGAATGCATAACACAATCAGCACCAAGTTGGACAGTGGTTTATAATGACCACTTCCAATGATGGATATATATAATCCTCTAATTTCCAGGTGAAGAGACAAGAAAAGAGGAACGCCAGGAGAAGTTCAGCTAAAGGTAAAATCCATGTCCCAGCGTTATTCATCATATATCACTTTACCTCATGGATTAAAAAGGAATTTTCAAAACAGGTTTTATATTCTTGAATTCATTGAATCAGGAGATAATTCTACAATAGTTAAAGCATCCCAATTGTGACCTCTGCTATTGTCATTACATTCAGTTTTTACTTCCTTCTACTCTGAATTGTCACATGATTCATACAATGATATGATGTAAACTTAAAATTATATTAATAAATTTCAGGTTGAAATACTAGAGATTAAGTCCAATGTAACAATGCAAAACTACTACACAAAATTAAGTGCATCTGGATGACACTGGAGGTCACTTTACCCTCTAATGGTGCTGATACAGGAGACTCCCTCATTGACATGCCTTGCTTTATATTTCCTTCCACTGACTCATAGCTTCTTTTTAAACTGATTTCATGAGCTGTTCTTGGACTCCGAGTCCCTTCTCGGGCATTCTTAATATCTGCAGAATATAGAAACCAGAATTATTCAGAGCCCAAGGCCTATCTATAATGCACAGTAAATTAAGTCACCTTAATATCAGTCTTATAAAAACAACTTGATCTCACCATTCGGGAGGCAAAGGCAGATGGGTTATTATGATTTGAGGCTAGCCTGGTCTACATAGTGAATTCCAGGTCAGCCGGGCAGGGCTGCACAGTGAGACTCCATCCCAAACAAAATTAAAAAAACCCAAAACAAACAAAAACTTGTTCTAATATTATCTGTGTAGACAATAACCATGAAAACATTTTTATTCACTACAGTATGTTAATTGAATGGATCCTGTGTGCCAGGCAAAGGCTAGGCATCCAGATAAGGTTAACACATTAAGTACCTTTTCTCATGAAATTTATTCAACGATGGTGAGTACAAAAATATGCCCAGGCTGGAAATGTGGATCAGCAATTAAGAGTACTTACTGTTCTTCCACAGGATCTGAGTTTGCTTCCCAGAACCACCATAGTGGGGCTCACAACAACTCCAGCTACAGGGGATCTGATCCCCTGTTCTGGCTTCTGCAGGAACTTACATGAATTGTGCAAACACAGGCACATAAATAAAAAATAAATCCTAACAAAATTAATAAATCCTTAGTGTCCAATGTAAACATACTATGAAAAGAAAACTGTAGTATGCAGCAAGAATGATGGGACTGAAATTTGACATGTCCAGGGCTAGCAATGGGACATGCTAGAAAAAGCAATACTGAAGAGAACTGAAGGGTAAGTGATGCTTACACCAAATATAAAAGGAAGAAACAATGGCACAGGCAGAGGAATAGGCTCAGATATCTCAAGAATGTAGAATATGCTACCTTAAAGGAACATCCTTCAGCTCAGTGAAGAAAGGAGTTAGGCAGAAAAGTTTAGACAGCTAAGAGGAAAAGTGGCAATCAAAAAATCTGAAGGGATAAGCAAAAGGAGATTGTGGAGAGATGAAGCCCTGGGATGCACTTGTAGTTACTCTTAAGGCCGCAGGAAGTAAAGCAGGAATGATGATTACTCCAGGTAAGTAAGCATACCTTAAGCTGCACAGACAAAAGGTAATGGTTGTAGGAAAGAACAGTAAGGAATTGATTTCAGAGACTTTAGGAAACAATATAAAGGACTGTGATTTGTTGAACATGGAAAGGGAAAAAAAAAAAAAAAAGATATCCAGATTTCTAGCTTAAGCAATGTACATTAATTTTGTTCCCGCTCCACAGAGTAAAAGTTCATTAAAATACACTAGATGTGTTAAAATAAGAAATGAGGCTATTGTGGATTATGAAACATTAGGCACTATGTTCATTTCTTTATATTTGAGACAAAGATAAAACAAACGAATGACTATTTCAAGATTACAAAGTAAGAAAACTCAAACTCAGCCCTGTGGCTGATGTTTACAGCAGACATTAGAGTCATTCTTTGAAAACATAATATTCAAAGAAAGATCTAAAGAAAAGACAGATGGCTGGGTGACAGATGAATGAACAGACACATAATATAGTTTCGGTAAGGAGAGTTTAATCCAACATTCTTTTCATGATTATCAGGTATCTATTCCTTAGTTCTTTTTTCTTTTTTAATATTTTATTTTTTATTTTTTTCCAAGACAGGGTTTCACTGTGCAGCCCTGACTGTCCTGGAACTCACTCTGTAGACCGAGCTGGCCTCGAACTCAGAGAGCTGCAGCTTCTGCCTTCTGAGTGCTGGGATTAAGGGCATGTACCACAAATGCTAGTAGTTCTTAACCTTAAAAAACTATGATCCCTATTAAAATAGAAGCTACTCCACTGAAGTTAAATGAAGATTCGTTTCCTAGGTTACAATGTCAGCCTTTACTTACAGGACACGTCCTCTGTGCTCTGTACTATTACAGCTCTTTTAACTAAGTGTCTTATTAATCTTTCACAAGGAGAAAACATAGGTCTGCAAAGGTAAACTGACTTACACATAGTGAGCAGGTAAGAAAATCAGACTCTGTTTTCAATCCCATATCATGAGATTGGCATCGGTGAAGAGACAATACTTACTATCATATGATAAGATATGTCCACTTTTGCCTTCATAAATAACATGGCCTTTGGATGCAGCTTCCTCTCTGACTTTCTCAGGACTGCTTTCTTCAATGGGCATCCTGGAAACAGGTCCCTTCACCAAAGTCTCTGTTGGTATGCCAGCCTGGGGCAAAGCTGGGGTTCCCTGCCATCAAAGCAAACACAAGCACCCAAAGATTCACTTATGCTTAGAAGAAGCACAAGATATTTAGAAAATATAACCTGAGAGTCCGGTATATCTTCAAAGAAAGCAAGGCACACAACAGGAAACGAGACACTTCATTCACTTCTATAAACACAGAGAACCCTGTATCTCATTCCTTGAAGCCTGTCATGGAGAACTTAGAATGACGAGAGTGTATGAGGTAAAACAGCTTTGTTCTCCACACCCTTTGGCCAAATATGGAAGGAGAGACATGGAGTTCCAATGGAGTGTTATAAATCAACACAAACTAACAACTGCATAACTAGGAAAAAAAATCACCTGGGAATTGTCTTAACATGATGATTCTGGCTCAAAATGTCCTGAGCAGAATCAACAGAAGGCTCAGGAAAACAGGGTTGCCAGGCCTCATCCCTGAGGGTTTGAATCCAGTGATCCTAGAGTAAGGCTTAAGAATTTAGGGCCAGCCACTTCTCAGGTGATATTGATGCTAAAGGTCTAGGGGGCCCGCACCATTAGAACCAATATCTTAAGTAACAGGAATAATAAAAAGAAGAGCAAGCTAGTGACAATATACAAAAGTCTTGTATTAATGTGGATAGCAGAATAAGCAGAATTTTCTATTTTCTTCATCTATACACATTTTAAAACAAGGGGATGTTTTTATATTTCAAGTTAAAATTAATATATAGCTAGGAAAAGAAATACCTTCCATTAATCAAAATTGGGATTCTGTTTAGCTTCAAAACAGAATATATTCAATTTCTAGTGTACCTTTTGTTCCAACTGAATTTGAACATGGCAGCTTATATATTGAGATCACAAATATACTTTTCACAAGAACAACTGTTTTCCTCTTTATTCATATTTAATCTGAGCACATGGTTAAAGCTTTGCTAAGAAGACATTAAGGACTGTAACAACTTCTGCAAGTTTCTTTTGCCAGTTTGCAGATAAGTAACACTTTGAAAATTACATTATACATAATATGGCTTGTGGTGAAAATGCAGTAGGAATGCCTTCCTGGAGATGGTCTGCAGACCTGAGGTTTAGTATCATTGAGAGCTGAACTCATAACCAAAGAACAATGCACAACAAACTACAGAACAGTACTTCAATACCAACTAACGAAAGCTCTCGAGGTCCAGCTTTCCTCTCTGATCAGCATGCTGGAGATGACAGTGCGTGCACTGACCTGGGTAATAGAGCCCCGCAATGATGAAATGCTCTCCACTGAGATTTTGCTGGCTGGAGTTCCCCGAGTTATACTTCCCTCTTGGACAGCCCCTACAGTGCCTGAATAAAAAAACAAAACCATCAGTACATCATTGCCTTCTTCCTGACAGCCCCACTCCCCAACACCAGTTGTCAAACAGCAGAATGTAGGAGAAGATAACAAAAATTGTTTTAATGAAATGTATGTCTCAAATAATATCATAATGATTTAAAAAGGACGGTTCAAACTGCATGATAAAATATCGCAACCTTAGTCAGAAAGGCTTTCTTTTGCAGCAGGCAGAGGTGAATACAGAGATTTTGCTTTGGTCAAAGTGCGAGAATGACTGACAGTGAGTGCAAAGCCTTAAATAGTATATCTCTATCATCCTTCTCCCCCAAAGGCTCAGGGAACATTCTAGAAGGGGTGGAAAGAATATAAGAGCCAGAGTAGAGGGAGAAGGGCAGCTATGGTTACTGCACAAGACCTAAAAAAGATCAAGCCAGTCAAAATTCTGGCATGGATGAGGATGTGCTCATAAGGACCTACCCCTAACTGAGGAGCTATTGGCTATTGATGGCTGCTGGGGGAAGGAGGGCCATTTTTCTTTAGTAGACTGGGGTCGTGGGTAGGTTGCCCATGCTTCAGTGGATGGCACCACACACATCCATTACAGGAAGCAATAATTGTACTTTGGGTTATTTAATATAAATAAATAAATAAACAAATAAATAAAGCAGCAGCAGAGGACCTGAAATTGGGAGGGGGAATGTTTGGGGGGCAGTTGTTGGTGGGACTATGATCAAAATACATTACATACATATAAGAAATAACAATAAATAAATGTATTATTAAAACATGACTGCTGGCATAAATAACTTCAGAGTTTGGTGGGGTTTTTTGGATTTAGCTTTGTTTTTGTTTTGGTGGTGTATTCTACCCACCAAATTTCAAAGTTTTACAATTAGTTGTACATGGAAGCAAAAACAATGTGAAAATCAGTAACCTGAAGAATCTTTCATTAAAATATATTAATGACTGAGCTGGATGTATTCACCTGCAATCCCTTTTGGAGACTGATGTAGGAGGACTGAGAATCAAAGTCCAGAGTTGGCTACACAGCAAGTCCAAGGACAGTATCACTGTTGCCACAACTTAGGACATCCCCACAAAAAGATATAATTTTTAATGACTACCTTCAGTCAGTTTACTAGGGGCAAGAATTTAACACATCTGTCAAACTGCATACAGTTTTACCTCTGACCACACCTTCATGCTGTGCCCTGACCAATAAGCCCTCTGGTTGTGAGTTTTGGCTTCTTGGAGAAAATTCTTCCTGCTTTATGTAGGTCGAAGGAGCTGAGGACAAAAGCAAGAGAAACATGAAAAGACCAACCAGTGCACGGCTGACCGTGACCACAAACAGGTGCCCGAGGACTGTGCCACTCACTGACCTGATTTGGTAGATTCCTGCTGCCGTGGCAATCCAAGAGAGATAGATCCCACTGAGGGCTTAGCTGCTTCTTGAGTATAAGCCTGATTATGAGACGTCAAGTAAGTGCCAGGAGTTCCCTGAAAAATAAATAAAAGAGTCAAGAGACTAAGCAAACCATTGTCTTTTCTGAAAGTAAAGTCAATCATTAATTGTCGAAGCAGAGAATTCAGTGGCCATACATAACACAGACTTTACAATTAGTTCTTAAAAACTAAAGAAGCTACAACAGGGTGGGAGGCGGCTGGATGGTTACGAGAGTTGCCATATCACACAACATAAAATATGCAGTTCTGGTGCCTGGCAAGATGACTCAGGGAGTACAGGTGCTTTCCATTAAGCTGAAACCCTGAGTTTGATCCCTGAGACCCACATGGTTACGGGGGAGAAATCTATTCCCACACATTGTTCTCTGATCTTCACATGGGAAAAAAATGAATGTAAGAAAACTTCAATTTGAAAAAAAAGTTACAAGATGTATAAAAAAAAGTGAACCATACAGAGGAAATAAAACAGTACGCTTTTAATTTACTAGACCAAGGTTAGATAGAGAATTAAAGGGAAGTATAAGAACAACGTCTAACAAAATACAAAATGCCACACAGAGAAAGAAAGCAGTAAAAGAACAAAACAGAAAGTCTAGCATCGACAGGGGGGGTCAGGTGGTGATGGACATTTATAACCCAGCACTTGGGAGACCTGAAGCAAGAAGATCTGAGACCAGGTTAGACCACAGAGTTTCATGCTTCCCTCAGCTAGATAATGAAACTCTGTGTAAAACAAAAGAGAAACAAAATGAAACAAATAAAATAACACTAAGAACCCAAAGAAATATATTTATTTCCCCAAAAGGACCTAGGGGGCACAGTAAAATACTGAATGCTTTACTTTTTAGATCTACAACAGGAGACATCCATGCACACTCTTTCCATCAATACGGCATTTTTCTGTAGACAGCACAATGAAACAAGAAAAAGAGATAAAAGAGATACAATTAGAAATGAACTAAACCACCTTTCTCATCCGGGTATGGTGACAAACATGTAGCCTGTCACCCCATGATATGGGAGGTGGAGCCAAGAGGGACAGTTCCAGGCCAGCTTCTGGTACAGAGTTTAAGGCCAGCATGAGCTACACTAAAGCCTGTCACAAAACAAAACACTGCCCCCATCCCAAAGATAGACACGACACATAGAAATTATTTCTCCAAATCTAACCCCCCCAAAAAAACAATCCTTATCAGAAGTACTGAGAGGTCACAAGGCTACTCAAGACATGGATGCTGTTTCTCTGTACCAATACTACTATGCTGCTTCGCTTTCTGTGTTTCCCTGACTCTGTTTGCTTTTAGCAGACTGAAGCTTTGTATCTGAGGTGTGTGAGTCTGTCAGTACCATTACTGCAACACTGTACAAGGTTCTTAGCATTTTTTTAAACAATGAAGTATCTGTTTTGTTTTGACGTATTTAAATACAGTTTCCCCGTGAATGTCAGACTGAACTAAAACCTGTGATCCTATTGCCTCAGCCTCCAGCAAGCTGGAGATTAAAGGTGTATACAACTATGTCTAGTTCCAAATTTGTTTTGTTTTCTGAGACAGAGTTTCTCTGTATAACAGCCCTTGCTGTCCTGGAACTTGCTCTGTAGCCCAGGCTAGCCTCAAACTCACAGAGATCCACCTCCCTCTGCCTCCAAGTGTTGGGGTTAAAGGTGTGCACTACCACTGCCCAGCTCTAAATTATTTTTTAATTAAGGTACATACATTCTTTTAGATATAATACTTTGCATATTTAACTGACTGTAATATATATGTACACACACACACACACACACACACACACTACATATAAAAATAAGTTTTCTATATAATGGAAAACCCAAAGCTTCTTATGACATTGAAACATTTGCTTTCTGGGATGGTTTGGAACCAAGCTTATGATATCCTCACTTATGCCTGTACTAGCCAAGAACTTATAAAAACAAAGAATACATTAAAATTGCCGGGCATGTTGGTACAAACCTTTAATCCCAGCACTTGGGAGGCAGAGGTAGGCAGATCACCATGAGTTCAAGGCCAGCCTGGTCTACACAGTTAAGTTCCCAGGCCAGCAAAGGATACATAGGAAGACCCTGTCTCAGAAAACCACAGAATACATTAAAATTAATGAAATAGCCCAAAATGAACAGAATATGCACATAACTTCTAAAGCAGAAACAACAAAACACTTTAAACAGGAATTAGCAATAAAGGCCTAGAAAAAAGAAAAGATGTGTATATTCACAGATTAGAAGATTCAAGATTATGAAAATATCTATTCCTATCTGAAACTGATCTGTAGGTTTAATGTCATTTCAACCAAAACTCTAGTTGACATTTACAAAATTGAAAAACAAATTACATAATTTATATGAACATGATAAAGGATATAGAATGGCCAGAAAAATAAAAACACCACAAGATGTACACTAAATGATTATACATTATAACATGACAATCATCAAGACTATAATAACAAAAGTAGACAAATAGATCCGCAGACCAGCTCTGAGTGCAGATACAGATCCAACAAAAGACAACCAGAACAATCAAAAGAGAGAAAGAAAACTCTATCAGCCACGCTGCCAGAAGTGACAATCCAGATGAGAAGTAAATACTGATTTCCACACAACTAGGATGAAGAAACCAGTCTCTGACTAATCATGGGCACAAAAGTAAAAGCCAAATCTATAAAGCTTGCAAAATGTAACAAATCAAAGTATAAGGAATGTGTTCAACATGCAATGATTATATGAAAATGTTCTGTCAACAGTGCCGCCTATGCAACAAATATAAAAAATGAAAATATATATGTAATGTGTATCAACATAATAAATTTAAAGCTGGGAATATGGATCAGTCAGTTGAGTGTTGTAGCACCACATGAAGAAGGCACCATGGCACACATCTGTCATTCTAACAGTTGGGAGGTGAAGGTTCAAGGTCATTCTTGGCTACATGCCTGGGATACAAAAGGCCTCCTCTCAAAAAATAAGTAAAACTGTCGGAAAGACAGCTCTGTAGGTCAAAGGGCTTACTACAAAACCTGACAATGTGACTTTAATGCCCAGAACCTACATGGTAGAAGAGAACTGACTCTCATAAGTTGTCCTTTGACCTCCATAGGGTAAAGAAACCTGTGAGGGGTTCAGGCTCGGTCTCTCTCAGTCTTGGTTTCTCTCTCTCTCTCTCTCTCTCTCTCCCCCCCCCCTTTCTCTCAACACACACACACACAAACAATAATAATAATTTTATACAATGCTTTTAGTACACCTGTGGTTTTACTGTGCTCTTTCATAGTGGAGCAGATGTGACATTTTCCACGTGTGATGGATGGCATGCTGTGCTCAGAAAGTTTTACATTTTATAGCATTTTAGGTTTCAGACATTCATACTACAGATACTCAGCCAGCAGTCATGTCACAGAACCAGAAATACAAGTATGGACAAAGAGCACATGGAAAGAGTGTGACGTAACTTATTTTCAGGGAAACACATACTACAACCACAATGAAGTATGACTACACCTACTTAGGTGTAACTAAGTATGCCTAAAATGAAACAGACAGACAGACAGACACCCAATAACAACGAGTGGAACAAAGACTGAAACTAGAAGCCTCAGTCTTCGGCAGCGCTGGTGGGGACACAGCGACGGGGTCACTTGAAACTCCACTTCACTCCCAAGGATAACAGCAGAGAAATCCAAACGTACATTCACAAAGGAACCAGCATGAAGGGGTTCACAACTGCTTCATTCTTAAGGAGCCTAAAACAAAACAGTTCAGGTTTCCCTCCACAGAAGAGATAAACAAAATGAAACGTTCATACAATGGAGTTAAAAAAAAAAAAGTTCAAAACGCTACTGAGTACACACAAAGACTTCACTGAATCCCTAAAATCATTACATGTAGATAAAAAGCAAACACGAAAGTGTGCATAGTATATGACCCTGTTCGTGTGAGTCCTAGGAAAGTGAAAATGAACACATGGCTACAGAAAGGAGGACAGAGAGGAAACAGCCTAGGAAGGAACCTGATTATTTATTAGTACACTACTAAGTTAGTGAGAGGAGGTAAAGGGCTAACCTAAGCAACATTCAACAGGAAATCTGTTATAAAGAAAAGCCAGCTTACCTGTGAGATGGACCCTCCCATTATAAAGGATGGCTTTTCTGATGCTGCAGTGGTTTTAGACGATGGGATGAGAGGAGGAGGTGGTCTGGTTGGTCGTGTTGTTGGAAGCCGAACGCCCTCGGGAAGGTTAGTTATCACTTGATGTGGAGCAGGTTGGAGGACTTTTTAAAGAAAAAAAAAAATCATTTAAAATGGTCAATTTCCTATTATACATAGGCTACCTTCCTCAGGAAGTATTCTTGAATCTTTAGACCACAAATTAAATTCTAAATGTCAGATGAAGCTACACGTGAGTATTTTCACTTTTTAAAAATCTGTCAATGAGTATACTCAACTCTCAAATGGTATTTGTGAGGTAAATGTATTCAATTTATTTCAAACCACAGCATTCAAAGCTGACATTAGCAACTATTCTGTTCAACAGAGGCTATCATTATGAGTGATTTTGTCTTTCTTCATCACCATCTGAAACTTGTAATGGGAATGAGAATCAGGAAGCTTCCAAGAAATATCTGCTGCTTCACACAGTAGGAGACAAGGCTGACAACCCAGTATATATCCTCTGTGTAGCTGCATAATTTGAAAACATCTACTGATTCTGGCTTTCACAGTACACTTGAATTTCTGGGGGGTGGAGTCGGGAGGGGGGGGGAGTCTCAAGGGTTTTTACAAAGTAGTTGTACTGTTAAAAGAAAAGCCAATCACAGTATAGGTGTGTCAACAGACTTCCCAGTGGCCCAGTGAATCTGAATTCAATTGACAATGGAATGCAGAGAAAGTCATTCTAGAAGAGCAAAGATATGTCCTGAAGAGCAGGTCACTCATGAGATTAAAACAGCACGTGGAACACCTGTGGGTAGATGGCCAGCAGCCACTGTGCAGAAAGGCAATATTTACCTGGAGGGACACTAGAGCGGGCTGCACTCCTATCGGGCTGTGAAGCGGCTTTACTGACTTCTCTTGGAGAGAGCCTACACGGTGAGGCTGACCTTGCTGCGGTACTGTGCATCTGTGCTTCCTGTTCTAGAGCACGTTTGACCTCAGCATAGGGCATATAGGCGACTGATTTTCCTATGAAAGTTAAAGTTATCACAATAAGGGAAGAACCCCAAATTAAAATAGTATGTGTGAAAGGACCAAGCCCATACCATCCAAGGGCAGATCCATCTATATGCGAATAACAAGGTCTAAAATTGCCGGGGACAAATCCACCCACAGAAAAGTTATGAAATCCTACTAAATCTAAATCTGATGTTTCCCTCAGATTTAAAACCCTCAGAAATTCAATGGCAATTTTTACCTTTAAAGAACAAAAGGTCTTAAGAAAAATCAAGTGCTTTGATATGCAATAAAATTACATCAGACAAACACTGAATTATGAAGGGAATCTGTGAACTCAAGTCTGACCTGGATTACAGGTCAGTTCTCTGAGAATTTCAATTAGCTTATTGATGTTAACTGCCTAATATTTAAAAAAGTAAACATGAGAAACAGAAGTCTTTTCAAACAAATGCAGATAAAACTTATTCCTTAGCCAGTTTAAAAAGAAACTATGAATATAACTGTATTAATGATGAAAGTTACTTAATGAAAAGTTATTCCCACATTAAAAATTTCCATTTTTCAATGGCATGACAATAATGCAGTCATATCACCATAAACAGGGGACTGAGAAGACACTACAGAGTATGAAGGTATGAGCTGGATCCCCAGGACCCATATAAAACAGCCAGGAGTGGTGACACATAATTGAAATCCCAGCACTGGGGATGGGGGGACAGGGAGTATGTAGAGGCAAGCTAATACCTGGGGCTCACTGGCCAGCCAGCTTAACATGGCAGGGGAGGCCCAGACTAATATAGTAAGAAACTGTTTCAAAAAATCCAAGAGACATAGTGGCCAAGGACTGATGCCCAAGGTTGATCTCTGGCTTCTACACACTATGTATGTGCACCCAAACACACAATTTTTAAAAAAAATAATAAACATACAAATATAAAATTTTCTCCCTTTTCTGGGGGGTGGGGCATAGTGGTGTCAGATGGCCCAGACAGACCTGAAATGGAAGATCCTCCTTCCTTCCCCTCTTGAATACTCAAGATTATGGGTATGTGGGCATCATGCCATCTAAATATTTCCTTTATTAAACTGAAACTAATATACTGTGATTAACCATTGAAAACCAGAAAAGCATAAAGTAAAAGTCAAATGTAACTCTTTACCACTTAGATGTATGACATTTTAATGTCTGACAAAACAAATGCTCATTTACATTTTTGTTCTTCTCATTTCCTTATCTTAGCCATTTATCCTTTCAGTTTTTTTGTTGGGATTGATGTTTTAAAACCGGCTTTTAGTATCTAGGCCTGGATGGCCTCAAACTCAAAATTTTCCTGCCATGGCCTCCCAAGTGCTGGGATTATACATCCGTACCACCACATTTAGCTAATCAAGATAAATTTAGATTTAAAATCATTTTGCATACTTCCTATTGAAAATGTCATTAGAATTTTCATTTGGATTACATTAAATTTATGGACAAATAAAGGATAGGAAAATTCTTTTAATATTGAATTAAAAATAATCTGTCAACTTTATTAAAATTATTCCTAGGTCTTATATGTTCTCTTGCTGGGAAAAATCATCTCTCATATATATGGATGTATATATGTAACTTAATACTTTAGATATACAGAAAAGATATATGTTTTCTATAATAGCTTTTCCTAAGAAAACTTTCCTTTTATACATTTTAAAAATTTATTTATTTATTTTGCTTGTGTTTACATTTATGATATGTGTGAGTACCAGCATGCATGTGTTACAGAATGGATGTAGGGGTCAGAGGACAGCTTTCAGGAAGCCCTGCCTTCCACCTTGTCGAGGCAAGGCCTCTCTTTTCTGCCAGTTGCATACGAGACCCTAGCTGGCCTGCAGGCTTCCAGATGATTCCAATCTTTACCTCCCACAGGACTGTAGGCAGGTCTTAGGAATCAAACTCTAGGTTGGTAGCCCAGCTTGCTTGGGAGGGAGGTAGTTTTATCCCTGGAACATTCACCAGGCCTCTTTTACATTTTCTAGGATAATATTACCATGCAAGTAGCAATTTGTCTTCTTCTTTTACATACCTAAGTTATATTTATCTTACTATACTATGTTAACAGTGGTCCACCTTGTAGTCCCCACTCAAGTGTCAAGGTCCATAACTGTTTTCAAATACAGACTTTTTAAAAAACATTTTTGTTTGTATGTTTTGTTTTTGTTTTTCAAGACAGGATTTCTCTGTGTAGTCCTGGTTGTCCTGGAACTCACTCTGTAGACCAGGCTGCCCCCAAAATCACAAAGATCCACCAGCCTCTGCCTCCAAAGTGTTTGAATTAAAGCTGTGTACCACCACCGCCCAGCTCAAATAAAGACTTATGATATTGTAATCAACTAATATTCAATTGTTAGACGCCACACTTTCCATGAATTTGAAGAAGGAAGTGGAAGTAATGAACTTACGTTATATAGGATTTATCAATAAACTTGCTCAGAAAACATTAAATTGAACAAAAGTAGATGTTTAACAATGAGCACTGGTCTGCCAGACAGTTTAGAGGACAGCCCTGGCTGGCAATGCTAATTCATCCCCGAGCCTCTAATCAGGATGAGGACCCCAAGTTAACAGCTGCCTGGGAAAAGCAGGGCTGGTCTGTCTGGGATAACTATGACACTACTTTACACTGCAAATCTCCCCATCTGTTCAAACATCCAAACCTTGGAAATCTGTCTCGATAGGACAACACATAATTACTCAAAGTCTAACTTGGAGCCTTGAGCCTATATAAGCTGATGGGGAGCTGGTTCCCTTTTGTGCATTAGCCAGAATTAGTCACACACTATTATTCAGTTTTTCCTTATTAATCTCTAAGTATCTGGATTTCTCATTGGGAAATACAATATAATAAATTGTCTCACTTAACTCTCACAACTAAAGAGATTAATGAAATTTTTCAAATGAGGAAATTGGGGCTCCAAAGAATCACAAACTTCCCAACCAAAGCAAACTATGACGGACTTCGAACTGGATGGCTACTGAACTTCTGACACCTGTGGGATACCCATCAAAACAATGATACTCATATTGGGCATGGTATTGAATACCTATAATCCCAATACTTAGGAGGTTAAGGCAAAGGGATAGGCCAGTGTAAGGACACAAACAAACAAATTTATTTCTTTCCTAGAAGATTTAACATAATGTTATATTAACTATTTCAAATAATTTATAACTATGTAGAAAAATCCATTTAAAAAAATGGTATATATTTAGATGGTCCTAACCACATCAATTTCAATCAGAATATATACAGAAGTGGAAAAACTAAACAAATAAAGTAACAAAATAAACACAAAACAAAATAGTTTTAGTTGCACAGAAGCAGAAATCAATTTTTATGACATAGACTTTTATTAAACTTGCAATACAACTTCTAACTTGACATGCCCAAGCTTCTTCTCTAGAAGCTATCAGTGTAGCAAGGGTCAATCTGGGTAAATGTCAGTTGAAAATAATAATAATAATATATAATTAATAATATTATTATTATTTTTAATTTTTTTAAAAATTTTTTTTTTTTGAGACAGGGTTTCTCTGTGTAGCTTTGGAGCCTGTCCTGGAACTCGCTCTGTAGACCAGGCTGGCCTCGAACTCACAGAGATCCACCTGTCTCTGCCTCCGAAGTGCTGGGATTAAAGGCGTGCACTACCACTGCCCAGCCAAAAATAATTCTTTAAAGTACTTTCAAAACCTTTTTCTACAGATAACAAAAGCATAATTTAAAGAGGGGGCATGCCTACCAATCTGTACCAATCTCATTTAAAAAGCAATGAATAGAATCAAATGAAAGCACAGCAGCTAAATAAACACAGAGTCCTAATCTAGGCAGAGTTCCCTAGTACTTAACTGTTTGGGTTATTTTTTTTAATGGTAGTAGTAGTGTGGATTTTGCTTATTTATTTTGGCACAAGGTCTTCTCTGTAGATTAAGCTGATTTAGAACTCACTGAGTAATTCGCAATTGCCTCAAACGTGTGAAAAATCCTCCTGCCTTAGTCCTTCCAGTGCTGGAATTACAGACGTGAGCTGTCATGATAAGCTGATGGTATTTATATGTAAACTCACACTACGGATACTTTTTAATCTATAAAATAGTCTGTGGTTGTGTTAAAACATTTGCCATGTTTTCCATACAGATGTGACTTAACTGTAAACATTTAAATGCTATTTGGAAGTGTCCCAGACACTGACTACACGGTATTTATGAACAACCTCAAAGGAGAGATATATAGCTTATAGAAATAAAATACTGAATGTATACATTAGGTGGGTTAGCAAAATAAAACTTTTATGTAAAGTATAAAAAGAAGGTGACACCATGTAAAGCCATCCTGAATTAAAACTATAAAACTCTTCATGTCATAGTAATTTAACATGAAAGTCTGATTTTAAGATCACTGCATTATCACTTTGGAGGCAGAGCCAGGCAGATCTCTGTGAGTTCGAGGCCAGCCTGGGCTACAGAGTGAGTTCCAGGAAAGGCACAAAGCTACACAGAGAAATCTTGTCTCAAAAAACCAAAAAAAAAAAAAAAAAAAAAAAAGATCACTGCATTACAATTAAAAATTCAGCCACCACTTTTCAGTCTAAAATCTAAAGCACACAGAACAGAACAAAGGATTAACTGCAGAGAAATGTAGCTCACAGTATCAAGCTCAACACTTAGGCTCTGGTCACTCTAGCTCCTCAATACAGTTCAAAAAAAGACTGATGTTGTCTGTGAAGATATTGAGGTTCTAAACTATGCTATCCAATGGAAATCACCCACACATTACTAACTGAATGTGAGGCTTTGGCAGGAACTCAACAAATGATTGAACTGAATATCATTTTTTCTAAGTTTTATTTTATCCTTTAAAAAACCTATCCTAGCCCAGGGGTGGTAGCACACTCCTTTAAACCCAGCTCTTAGGAGGCAGAGGCAGGTGGATCCCTATAAGTTTGAGGCCAGCCTGCTACAGAGCTGTTCCAGGACAGCAAATGCTACACAAATAAACCCTGTATTAAAAATTTTTTAAAGCTATCCTAAATAATAAATAAAGAATAAATAAACAGGCCTGTATTTATAATTTACTCACAAATAGATTTCTTCATAATTGTGCATTTAAAGGAGAACCATCTCTGAGAGCCAGGATGTGGCAGTGCTAAAGTGGTCTAAGTGAAGTCGCGAGGAGAAGGAACAAAGAAAGGGAGAGGAGCGGATCACTTTTTTTTTTTTTTTTGGGGGGGGGAGGCAGGCGGAGTGGAGAGGCGGGGTTCAAGACAGGGCTTCTCTGTGTAGCGCTGGGTATTCCAGAACTCACTCTGTAGACCATGCTGACCTCAAACTCAAGAGATCCACCTGCCTCTGACTCCTGAGTGTTGGGATTAAAGTTGTGCACCACCACTGGCCCCTAAGGGTGGATCACTTAAACCATTCCTTCAACATATAATATCTAAGTACCCATTGTATTGATTATAAAACTAGGGATCATAGATCCTCAAAATGCAGTTCAGTAAAGGTTATCAAAATTCCTGCCTACTTACATTATAGAAATATTCACTTAGGAGGGATATGGTGACACAGCCCTGAAATAACCAGCACATGAGAAGCTGGGGCACTGGGATTCTGAGTTCAGGTTCAGCCTGAGCTACATGGTGAATTCGAGGACAACCTGGGCTACATACTACAATCCTGAAGGGAGGGGAAGAATGACAGTGGAAGGGAGAGAGATTGGAAGGAGAGAAAACAACAACAACAACAAAAACCATTTCTTTATGGCTGGGGTGAGCTAGTGGGAAAGCACGTGCTCATAATGGACTGGGTTCAATTGTTAGGGAGAGAAATACTCTGCATTCTTTCCATGCCTTAGTATTATTTCCCTAGTTCCCATTTTTGCTAGCATGAGATTTACGTTTAAGGGCTGCTGAGATGCTCAAGGATTTGTAACAGTGCTTGCTATGCAAGCCTGAGGACGTCAATGCTATCCCAATTCCACTGTGGAAGAAGAGTTGGACTCCTTAAAGCTGTCCTCCAAACTTCAAATGCACAACACAGCACACACATAATAATTAAAAAACAACTTACATTTAAGACAACAAGAAGCTCATATAGAAAAGTCTACCGTAAGAGGTTGTTCTGTATGTTATGTAACTAGTAAACTCATCACGGGTGTGCATGGAGTGAGGAGTCAGTAGGATACTCTACAATCTCATTTTTACATCAAACAGCCTTTAACACGCACATGTGGCTTTCCAAAGCTGATTGCTCTTGTCTATATAAAGTATTACAAAATACTTCTGAATCAGCCACAGACAATTTTAATATTCATACATTCTAAGCATAAAGATAATTTAAGCTTACTATCAACCATGTGCCAATTCAGATAAATTATTAAAATTTAGAAATAACCCCTCATATTAAAGTAAAAATGTACTATGCTCCAACTAGAACAGAATGAATCAATTCAAATATCATTTGAAACAGTAAGTGATACAGCAGGGACAGGTCCTTTTATAGCGGTCTATACTGTATATAAAAGCTGAGCCATGTGTTACATAACAATACTGACTGTTTAACTTTACAACCCTAGACAGAGAAATATGTATTATTATTTTCACTTGTTGATGAGAAAACTAAAGCAATGAAAGGCTAGGTATCTTCGCCCATGGTCACACAGCTAACAGGCTGAAGACTGAGTAAGGGTGATAATTATCTGCTACAAAAAGGTGCCTCCATCACATTAAAACATTATGCAGCCTCAGATGACATGTTTTAATAACAGAACATCAGTCAGATTAATGGGGGATAAAGCATGGTTTTTATACTCTCAGAAGAAGAATTAGTTCAGAAAAGTCTTATCAACTAGAATGCTACTAACAATGTTACTGCTGTCTTTTGGTAGTCGCCAGTATTTAATGGTATGAGCAGCATCAGTTTAAGGGCTCTTCTATCAGGGACAGATGTAATAAACTGATTGAGATCACACACAGAGCACAAAGGACACACGCTATCTTGGGCTTCAGTTTGATTCCCTTTGTAGTGATGGTTCCATCTACCTACCTTCCCACTCCCTGTTTGGACTCTTAGCAGTACCGCACGGACTTGTAGAGCTTCTACATTCCAAGTCTATCTGTTCTTGCCTCTGACGCTGTTCCTCCAGGAGAGCCGACTCGTGCATGGCCTTAATATGTCGCTGGTAAAGAGCATAGCCACTCACGGGGGTTCCAATTGGTATATTACATGGGGTGCAAGAAACCTACAAGGCGACGAAAAATCAAATTGAAATGTGCCAATGACCACGGCAGCACTAATTACTAACTGTTAAAAATAATACTTATACCTGAAATGCTAAGGACTGAACTGATTTGACCATGTTTTAATCAAAGCACTGTTCAAAACAAATGCTAGGTGGCTACAAAAGAAATGATCACAGCAGAAATCATAAAATCTGTGACAAAATAAATCAAACCCAGAAACTAACGATCATTTGTCTAATTCAAATCCTTATGATCAATCTGGCTCTCAGTTTCTCCCCACATCTCACCAGACAATCACATTCATTTCTACAGATTTACATGCTCTATATGGCAATGACTCAGAAACTTCTCTTTCCAAGAGACTTCCTACAAGTTCCACACTCATAAAAAACTGTCTACCTTTGAGTCTTCTTGAACAATTCAAAGTAATTTTCTACTGAACAACCTATTGCCTGTCTTTCTGCACTCTCTCTTTTGGAAACAGACCTCAGCAAGAAATGCAGCCATCATCCTTGGCTTATCCAATCTCTCCCAACCTCCCTTTCCCCAAACTAACTCATCCCACCTTGATTTGCTTTTCATTCAGTCACGGCCATTTCGTTCATACTATACAGCTTTTGCCCTACTTTGTAGCAGCAGTTTTTGTTTTTGAGACAAGGTATCCCTGGCTGGCACTCACTATATGACCCAGGCTGACCCCAAACTTATGGCAATCCTCCTGCCTTAACCTCTTGAGCACTGGGATTACAGGTATGCATAACTCACTCTGCTTGCAACTATGTTTTTCTTATTTATTTATGATTAAATACTTGATAAACAACAAACAGCCATAGAGGCCCTAGAGAGCTAACACATATTAGAGAAGATACGCTCTAAACACTACTATAGATTTTACTATACCATAAGTGGGCCTTACAGCACAAATATGACTTCTGTCTTTATGTTTTGTTTTACATATGAACCTAGCTTTTCCTCCTTCTGGCACAAAACCAGACCAAACTGTTTTGGTCCAATAGAAACCTTAAATCTTATGTGGAGTCTTAAATTCCTACCTAAGAGGCTCATAATCCTTGGGACAATACAATAACTGAAGGCAGTAATGTATAGCCTAATACTGGGAAACTATATTTCTGTAAGGCGTTGTGGTATAATAAAGTCTGTCTCTGTTCTTGGTTCACACCTAACATTCTTGGTCTGTGAAGAAATGAGTCATTTATGACACGATCAATAAGAAAAAAAGACAACCTACAGAATGGGAAAAGATCTTCACCAACCCCACATCTGACAGAGACTGTTCTCCAAAGTAAATAAAGAACTCAAGAAAATAGGCATCAAAATACTGAACAATCCAATTAAAAAATGGGGTACAGAGCTAAACAGAGAATTCTCAAAAGAATCTCAAATGGCTGAAAGACATTTAAGGAAATGCTCAACATCTTTAGTCATCAGAGAAATGCAAATCAAAACGACTCTGAGATACCATCTTACACCTGTCAGAATGGCTAGGATCAAAAACACTGAAGACAGTCTATGTTGGAGAGGATGCAGAGCAAGGGGAACACTCCTCCACTGTTGGTGGGAGTGCAAGCTTGTACAACCACTGTGGAAATCAGTATGGCGGTTTCTCAGAAAATTGGGAATCAATCTACCTCAAGACCCAACCATACTACTCTTGGGCATATACCCAAGGAATGCTCAATCATAACCACAAAGATACATGCTCAACTATGTTCACAGCAGCATTATTCGTAATAACCAGAACCTGGAAACAACCTAGATGCCCGTCAATTGAAGAATAGATTAAGAAAATGTGGTACATATACACAATGGAGTACTACTTAGCAGAGAAAAACAATGACAGCATGAAATTTGAAGGCAAATGGATGGAACTAGAAAATATCATCCTGAGTGAGACGACCCAGACTCAGAAGGACAAACATGGTATGTACTCACTCATAAGTGGATACTAGATATAAAGCAAAGAACATTCAGACTGCAACCCACAGATGCAGGGAGGATCTGTGCACACCTAGCAGGGGAGACCCTAGGATGACTGTGGCTTCCAATAGGTTTTGGTTTTACCCAATCACTGGGCAAACTTGAGTGCAAAATTGCACTATTAGGATAAGAATGTGCACTGTATCAAGCTGATGGGAGAAAATGCTGGCCATACCTTCAGGAGGGGAGGCTAAAATCTTTTTAGATTATGGATTAGCCTATAGAAAAATGTCTGCTGTAAATCAAACAGTGAAGGGGAAGATGAATAGGAATCTCACACAACTTAAGTAAAACATAGCTCTCTGAACAGATGAAGATAGGTTTCTTCTGTATCCCAGAAACTAATCAATATTTATATGTATAATTCAGCTATCATTTGGCTTAAAAGGGCTTATTGGGAAATGTTATCATTTATACTATTTTCTACAGAGAAAATATTTTACTGTTTAAAATAACCCTGGACTTTTAAATTATAACCTGTTTTTATGTTCAAAAAGTAAATAAATAAAAATTAAAAAAAATTTTTTTAAAGTCTTTTACGACAAAGGGTCGTACACCCTCGTAAACTTAGCATTTGGACACTAAGGTAGGAGGGTTATGGTAAGTTCAACTAGCCCGGGCTACAGAGTTGAGTTCCAGGACAGCCTAGACTGTACACAGGACTCTGTCTCAAATTACAGTATGTCTATGGGCTGGAGATATAATATCGTTGGTACAATACTGGTTGAACATACACAAAGTCCTGTGTTCAGTCCCCAGCACTGCATAAATTGAGCGTGGAGGTGCATGTCTGTAATCCCCAGTATTCAGCAGGCAGAGGCAGATGGAACAGAGAAGTTCAAGGTTATCCTTGGCTACAGGATATATCAAGCCTAGCTTCGGATATATCTCAAGAAAAACAAAAATTAAAACATGTAAGAAGTATTTTTTTATGTCAGTGGAATGACTATAGGTTGGTGGCCCAGAAGAACAAGGCATGAAGAGAGGGATGGAATTTTGAGCTAAACTCAGCCCAGCCAAGTGTACCTCCAACCTCTAGGTGGAGAAGAGAGGCTGGAGGGTCATGTACTCATCACTAGAGGCCAATGATTTAATCAATCATGCCTACATCATGAAATCTCCCTCCAAAACAAAATAAACTCCTAAATGGCTGGGGTTAGAGAGCTTAGGTTGGTGAAAATATGGAGGTGTTGGGCAGGCTGTGTGACCCAGAGGGGAAGAAAATTCTACCTGCTTTCCCACACACCTTGCTGTATGCATCTCTTCAATCTGAGAATTTCTAAGTTGTATCCTTTGGAATAGAGCAGTAAGAATAAGGAAAGTGCTTTCTTAGGTTCTCTGAGATTAAGAGAGTCAATGGAACCTCTGATTTGCAGCCTCAGTTGCACACACGTGTGAATAACCTGGAACCTAACACTTACATGACTGGCATATGAAATTAGGAAACAAGCCCTTGAAACTTCGTCTGTCAGTAACTGACTTGGTGTGGGGGAAATTCCCACACAGTAAGTATGAGGAGGACTGTGGCAAAAAGAAGCTCGTTAGTATCTAATGGAGGCAAATTCATAGAAACAGAAAAGAACAGTAGTGGCTAGGTAGTTGAAGTTGTCAAGGCAAAGGAGCATTGGTTAATTAGTACAGAGTTTCAGATTTGGATGATAGCAAAGTTTTGGCACTGTGTTTTTTAATATAATGGATAATAAATAAGACTACAGAACTATACACTTCAAATTGGCTAAAATGAGTTCTGAGAATAAGTGACTGTTGATTGCTTGTTCCTAAATGAGGTTTGTAGCACCTCATCCAAGGCTCAGGAACAATATGGATGAGGGAGTGGAAAGAATCTAAGAGCTGAGGATGAGTAGAAGTGCTGTGAAATGATGTGTTCTAGATATGTGTCATGGTGACTTCACTTATGATTTCATTGCAACTATGGTTATCTAAACAAACTTGTAGGCCAGTCCAAGCTTCATTACTGATGAGGTACAGATTCATGAGGCCCCATCCTTCCCTGAGAGATTACTGGCAGTTAATGGTTGCTAAGTGGGTATCACCTTCTTCGGTGGCAGATACTAATAAGTTATCCATACTCTAGTAAGTACCCACCCACCCACCCATGGTCTTGCAAGCAACTCTAATTAGATTGAGTAGGACCCCACATATGCCCCAACACAACAAGAGAGTAGGAAGGGGTTTTAATGGAAAGAAGAAGGATTTCAATGGAAAAGGGAATGGGATGAGACTGAAGGGTAAAAATGACCAAAATTCATTATATACATGTAATAAATTGTCAAACAAAAAAATAGATGGTGCTCCTCAAGGAAGAGCACACCAATTGGTTGTCCAGTGCCAAATGGTCAGCCCTAATAATATACATACAACTAACATTATATGGACTCCACAGGTTATATTTAGGAGTGTGTGTGTGTGTGTGTGTGTGTGTGTGTGTTATTGCGCACGCGCGCAATAACAATGAATGAAAAAAAAGGCCATGAATTTGAAGGAGAGTAGGGAGGGGTAAATAGAAGGTTTAGAGTGAGGAAAGGAAAAAGAAAATGTTGTATATTGTCTAACAATGACACTTACCATTGGTGGGATAACAGCAGCTCGATGTTGAAGCTGTGGCAGATCCAATGGATTTGGTTTAATAGGAGATGAAACTAGTATAGACCCAGTCGGATTTAACAATGAAGGCTTAGGATCCATAGGAAACACTCTATAATTGGTGGTTTCAAATAAAGATAAAAGAAGTTATTTTTATTTATGACTTCAAATGTAAAATCACCACAATTCATTTTAAGAGTATGTGTGTGTGAAAGTGAAAGCAAAACACACACACACACACACACACACACACACACACACACACACACACACATTAGCCTTAGTAAAATAGGAGGGATGGAGTGTAGTTCAATAGTAGAATATTTGCCTAGTATGAGCAAGGTCTTAGGTTCAACCTCTACAACTAATAATATATAAACAGTAAGGTAGAAAGGGGGCTAAATATTGATTTACAAGTTGACATTTATCTGATTTTAATTATCTATATTTAATCAACAAAAATAGTATCAACAAAACCCAGGGAAAATGTTTTAGTATCAATTTACTAACATACAAGCACATATTAAAAACTAGTCCCTTGGACCAATGAGGTGGCTCAGTGGGTAAAAGCACTTGCCACCAAGTCTGACATCCCGGGACACACATGGTAAAAGGAAGGAACCAATTCTCACAAGTTGTCCTCAGGACTACCCATGTGCACAGTGCTATGCATAAGTGCTGTACACACACACACACACACACACACACACACACACACACACACACACACGTTAAAAAAAAAGTAGGGCAATTAAAATAAATTCTAGACTATTATAAGATGAAAGAGGAGTGATTTAGATGACTCCATTTTCTGGCAAATGGATGGTCAGACAAAATCCCCATCTTATTTGAATATTTACTGATGAAAATCCTAGCACCTTGACTCTCTTGAGGAGTCATTACAATACCTATATCAATGTTAGTCTAGAGCACTAAAATGTAAACATGTACAGTGATATCAGGACGCATGATGCATAAAGCTGAGCTCTGTGTGGAATCTGGATCCCAATGATAAGCTCATGCATCTTTAGCTTAAAATAAAATGGCTTTAAAGAGAGAGGATGTATTCCAATTTCTGACTATGTTTTAGTCTTACTTCACTTTTGGAATCTGCAACAATCCAACATCTCTGCCTATATTTTGATGAAAAGGGAATACCAGGTATTAAAATTATTAAATTACTGTCTATTTCTACAAAATGTCTTTATAAAAGTCCGATACTTATTATGCATTTTTATCATTAATTTGCCTTTAATGACTAAAAATACTTTATTTTAATTTGTGGGCTGTGAGATGACTCAGCAAGGAAAAGCACTTGTCACTAAGCCTAATGAACAGAGTTCAGTCCTTGGAAGCCACATGATGTAAGACAAAGTCCACTAAGTTATCTTCTGACTATGGCACACATGCTTCTTTTCTCACAAACAAAATCTGAAAAATCCATTTGCATTATATCTGATATTTTATATCACAAATATGACTAACTTAAAGTATAACCAATATCAAAAGTAGTCAATATAACTTCTACTAACTTGTACTAAGTTATGGTCTCCAAAAGTTTCAGGGGCTGGATATGGCTCAGTGAGAGTGCCTGCATTTTATGTGCAAGCTTTGATCCCCAGCAATGCACAAAAGTGAAAGACAAGAAAAAAGAAACTCCTCACAGACATGTCTCTAATCCTTGTACTAGGAGACAGAAGAAGGAGCACCACAACCGTAAGGCCAGCCAGGACTACCTAGCAAGTTCAAGCCCAACCTGACCTCATAACAAAAGCCTGTTCCCAAAAACCAAAAAAACAGTAAAAATAAATAAAATATTTCAACAATGACACTGCTCCTTAAAACATTTTCTTTAATTTTTGACACTGGGCTAGATAAACTTTGTTTTGAGGCCAAACCAACTGAGACAAATCCAGAGTTAAAGCCAAGGTCGTCCATTTCCATCTTCTTCACTACCTACCATTGCTGCCAACCTCAGGCACCACAATTTGCCTGTGGTTTTATTCACAGCTCTGTTGGTTGAAAACAACCCTCTCCCCCTGCCATCACAGGCTAAATGTAACAATGCAGAGAGAAGATATTTATCATTTGTATTATTTAAACACACACACACACACACACAAAACTGCTCAATATTAAAATCATGGACTGCAAGGATCTTGCCAATATCTGTACAGGAGCCATCTCTGTGGCAGTTAGGAAGCAGAGAGGAAACAAGGTCCAGTCTCACCTCGGCCTCTCCGGTTCTACATCCACATCCTCATCAGCACTGCATGTGGCACTGGAGTCGTTGTCTGACTGTGGCTCAGGCCTCTGGAGATTCATCTGCTCTGCCACCACCAAGTCTTCCTCTCCAGCCTCTGTCTTCTCACTGGTGCTCTCCAAGTCTCTTTCTTTGGCATCTCCTTCACCTTTAGACGCAGTGTTTTCTGTGTCTACAGAGTCGGCTTTGGGAGCGGCTGGCGGGTCAAGAACAGAACTGGCTTCAGCACTGCACTCCTCGAGGTCTACATCCATCAGCTCTGCTGTCTCCATACTGGCGCTGTCAGTCGCCTGGGCCGCCACGCTTTCACTTTCAGCTGGTTTTGTGCTTGGAACTGCTGAAGAGGGAGATGCACAGGGTGCAGGGTCAGTGGTAGCCTCAGGCTCGGCCACAGGTTCGGTGTTTCCTCGAGAAGCAGCATTTTCACTGCTGTCTTCACTGGGCTTGGCAGCTTCAACTGGTGAAGGAGAGGGAGCACTTTCTGTATCAGAACTATTTTCAGCACCTTAAAGATAATGATACAGCATAAAAATCTGATAATAAACAGGTTTCAGGTGGTGACAGAAACCATGCTTGTTTAGGATGAACTTGACTCCTGTGGTGACATCAGGGAAGTAAGAACAGCTTCTGGCAAAGCTAACATGCTCTAAAAGTGTAAAAGTGAAAAATCAAATGGTGTTGACCTTCTGAAATTGAAAGTAAAAACTCTTTTAGATGTCTAAAAAAAACTGGTTTATTTTAAAGGCAAAGAAAAGATGGAATAAGTAACAAAATATTCCACGAATAACACATTCTGGTGGAAGATTTTTTTAATGTTAAAAAGTTAACATAAGACAACACACAGAAATATCTTCAGAAAAACAGGTTCACTCTGCAGTTTGTCCAGCTTGAGGTTTTTGGGTTTTTTGTCTACCTGACACAAGCTGGAGTTACTGAGAAGAAGGAGCCACAGTTGAGACTTATGGTGAGAAGCAGCACCACCACTAGACTGGCCTGTACACATGCCTGTGAGGCACTGTCGTAACTGCTGCTGATATGGGAGCAGCAACTCACAGTGGGTGTGCTATCCCTGGGCATGTGGTTCTTAGGGGCCAGAAGAAAGTTCTAAACCTTTAACCTGAGCAAGCCTGCAAACAGCACTCCTCCAGGCTTCTATCTCCAGATTCGTGCTTTGAGTTCCTGCCCTGACTTCCGTCAGTGACAGATTGTGACCTGAGAGTTGGAAGGTGAGGTAAATCCTTTTCTCCTCAAGGTGCTTTTGGTCACTGTGCTTATCACAACAAGAGAAACACTAACTAGGACAAAATTATATTGTTGGAATGGAAAAATGAACATCATCTGACCATCTGTGAATAAACATTTTTAACACAGAATATTTTTAAAACTAGAAAATCAGTTTTTCATTTATCCAAATATGTATGTGCACAATTGTTTAAGGTATTGGAGACACAGCACTGAAAATAAATCAAATTATACTTTAATTTTTTTCTTTTTCTTTTATATGTATGTGTGTTTTGCCTGTGGTTATGTGTATATACCACATGCCTGAGGAGGCCAGAAGAGTGCATCAAATGCCCTAGAACTGGAGCTACTAGAGATGATTGTGAGCCACCATCTGAGTGCTGGGAACCAAACTTGGTTCTTCTGAAAGGACACAAAGTGTTCTTAACCACTCAGCCATCTCTCGAACCCCCACAAATTACACATCCTCATGGAGCCTATATTCTAGTGTGAAACAGACAATGAATACTAAACATTTTAAGTATACTACATGATAATAGGTACGGTGACTATATACACCAAATAAGCAGTGAGAGGGAGGGCTATAAAGGGTACAGAAATGTTCTGAAAGGGCCTAAAGGAAGGGAAAACATGGACTCTGGGCAGATCTGGGAGAATTCATGTACAGCTTTTAGAAAGTGTCAAGGCTCAGAATGGGATTGTTCTGCTCAGAAACAACAGGTGGATGGTGTGGTTGGAGCAGAGAACAAAAAAATACAATCCACAAAAAGCTCATAGAACCGGGCAGTGGTGGCGCATGCCTTTAATCCCAGCACTTGGGAGGCAGAGGCAGGTGGATCTCTGTGAGTTCGAGGCCAGCCTGGGCTACAGAGTGAGTTCCAGGAAAAGGTGCAAAGCTACACAGAGAAACCCTGTCTCGAAAAAAACTAAAAAAAAAAAAAAAAAGCTCATAGAGGCACAATAGTAAACTCATGTAGTCGTATCAGTCACCAAGAAAGCTTTTTATTCTTGAGGAAATGGAGAAGTGTTTCAGACTTTGGAATAGAGAGTAAGTTCGGTTGGATTTACATTTTACAAGGAGAAATGTGGCTTCTGAGTAAAAAACAAACAAAAAAAACCCAGAATCCAACCAAAAGAACCAAAGAACCCAAACAAGAAAATACCACAAAGGAGAGACCAGCAAGGGGAATAAGGAGAGCTGACCGCATATTCAGAGTACATGTGAAACAGAGCAGGCACCTTTGTTGATGGACTGTATGGGACTAAGAGAATTTCAGTCAAGAGACCAACACAAGCACGGATGGTGGAAAGAGCAGCCTGTGGGGGACTACAGCTTTTGTTCTGGACATCAACTTTGAAGTGGCTTTTAGGTACACAGGTGAAACTATTAAAAGGTAGGTGAGTGAGCTGGAGTTCAGGTAAAGCTTAATAAATGGCAGCAATTGCCAAAAGTCAGGTAACAAAATGATGAAAAGTTACCAAAAAGCCTGACTTGACCTTTAGTTTTGATTATACAATGAGGAAAGTTAATAAATTACTTATTAACTTAAATTACTTAAAAATATTAAAACACTCCAACATATGCCTTTCTCAGGTATCTTTTTCCAAACTACAGAAAACTAGCTAGTACCTTCCAAAGCGCCAGCTAAACAAACCTTTTTTTTTTCCTAAAACTAAAGAAATAAGTGGGCAAGCCCTTAACGACTTAGAACAAGAATCTAAGAGTAAATCCAGATATTAGTGAAATTCAGTTTTTAGATTTGACTCTTCTCACCCTATATAAATATTCAGTTTGACATTTTAGGAAAATATAGACAGGCATTATCCTGCCTACAATCAGCTGCCTTTAATGTTCTACTCACAAGAACCTTGCCATATACTAAGTGATTGCATCTATGTCACCTCTTGAGGGTCAGCAGGAAACATGAGGTCATAGGTCATGTCAACTCCAGTAAGTTTATAATCTAGGACACTGTGCAAAAGAAGCTGAGCTAAAAAAGAAGCCAGAAGAGACCCTGGAACTCTTTGAACAAGTGTGTTTCTATTATGAGGAGACTACTGTAGATGATACAGGATGCCCATAGCATGAACATCAGATCAAACTCCCACACTATCTTATTTTCATAGTTCCAAGTGAAAGAAAAGGGGGAAAGAAGGCGGGGGGAGCTTTCACACTACAAGTAGAAAGGAAAAAACAAACAAACACGAAGAAGCGAAAAGTTTTGTTTTGATCTTGGGCCTTTGCAGGTTAGAAAGCTCTGTCTTGCCCATGGACTTAAAAAGGTATGAAACCAGGCTTGTGCTCTATTATGGACTGAACTGTGTCCCCTCCTCACAAGTCCAGTGTTGAACTCCTAACCTTCAATGTGACTACACCTGAGATAAAGCAGACTGTATCTGCTTTACACACATAACTGAGGCTAAATGAGGTCGTAAGGGTGTGTTGTTCAGAGAAAGCTATGTCAGGAATGCATACATAAAGTCTATGAGAAGGCAAAATAAGGCAGCAGGTAGCCAGTCTATAAGCCAGGAAGAGAGATCTCATCAGAAGAAGCTCTGCCAGCACCATGACTTTGAACTTCTAATCTCCAGAACTGTAAAAACACATGGCTGTAGTTTAATCCACTCAATGTATACTACTCTACGATGGTAGACCAGAGATTAATATAGCTGTCCTCTTTTGCACAAGGAGTACTGTTCAAAATCCTCAGCAGATTTCTAAAACTTCAGGTAGAACTGACTCTGGTATATACTGGTATTTTCCTATATATTCATAGCTACAATAAAGTTCAATTTAAAAATTAGGCACAATTAATAATAAAATAGAATGATTACAAAACTATAGTTTAATAAAAGTTAAGTTGACATGGTTTCTAACACTCAAGATATTAAATGTAACATTTATTGTTTTTTAAACATAGTAACTGCAAATAACTGAAATTAGTAAGGTTTTATTCCTATTTGCAACCACAGGGAATAGTTACAGATACACAGCTGTGAAATGAGAATCCCTTAGAAAGTGACTGATGCTTATGAGTCCTGGAAGTACCAGGAACACATCAAGCTACCCTGTGCCATTCTCAGTCCTGACTCCCAGGTCTCCTCTAAGAGTGAGCTCGGTCCAGTATTCACTTTACACTTGTATTAATTGTCCCATTTCTCACAAAAAAAGAAAATGATGGAGAAGAAGTTGACTTACTGTAAAAAACTAAAACCCCTTTCAAGTTTACAATTTTAAGGTTAAAGACAATAATGACTTATAGAAAAAAAATAAATAGAATCAGTATTTCTAAAACTGTAGCATACAGAGCTTCCTAAGCTTATGTAAATTAAAAGAGCTGACAAGGAAACACCAACTCAAATTATACACAGTTTAAATTCTAATTAAAAAAAAAAAAAGGAAATAAAGTGGGCATATACCAAATAATATTCTGAGCATCTTCACAGCAGAAACACTCAATTTACAAAGGAAATTTACACAGAATGGTGAATAGTAACATAAACTGAAATAAATGATTTGTGCCTTTGCTTTTCTAATAACTAGCAAATATCCAATTTCCACACTTGAGGAAGCTGAGTCAATCCACTTAAGCAACTGTCCCTTGGTTTCTTAGGTGAGTGTCATTTCCGCTCAGAGTTCTAATGTAATCAGACTTGGAACATGAAAAGAAAGTACGAAACCTTCAAATATGAAAGAAGTCAACCTCACAACAGCAAAATGAAAGAAATGTCAACTTACGATAACAACTGAGTAAGTGAGTTTGGCAATGACACATACAGAGGCCAGCCAGACCGAGCGTCTGAGGCAGGAGAGTTGCTGTCAAGCTCTTCTAGTTGTACCAACTGGACAATCGTGAGTGCACAAAAATAAAGACTGCTGATCCATGAATACATGGACTGCTTGCAAACCGAGGCCATGAAGACACTGAAACACTATTTCTTCAGTGACAAAATTCCACCACAATCAACTACTAAACTAGAATTTCGTGTTTGAGGTAACAGAAGTCACAACACAATTTAACACTCTGGGATACCTTCACTATCTTCTGGATTTTCTTCCTCATTGGAGGCTTCAATATCTTCATCCTCCTGAGCAGAAACAGTGGAAGCAACACTTTCACATTGAGACACATCTCGTTCCTCACGAGGTTTTCGTGAAGCCTAAAGGTATGAAACAGCAATTCAATTATGATGAGTTAAATAACCAAAAGGGAAAAAACAAAACATGTCTTTCCTGAAACAATATAGAATTCTAACAAACACACATAGTGATCAGGAAGCCTGTGCTGTGACAAAAATCTGTGCTTGAGGTGTAGGCAATATCTATCAACCAAAAACTGGCCTCTTGGGCAATGGATAACTTTCATGAAACCTATCAAAAGTTAGCACTGAATCACAATGACAGCTACATCTCAACATTAGGGAGGCAGAGGCAGAAGGGTGTACAAGTTCAAGGCCAACCTGGGCTATCCCATGAGACCTTGCTTCAAACCCCATATTCTCCAAAAAGTTTTATCTGAACCATTTTGGAAACTGCAAATTTTATACACCTGCACTTCAGATACTATTTATTTTTTCCAATAAAAAAAGGATATATGCTCACTTTCTAATAAAGGTAAGACAAATATGACATGTAGAAGACAGAAAATTGTATTTGAAAACCTGACTTCTCACAATTCCAAAACAGCTAGGCATTCTAAATATACTGACTGGTACATTTCATTTTAATCTTTTAGATAAATAGACATATACTTAAATCTTTGTGTGCACACCTAAAGGTCTTGCATAGCTTCACATAGTTATACACTCTACTTTTAAAAACCTGAGTGTAAAGACTAAATGTATCCCTGTTAGAGTCTTTAAAACGGTTTCTATTAATGATCTATAAAAATATTTTTATTCCTATGCAATTAAAATTCTGCTTTAAGACACTTAAGTAACTTTGTTTTCTTTTGGTTTTTTGAAACAGGGTTTCCTTGCGTAGCTCTGGCTGTCCTGGAACTCGCTCTGTAGACCAGGCTGGACTCAAACTTAAGGGATCTGCCTGCCTCTGCCTCCTAAGCGCTAGGATTAAAGGCATACACCACCACACTAGACTTCAGTAATTTTCAATGTTTGATATTATTGATGGTACAATAAACACTAAACCATTATATAGGCAGCACATTATTTTTGGTATTACTATTCCATTTCTTTTATAATTAATGAGGGCAAAGTTTTTTGTTGGTAAAGCAGAATGTCCTATCTTGCAAACTACATGTAATACCAAGAGGTAACAAGCATTAGAATTAAGCAATATGTTCTTAAGACCTTCTTGACAAAGATTAATAGGTAAACAATTGAAGTCTTTCAATCATTGACTAAAATGATTAGATTGAGTTTTTTTAAACCTGTATTTTAATTTATTGTGAGAAACAATGTGGGACATGCATGCCCACACACATCAAAACTATGGAAGCCAAAGGTTGGTTCTCTCTTTCTACCAAGTGGCTTCTGGGGATCAAACTATTTTTAAGTAAAAAATGATAAGCAGAAGACTTACCACTACTAATCTACTCACTTTCTGTTTATGTTGCTGTAAGAGGTTGTCAAGATTGTGCCGCCTTTTATAGTTAAAATAGAAGTTTTTACACTGGGCTTCACTTTTAGTTCCCACCATCTTGGCGATAGCTGCCCAGTTACGACCATGTTCTACTAGGCCTGCATTTGAAACACAGATCAAACATTGAGCAATCAGTCACCTGTTTAACAAGTAAGAGAAATACTAAAGCAACTAAGTACTGAAGTTAAACCGACAACACTAAAAGTATGCTTTCAGTTCTTTATTAATGTATTTCAAAACTTCCTGAAATACTTCCCAGCACTAAACACACTTATATTTCTATACATTTCCCCAATTTAACACATGCTTGAAAGGGAGAAGCTAAACTTGTCTCTCACATAGATCTCCCACAGGGATAAGGATAAAGCTGGATCTACAGTAACAGCTCAAATACTTACAAACTGAGAAACTGGTACTACTAGATTCTTGGAGATAGTATGTTAATAATGATCAAATATAAAGTATTCATGTATATAAAACTTACAAACAGAACTTGTTGTTAGTTAAGGCACAAACACCTTATTAAAGATTTATCATTAATGGGGCTGGGCAAAGAGTTCAGGGGTAAAGCATTTGCCTAGCACATGTGAGGCCCTGGGTTCAACCTCCAAAATAAATAAATAAACACCAATGTAGTATTTCTCTACACACTAAATATATGCAAGCACACATATGCATTTAAAGGATATACATATGTAACTTAATATATAAATATATACAGAGCTATATAAAATTAGATACATAATGAATAGAGATAAACATTGGTTTTGAAGATTAATATAAAGAGATATGTTGTTTCAAAAAGAAAAAACCAAACACACATAAAAAAAGAAAACTAGGGGCTGGAGAGTAACTCCAGGAGAACTCTCTGCAGCACAAGTGAAAGCGGTGCACTTGATCCTGGCAACCACACAAAAAGTGAGGAGTAAGGGGCTAGGGAAGTGGCTCAGCGGGTGCACTTGATCCTGGCAACCACACAAAAAGTGAGGAGTAAGGGGCTAGGGAAGTGGCTCAGCGGGTGCACTTGATCCTGGCAACCACACAAAAAGTGAGGAGTAAGGGGCTAGGGAAGTGGCTCAGCGGGTGCACTTGATCCTGGCAACCACACAAAAAGTGAGGAGTACAGGGCTAGGGAAGTGGCTCAGCGGGTACACTGAATCCTGGCAACCACACAAAAAGTGAGGAGTATGGGGCTAGGGAAGTGGCTCAGCAGGTACACTGAATCCTGGCAACCACACAAAAAGTGAGGAGTATGGGGCTAGGGAAGTGGCTCAGCGGGTACACCTGCTCACCCCACACGCCTCACAATCTGAGTTCAACCTCTAGACTCCACATAAAAAGTTAGATGGGATGGTACCCATCTTTAATTCAGCACTCCTCAAGAGAGTTGGAAGACAGAGAAGAAAAGCAATTTATGGGCCAGATAGCCTGTGTAGAAGGGAGACTGCTTCAAAACCAAGAGAATTGAGTCTCCAAAAATTGTCCTCTGACCTCCATACATGTGCACACATGAATAACAACGAAAAAATAAATAAATAAGATGGTTCTGATGGCACATATTTATAATCCCAGAACTGGGGAGACAGAGACAGGACAATCCCTGGGGATGACTAGACAGCCATCCAAACCTAACTGGTGAGCCCCAGGTAGACAGGCTGGCCAGATAGCTCAGCTGCTAAAAAGCTTGTACCACAAGCTTTAAAAACATTGCGTAAACCATGGAACCCACGTAAAGATGGAAGGAAAGAACCAACTCCAGAAAGTTGTCCTCTGACCTCAACATACACACCGTAACAGCCATCATCCACATCACACACATATATACCAACAATAAATAAAAAGGAATTTTTTAAAAACTTAAAACAAAGTGTACAGCTCTTGACAAATAACACCCAAGGTTGGCCTCTGGCCTCCACATGTACATATGCAAATGTACACCTGCACTCACACATGGCACATGCATCCACACATCCATTAGCAAGTGCACATGCACACAAACATGTATACACACACACACAAGAAAAGGAAAACTAAAAGATCATTAAGATCACTAGCAAAACTTGCCTAATAGAAGTTGAAAATAGGTAGTGACTAAACAATCTTAGAAATATTCCCTTGAAAAAGATCACTCTACAAGTCAGCTACTATCTACATATTTAATTGGGACACTGATGATGGGGTGAGAGGAAAGTACAAAGCAAATCTTTCTAATAATTTTATAAATTTAGCATCTGCCACTTACGGCAAATACATTTCAAATAAAAACATTTTAAAACAGACACTTTAAACTTTGCTTGTATATGGTGGCACATGCCTTTAATATCCCAGCTCCTGGGAAGCGAAGACAGGAAGATCTCTGTGAATTTGAGGCCAGCAGGAACTACAAAGCCAGCTTCAGAACAACCAGGGCTGTCACAGAGAGAAAACCTGTCTCGGGGGGTGGGGGTGTTGTAGCATTCATTACCCACTAAATAGTAAGTCAACAAATGGCCAAGCTACTATATACAAAGAAATTATAATAATTTCTTTTAAGGATTACAAGGTAAATAGTGTGGATTATCTTTTGGTAAATTACTGTTTATCCTGTACGAAATTTTTTCAAATTATATTGCACTAATAAACAATGATGAAAAAACAAAGCCAAAAAATGCTGTGCTGCTATGCTGAAGACCACCCAGCTATTGAAGTACCAGATACAGGACTCAAATTATTGTCTGCTTGGCCTTTCTAATGACACATGTTTATAATCTTTACAATTTTATAATTCATAAATTATATAATCTTTACAATTTATAAATAAAGGTTATAAACTTTACAATTTTACCTCTGACTCAATTTCAAGATGAAATATAATCTGAAGTATTAACTTGGTCTAGGCAGAAGGGCCAATGGGTGTAAAGTATTTGCTGAAGGAGCCTAGTGACCTGAGTTTGAGCCCCAGAACCCACATACAAAGCCAGATGCAGTGGCACATAGCCCATAAGGCAGGACTCCTCTGTGAGTGATGGGAGGCAGAAACAAAATTGGTTGGAAGCTTATCAACACAGTGCAGTAAAAACATAACAGAGACCCTGTCTCAAAAACAGAATGGAGGAAGAACAGGATTCCTTTGTCTCCACATACACTCCACTGTAGGTATCATGTACACACACTAAATTAATCAACTGTTAAAGATTTAACCAAATACAAACCAAAGTAGTCTCCATTCCATTTAATCAACTTGCAATAGAGACATAGATGTCACATTCAAAATTTACTCCCAAATAGTTTCTAACGCATGTAATCACAACTATTGTAGAAATGTGAAAATAGCACAGCAGGGCTCCAATAATAATCAAAATACAACTGAAGAAAGAATGATAAATTCCTCAAACACGGGCATCTTCAACTACACTAGCGCTAATTATTACTGTATACTACACTATCAAAAAGAGTTTTTAAATTTGCTTCAAAATTCTATTTATCTTTTCAGAAAAACTTTTTGGGGGGTATAGATGGGTTTTTGTCACACAGCCCAGGTTGACGTTGAACTTACTAAGTAGCCGAGGCTGGCCTAATCTTTGTGTGTGTGTGTGTGTGTATGTGTGTGTGTGTGTGTGTGCGCGCATCCATGTGTGTGTGGCAGCACTTGTAGTGTGCACATGTGTGTTTAGGTTTTTTGCCTGCTATTATGTATCTATACACCATGTGCACTCCTGGTGCCCATAGAAGCCAGAGGAGAGAACTGGATCCTCTGGTACTGGAGTTTCACATGGTTGTGAGCCACCATGTGGGTGTTGGGAATTGATACTGGGTCCTCTAGAAGAGCAGTCAGTACTCTTAATCACTGAGCCATCATTCTAGCCCCTGGCCTATTCTTTTCAATTAAAAAAATTTTTGATTGATTTCACTCACTACTAATCTTAAAAATAAAGCAAACAAAAAAACCAACTCCAAACTTTACACATTATTGTACATTACCTTTTTTAGCAACTTCCATTTCTTCTTCAGTCCATCGTGAGGTTTCAACGGGCTCAGCAGAAACTGAAATAAAGAAAAAACTCAGGCTAAAGAAATCAAAATTGAACCATACATTCAAAAACCATGTGATTGATAACTTATTTATGTATAGAAAATGAGATAGTATCAGGTTCTTAACAGCCAATTAGATGGAAAAGTTCCACACTTCTCAGTGTCAAGACTGTTCTGACTATTCTCTGAAGTTCCACCGTTGGCCACACGCTTGGTGTGAGAAAGACTACCTCCAGCTTGGCAAGTCCCCTCTCCCCTCTATTGCAAGGACGAAGAACATAGTGCCTCTTCCTTCCCGAGCCACCGGAATCGTCTTTCCATAGAACCCAATCAGATCACTCACTGATTTAAAAGCCTTTGAAAGCTCCCTGCTTTGCAGCAAAGGAAGATACAATTCAAGAGAAAACCAAGACCACTATGACCTGCCCTGGCCCAGTTAAATCCTCCCACTTGCTTGGTTCCACTACATCATGCTCGTCATTTGTACAACACGCATTGTCTTTCCTACCTGATTTTATGGTGAAATCATAGCACTGAATCACCCCTAAGGGCACTGTATCACTAATGTAATCCTTCTAAAGAATAATGTGACAATACTTTATACAAAAAAGAAATTTAGCTTTATTCTTAAGCCCAGTATATCTTGCCAAAGAATTTATTCCTTAATCCAGAAAGTGTTAAGTGCAGGAAGACATTTTTCATTATAGTGCTAGCCAAACTAATTTAAAATGAAGGAAAGAGACAGTTTAACCACTCAACAATAAAGAAATGCTTAAGTAAGCCATACTTCAGAAGCAAAATGTCAATATAGCCCAGACATTTACGAAGTAAAATAGAAATTATGAATACTTAAAAATTATAAAACTGGGGGTTGGGGATTTAGCTCAGTAGTAGAGCGCTTGCCTAGCAAGCATAAGGTCCTGGGTTCGGTGTTCAGCTCCAAAAAAAAAAGAAAAAAAAAATTATAAAACTGGGGCTGGAAAGATGACTCAGAAGGTAAGATCACAGACTATTCTTACAGAGAACCTGGGTTCAATTCCCAGCATCCACATGGCAGCTCAGAACTGTCTTTAACTCTAGTTCCAGGGAACCCAACACCCTCTTCTGACTTCCAAGGGTACTAGGAATGCACATGATATACAGACATACATGCAGGCAAAACACCAATACACATATAATAAAAATAATTAAGTCTCAAAAAAGAAAACTCCAAAAGAAAGGGGAGATAAAGCCAGGCGGTGGTGGCGCACGCCTTTAATCCCAGCACTCGAGAGGCAGAGCCAGGCGGATCTCTGTGAGTTCGAGGCCAGCCTGGGCTACCAAGTGAGTTCCAGGAGAGGCTCAAAGCTACACAGAGAAACCCTGTCTCGAAAAACCAAAAAAAAAAAAAAAAAAAAAAGAAAGGGGAGATAAACAGTCATGTTATATAATCTTCATTAAAACCTTTTTTAAAATTATAATGCTGGATCAACAAGATGGCTCAGCAGGTAAAGGTACTTGTGCTGGAAGCCTGTCAATCTGAGTTCAATCAGGAAAGGTCCGAGACCCTCTATACATGACCAGTGGCCCATGTGCACCAACGCTCATACAGACATATGCATACACACATACATAAATGAATCAGTAAATGTTTTAATGTGAAAAAATAGAAAATATTTATACTACGTGTTAAGTAAGTTGTATGCTAACTAATAAAAGAAAAGCTACATTTTGACTAATGTTCTTTTTCAAAAGAATTGTACGTTGAAGTTTAATAAATTACAGAGCAGTCTTAAAAGTCACTTCTTGGTTATCAATATTGGCAGACCCTGCCCTACTTCATCTATCACTCAAACGAAGTCTGATAAGTCCCCCTCCCCCAATCTCTCCCACTAACCAGGCTCTGGTGGTGGTGGCAGGGGAGGAGGGGGCTCCTCAGTGGCCGCAGCAGCACTAGCAGCTGCAGCTTCACTTGTCATGGACCTGGTGATCCGGCCCTTGCGACGCCCCTGGCTGTTAGCAGTCTTTCTGCCCCTGGGCGTGGCCTGCTCTCTCTCCTCCGTTTCCTCTGTTGTGCCTTCCGTTCGGTCCTTTTCCTTGGTAGTTTCTCTAGAAACAAAAGCAAATGAAAGCTTTTATGATTTAAAAGTATAGATGCAAAGGTTTCTTTAATAGAAATTGCATGAATTTATGTAATCTTTTTAAACTTTTATGAAAATGGCACAGCACCACCCCAGAGCTGAGATGAGCAGCAGCAGAAGGCAAAAGGCCTGAGAGTGTTGCTTCTGCTTAAATTCTGTTAAAGACTATTCTATGAAATGAAGTTAAAACATATAATCTTCATGACAGATGAATATTATGTAGTAATAATCCACAATATTATTTTATTAAACCAGATTCAGTGTTCTGAACTACCTCTGTAGTTGGTAGAACAGCTTCTGGGTCAGGCTCCCTTAATTCCTCTAAGAGCTGTGACGTACTAACTATGACATACCCGGGAAGCTACCCTGCCTCTGTGAGCATCAGTTTGCTCTTCTATACAATATGGATAGTGATAATCTATTTCACAGAGTAGTTGCAAGGATTAAAGGCATCGGTTGAAGGGGTTAGTAAGGTGCCGAGAACAGTATCTGGAACATCATACAAGTTTGTTACTATTATGGCAAAACTTCTCTCAGCTACAAGCAGCTTATTTACAGTCTCAAACACTTGAGAAAACCTACTTCATGGTGAATATTATTAATAGTATTATTACTATGAGAAATATTTGAGTATTTGAAGATCATTCTCTTTACACTGCTACTGGTAACATTCGAAAGTACAATAGTTAAGGTACTTTGTATCTCAAAGGACCTAGAGGGAGTGAGAATGATCAAAGACACTGTGTGTAGGTATGAAATTTACCAAGAACGAATAAATGCATTTTAAAGTACACATTTGAAAGAATTATTAGTGGAAGATGTTGTTTATTTTCACAATTTAACTGCTTCAAATAAAAGACTACTGAGGTTTATCAAGCTATAGATCTTCTCTCCCAATAAACACATGCTTCAAGAATGACTTTATCAGCCGGGCGGTGGTGGCGCACGCCTTTAATCCCAGCACTCGGGAGGCAGAGGCAGGCGGATCTCTGTGAGTTCGAGGCCAGCCTGGTCTACAGCACAAGATCCAGGAAAGGCGCAAAGCTACACAGAGAAACCCTGTCTCGAAAAACCAAAAAAAAAAAAAAAAAAAGAGTCATTTGCCGGGCGGTGGTGGCGCACGCCTTTAATCCCAGCACTCGGGAGGCAGAGCCAGGCGGATCTCTGTGAGTTCGAGGCCAGCCTGGGCTACCAAGTGAGTCCCAGGAAAGGCGCAAAGCTACACAGAGAAACCCTGTCTCGAAAAACCAAAAAAAAAAAAAAAAAAAAAAGAATGACTTTATCATAGTGTAAGTTAGAATCACTCAGAAGAGTTATTAACTCAGCTACAGCAGTGAGCCACTCCAAAGCTGAGCATGTTGGACATTTTTGTAATCCAGTACTTGGGAGGCTTGAGTCAAGATCTTTAGTTCAAGGTCAGCCTGTGCTACAACTTAAAACCCACCTTTAAAAAAAATACGCAGCAGGGATTGGTAGCATATGCCTTTAATCCCAGCATTCAGGAAGCAGAGGCAGAGGGATTTCTGGAGTTGGAAGCTAGTCTGGTCTACAATAGTGAGTTCCAGAACAGCCATGGCTGTGGAGAGACTCTATCTCAAAAAACAAACCAACAAACAAACCACACAATAAATAAGTAGATAATAAACAACAAATTACCCATCCCATTCTGTTCCCTACCTATTCCCAAATAAGCTCACCCATCTCCTGAATGAAATCTAACATTTCAGCTTTCACTAAGACTCTACCAAACAAATCCAAAGACAATCTACCTTCTACTCCTCTCCCTCAATCTAATGATTTCACGGCCTAGTTCTCAGGGCACAGCTGTTCACACCGATTCTTCTGCCACCTTAACTACTCACCCACGTCGGTGCCTTCCCACAGCTCTCACTTGTTCTGCTCACTCTGCACTTTCAAGCTTGTGTTTTCAATTCTGCTTGTATCCTGCCTAGTGTTCTCCTTCTTACTTACAAACTATCTGAAAATAGTACATGTCCTATGTATTTTTTCATCCTCTTTACTGTTACCTATGCATAAATGTTAAGTAACTTAGAATTTTTAATTTTAGAAAAAAGTAGAATCACCATAAGGAGGTTTTAAAGGTTGTAACAAAAAAGTGAAACAACCAAAAATATACTTTTTAAAAAGATACATCCCCCACCCCCACCCCCACCCCCACCCCCACCCCCGCCAAGCTGAGGACCGAACCCAGGGCCTTGCGCTTGCTAGACAAGCGCTCTACCACTGAGCTAAATCCCCAACCCCAAGATACATTTCTTTATGAGAAGAGCCACTGACTATATGGTGTGAAAATGTTAAACCTAGACCTTAAAAAAACTTATTTTTCCTTCTGAATAGGTAGGTAGAAAAGCATAAATACCTGACTCTTAATTTTTATTTTTATTTACTTATGTGAGTGAATATTCACCTGCATGAATTATGTCTATGCACTATGTACATGCCTGGCATTGGCAAAGAATCAAAGAGGCCATCAGATCCCCTAGGGCTGAAGTTACAGAATGTTGTGAGCTACCATGTAGGTGCTGAGAGTCAAATCTGAGTTCTCTAGAAGAGCAGTCAGTTTGCTGAGCCATCTCTCCAGGCCCTGATTTCTTCTAAAATCATGCAAGGGACTTATGTGGTGTTAAATGACAAAAACAAGAAACAGGATAAATATAAGTATTTCTGAGAGGTCTATAAAAATAGTATAATAAATATTTTTAAAGGCACAAACTACTGAAATATGAAAGGGCCAAGATGAATCTCAAAAACACATTCTTCTACTTGTGCTAAGTAAATGAAGCCACAGTCTACACACATGGTAGAGTTTGGCTCTTAAACATCCCACAAAAGTGGCTGGACAATGGTGGCGCACGCCTTTTATCCCAGCACTTGGGAAGCAGAGGCAGAGGCAGACGGGTCTCTGTGAGTTCTGGGTCAGCCTGGTCTACAGGGTGAGTTCCAGAACAGGCTCCAAAGCTACACAGAGAAACCCTGTCTTGAAAAACCAAAAGCATCCTGCAAAAAGTTTAAGTGTTAAAGACTTGGTCATAATGGGTGCTGTCTGGAGGAGTTGGAGCTTTGAAGAGGTAGAACCTAGTAAAAGTTCTTTATGTCACTGGTGAAATGAAGGGAATATTGAGAGATCCCTCTCCCTCTTTTGACCCATTTCCCTCTTTTATCCCTTCCTCCCTCTGTAAAATGACTAAAGGGATCAATCAATCAGACTGACACTTCTAAAACTGTAAGTGGGGGGGAGGGGAGGATTTCTATTTCTAAGTTAATTATGAGGTGTTTTTTAAAGTGAAAAAAAAGTTAACTTGATTTATATTTAATTCTACAACAGCATCAATCAGAGACTAAGAGTGGGCAGAAAACCTGACTACTAAGAAATCGAAGGAAATACATTGGGGCGGTAGAAACATTCTACATTGTCATTACACACAAGTGCATATGCTTGTTTAAATGCACCAACACACACACACATCTACAACTGCTGAACTTACATCTCACACCAGTCATATCACCACTACACAAACTAAAATTGCTCAGTTTCAGTCACTGGGGAGAAATTATCTGGCTCCTAAGGCTCCTCCCCTAGCCTGCCCTTATAAGCATACAAGAGTACCAACAACTGGCTGCAACTGATCGGCAAAATGATGGGCATACATTAGATTTGCTTTCTTTTCCCAGTTTTCCAAAATGAAAACGAATTATTTCTACAAATAAGAAAACAGAAATAACAACAGGTAACAAAGAACTACATTTTATATGTTGAATAAAATCAGCAAGTGTACATACATAGATTAAAACTATTACTTTCAGCTGGGTGGTGGTGGCACATACCTTTAATCCCAGCACTGGGGAGTAAAAGGCAGGTGGATCTCTGTGAGTTTGAGGCCAGCCTGGTGTACAGGCATTCCAAGACAGGCACCAAAACTACACAGAGAAACCGTGTCTTGAAAAGAAAACGAAACAAACCAACTCTCAGCATTTTTACATTATCTAGAGGCTGAAAAAGATTTTCCAAATCAAAGACTAAATTATACTCAACAAACCTTGGTGATAACTATCAAGTATTGTAGCCTATAGCTTAGAATAGCAGTATCTGAACCAGCCATGATTGCAGTCCTGTAATTCTAGCACTTAGAAGACAGAAGCAGGAGGACTGCGACAAGCCAGCCTGGTCTGAACAGTAAGTTCCAGACAGCCAGGGCTACACATCAAGACCCTGTCTTTACAAAAAAATAAAAATAAAAAAGGCCAGATGGTGGTGCATGCCTTTAATCCCAGCACTTGGGAGACAGAGGCAGGCAAATCTCTGGGTTTGAGGCCAGCCTGGTCTACAAAGAGGGTTCCAGGATGGTCAGGGCTACCTAGAGAAACCCCGTCTCTAAACAAACTAATAACATTAAAAAAAAAAAAGTGTCTATGTGTGCATATGGGCATGCATGCATAAAATAACATGCCTGGCAATAATGCCATTAAGTCAAGCATTCTATTTACTAAAATAGTCCATTCCTTAAACATGCTAAGAAATTGTTAGTCAAAGCACATGTTTCTGTGACTTCTTACCACATTTCACACCTGTAATATATGCAATTTCAGATCTGAAAATAACTATAACACATATCTAACTCTCAACTCACTTTGAGTCTTCCTTCTCATCTTTTTCTTCATCATCCTTCTTTTCTTCTTCCTTTTTCTCTGTTTTTTCTCCTTTATCCTCTTCTTTTTCTTCTACTTTTTCTTCTTGCGAGGGACGGGCAATCTGCTGCTAGAAGAGACCATCACTTGTGAGATACGAAAGTAAAAGAAATCATTTCTCAAACTGTATAACAAATTACAATATTCACTTGGAACAATATTATTGGGAGGTTGGGTCCCATTTACAGTAGGGGGGAGGATACTAAGAATAAACCTAATCAAGAAAATGAAGAAAACTCTATAGTTGAAGTGTTAACATACTGAAGAACAAATTTAAAGAAAACATTAGAAGAAAGGCTTCCCATGGACAAATGAATGACTAAAATGGCAACGTTACTGAAAGATCTGACATAATTCTTATCAAAAGATCAATGACATTCTTTTTTTTTTTTTTATTTTGTGAGACAGGATTTCTCTGTGTAGCCTTGGGGGTCCTGAAACTCACTTTATAAACCAGGCTGGCCTCAAACTCAGAGATCCACCTGCCTCTGCCTCCCAAGCGCTGTGATTCAAGATGTGTCACATCACTGCCTGGCTTTCAATGACATTATAGAAGGAGAATAGACAATCTTACAGATCATACGGAAACACAAAAAGCCCTGAATGGCCAAAGCAAACCTAAGCAGAAAAAGGAATGCCAGAAGTATCAAAATTTCATCTCAAATTATACTACACAGCCATAGTAACAAAAAACCTACATGTGGACCAATAAAATAGAGAACCCAAAGTCATACAACTGCAACCACTTAGTTTTTAACAAAGGTGTCAAAAGCACATATTGGAAAAAGACAGCCATTTTAGTAAACGGTGCTTGGAAACTGAATATCCAAATGTACAAGAAATAAATTATTTCTCTCTCTCTCATATGCCAAAAATAAGTTAATAGACTCTTAAGGATAGTCAGAGGGAACCTTACACACCCATGTTAATTGCTACACTGGTCACTAGAGCTACGAACCACTCTAAATACCCATCAACAAATAAATGGTTAAATAAAATGTGATACGATATACAATTTTATTATATTTAAATTTTATTTAGCCATTAAAAAAGTTGAAATCATGGCACAAAATAGAAATGGAAATCACTGTTAAACAAAATAAGGCAGGCTCAGACAGACAATATAAAAAATGTTTTCTCTCATGTGAAACACAGATTTGAAGGTCAATGTGTGTCAGCATGCCATGAAACTAGGACCACGAGAGGGAAAGAGGAGATCGTAAGGGAGGGAGAAGGAGAAGGGTGAGAAAGCACTGGAGTACAAGGGGACCACTTACATGGGTACAGATGGAATATAAAGAAGAGCAGTGACGCATGGAGAAGAGATTCAATGATAATACCCATTACTTTGTAGACTGATTTTAAAGACTGGACAGAGGACAGATAGATAAAATGTAGTTCCTATTCAATGTTACACAATCTACCTATGATGACTTCTTCTCACTTCTGAAACTACAGATGAAATTTCTGAGCCCTCCCCTAAAGGGTCTAGGTGATTCTGTAACTCATTTCTTAGTGCCTTAGTATTACTACTCTTCTGGTGTAAAATTGCACATCTTTTCTAACACAGTCCTTCAGTCACTCTGTCCTACAAATCAAATATTTATCAGCCACACCCATTAAACTTCCCAAAGGCAAAAAGCACAAACGGCCTCACTGTCTGTAGGTGCTACCTAAACCTACAGACACTAAAATCAGAAGGCCTGCTCTTCATTTGCAGCCCATCCCCCTTGAATCCCAGTCACTGCTGCTCACCTGCTGGTCTTGATCATGGCCTATGACCCATTATGCTATCAATTTTTCATAATCTACCAAAAACTGCATCTACTACTTACTATATTAGTCTAATGCTATGATTCCCTCACTTGTATATGATCTGCTGAATTTCTCAGCCTAGGTAATTTCCAAGTTTCACTTGCTTATGGATATTTACTTAAAAAAAAAAATTCAGGGAATTTCTATATGCTTTTTTTTTTGACAGGGTTTCTCTGTGTAGCCCTGGCTGTCCTGGAACTCACTCTGGAGACCAGACTGGCCTCAAACACTCAAGAGATCTACCTGCCTCTGCCTCTAGAGTGCTGGGATTAAGTGTGTAAGCAACCACACCCTGGCCCAAATGTATATTTTACAACTACAAAATGATCTATTTTATTTTTGGGATTGCTTTACTTAGCTCTGACTTCCTATTTCTAACAGGAGGTGAGCACAAGACCTGTTTCAAATGCTAATTACCCAACCTCTACACAAACTGTTACTCTGAAGCAGCAAAATGGCATGCTAACAAAGTCTCCTTTTTGTCTAGTATGTTAGCTGTATAACCAATTAAATGGTTCATAATTCAAATATGTGATGGGTCATACCAATTAAATATAGAATAAGGAAAGGATTAAAATTTCCCTAGAGCCGGGCGGTGGTGGCGCACTCCTTTAATCCCAGCACTCGGGAGGCAGAGCCAGGCGGATCTCTGTGAGTTAGAGGCCAGCCTGGGCTACCAAGTGAGTTCCAGGAAAGGCGCAAAGCTACACAGAGAAACCCTGTCTCGAAAAACAAAAAACAAAAAAAAAAAATTTCCCTAGAATTCAATAATACAAATAATCTTACTTCCCATATACCTCAGTGTTTTCAAATCCCACATTCCCTGCTGCCTGAAATCTAGGAAAGATCTGACCTCAGTTCTACGGTCTAAGGGAGTGATGAGCAACTGCACCACTGCACTAAACCAGCCAGTGGGAGAAGCAGCCCGTTCCAGCTCTGCAGCCAATGTGGAAATGACAGCCTTGTTGCATTAGAATCTACTCATGTCCACGACACTTTTCTAGGTTATCTCAGCATTCTCCATGCTGGTAAGGTAGTAAAGCACCAGAAACCTAAACCTTACTTCTGAGCAATTGGATAAAGACCAATCAGAACACTAACATTAAAGAGAAGAAGGAAATACCTCTGGTTTAAACAAGAACCAGCTGGAGTTATTGTTGTCTTAGGCAAACGTGTAGAGAACCACCAGCGTGATCCAGTATGTAAATGATAGGTTCTAACCTCAATAGTCCTGGCAGGCTGGCTGCAGCAGAATAGGCCCATTCAAAGGGAAACTTTCCTAAAAGTGCCTTCAACAGACGCAAGCGGTTCTTGTCTGGGTTTCTCTTTTCTTTAAAACTGACACTTGAGTCAACAAAACAAAGTTTCATTCAGCTAGGCAGGTTCCTTCTAGCATGAAATATGATATTCACTACAAATGAAAGAGCACAATATAAAACCAAATGAAAATTCAAATCAAAAAAATGAAAGGTATCTATACTCAATGTGATCACTGCCTGGGAAACCCTCAGAGCAGCATCATGAAACAGCCCATGCAAAGACTCCTCACTGCTGTATCTAACTGTATTCCTAACACCTGTACACACATTCTATTTGTATTCATGAAAAATTTTCAAGTTAATCCCAGTACTAAAGGAAAAGACAGGTGAATCTCTTGAGTTTGCAGCAAGCCTGCTCTACAGAGTGAGTTCCAGGACAGCCAGGGCTACACAGAGAGACCCTGTCTGGAAAGACAAAACAAAATCCTCAAGTTAATGAAACAGAAAAATTAGTGACTCCCCACTTAGTAGATACTTTGAGTCATCAAGAAAGAAAATGGCTGAATTATCCGATCGTGTAAAAGGGGCAGAGAGAATGCAGTTATTTCATTACCAGGCATGCTTTCTTTTACATGTACTCAAGCAATAAAATTTCTTATGCCTATCTTGTCAAAATATATTAGTAACTAGTGCCTTTAAAGTAACTAAATTTCGGACTTTCTAGAGAGTAAAAGCTGTCAATCAAGAAAAACAGGCAATGGTGATGGAATTAAGACACCAGCAGCTACTATTTATTGAGCACATCCTACGTACTTTACACTGTACACTGAGGATTTTGCCAACACAGGCAGTTTCCATATTGACGCTAACAGGTAACTATCACTGTTGTTGTCCACAAATGCAAAAACTAAGGTTGTAAACAAGTCATCAGAACATACAGAGGTATAAAGCTCTTGGCATTATATTCCAATTTTAGCCTCTCTAAAACATTCTTCCTATTGACTACTTAACAGTTTAGACAGAAATCCTTCCAACATCAAAATTACTAAATGATACGTTTATGAATACTTTGAGAAATAAAAATACTCTGGTATAAAGACAGGGACAGAAATGTGTCAACACAGAGGAAAATCACAAATTCCTGAGAAAAGAAACCAAGTATTTGAAAATGAAGAATGTGTTATTTAACAATGACTTGCCTGGCAGCACGGATCACAAATAGGAAACATAAAAATTCTATCAGCATGTCCTAATGAAACAAATTCTTTCTTCTTACTTTGTTTGTTTTCGAGACAGGGTTTCTCTGTGTAGCCCTGGCTGTCCTAGAACTCTGTAGACCATGCTAGCCTCGAACCCACAGAGATCCACTGCATTCAGGGTGCTGGGATGAAAGGCATGCACCATCACTGCCTGGCTCCTTTTTTTTTTAAGACTAGTGTGTGTGTGTGTGTGTGTGTGTGTGTGTGTGTGTGTGTGTGTGTGTCTCCGCCATCATGTGTGTGTTTGTCTGTGTGTCCACACATACACCCAAGGATAACAGAAGAATGTAGACATCAGGTATCCTGGAGTTAGACATATGGGCAGTTGTGAGCCATCTGACATGGGGTGATAGAAGCCAAACTGGGTCCTCTACAAGAGCATTAAGTGCTTTCACATAAAATTCCGAGTTGGCCTTTTACTTCTCTCTCTCTCTCCTCTCTCTCTCTCTCTCTCTCTCTCTCTCTCTCTCTCTCTCTCTCTCTCTCTCTCACACACACACACACACACACACAGACACACACACACGTGTAGGTACATGTATATTAAAGTACAGGTGCCCATGGAGACGAGAGGAAGACGTCTGAGCTCCCTGAGTTGCACTCGCGGTGCTTTGTGAGCAGACACACGTGGCGCTGAGAACAAAACTGCAAGAGCGGTCTGCACTCTCGTCTCCAAGCCACCACCCCAGCCCCGGCGTCTTTTAAATTGTGGACTGCAAATAACACTTGTCTGAATATTCTTTTATCTTCATTTTTCCATCAATTTTGAAACATTTATTTAGTAAAATTAACATACCTGATTTCTGCCTCTCCGTTTTCCATAATTCCTTCTCACTAGGGCTTTATAATTCTCATTTTTCTTGGTTAAATAGTAATATAAAACACAATCAGGCACACTCTGTAACGAAAAAACGGTTTTATTTAATGTTTGCTTTCATTTCTATAATAAAAAATATTTTATTTAAATGTTTTTATATTTCATTTCATGTTCAAATATAAATACTTTCAAGAAAATTTTCTAGTGTAACCGAGTAATAAATTAAAAACAAAAACACATGGCCTTAAATTTAAGTCTATCTAGGCTAGACAGATAACAAGGGAGCTATCATACAAGACATCTACAGTTGCCTTGATCCAAACTGTGCTAAAGACCTGAAGCTCCATCACAAACACCGAATGTGTTCTTATTAACTGGTAATATAGTCTCCTTCTCCTACATATGTAAATACTCAGTGTCTCTCCTGATGTTTTAATCAAAAACACTAAAGCTACTTGACTACAAAAAAACAAAAACAAAAAACAAACAAAAAAAGCAAAGAGAAATCAGGCCTGATATTTTAACCAGAGAATGACTTTTAAAAATTACCATAATTAATGAATTATTTGGGAAATAAAAGATCACATCACTTTTGATAAATGATGAAAACTGTTTTTATTCTCTGCTAAGGATTCCATTCACTGAAATTTTTTTTTTTGCTTTTTTTCAGAGCTGAGGACCGAACCCAGGGCCTTGCACTTGCTAGGCAAGAGGTCTACCATTGAGCTAAATCTCCAGCCCTGAAATTTTTTTTTTTTTAAGACTTTTGTTTGTTTGTTTTGAGACAGGGTCTCACCTATGTAGCCCAGGCTGGCCTAGAACACACTATGTAGACCAGGTTGGCCTTCTGTCACGCCAGTGCTGGGATTAAATGCAGGTACCACCACAGCCAGCAACATTTATTTGTAATTATGTATGTGTGCAAATATGTAGATATGTGTTAGCCAGGTGTTAGATCATCCTGTGAGCCATCTTATGTAGGTGCTAGAAATCAAAAAGGTTCCAGCTAGTGCAGTAGGCACTCTTATCCACTAAACCATCTCCAGTCCTTGTGCTTGGGAATTATAATGTAATTATAATTATCATTTTATACATATTTTATAGTATTATAATACTACTACCAGAATCTTTTCATCTATCATAATCCTTTGTAAAATCAATTGTAATTAACTACTGCTGCTAGTTAGAACACAAAAAAAAAAATCCAAGCCAGGCAGTGGTAGTGCACGTCTTTGATCCCAGCACTCAGAGGATCTCTGTGAGTTCAAGGCCAGCCTGGTCTATAGAGTGAGTTCTAGGACAGCCTCCAAAGCTACACAGAGAAACCCTGTCTCAAAAAACAAAACAAACAAACAAATAAAAAAATCCAAAGCAACATCACAAGCCTAAAAACATCTCAGTCTAAGTTTTTTCTTACCTTCCTTTCCAAGTAGGATGCAATTAGTCCAAAGTTTTTGGGATGCTGAATAAACCTGAGTTTAAAAACGAAAATAGTACTGAGAATACATCACAAGCTGTAATGAGGATGTCAATAACATCATGGATTCCCCCAGAAGCTCAGGAAACATAACAGAAAAGAAGGCAGAAAAAAAATTGAAGAGGTAGACGATGGGAAGGAGCGCTGTGAAACACTGTCTTCTGGATATGACATTACCACTGCACTCATAAACTCAAAGCCAAAGTTAGCTGCACAAGACCTGTGCCATACATATAGAGTCCTTTCCACATTCCAGCATGGAAGGGACAGGGGCTCTTGAGACCCCAATCCCAGTTGAGGTGCCACTGGCATTTAATGGCTGATAAGGAAATGGAGCTATTTTCCTCCATTAAGTAGTTAATAGTGCATTAGTAAATAACCAACCCCATGGAAGCTCAATGGGTCACTTGTTTTTTAATGAACATGAAAGTAGAAAGTGGATTTGCTAGGAAGACGAGAACAAGAGAATGATGGGGAGATGTGATAAAAATAAATTATATGCATTCATGAAATTATCCAAAATAAAAGTTGAAACATTAAGAATGTAAGTGTATACAAATGTTTTACAAAATAAGAAAAACTGGAAGAATTATGTCTAGCCTAATTCAAAGTGATTCCTCACTGCCCACTGGATAACAGCTATAGAATCATTAGAAAATGTTTAAATGACAGAGTTTTTAAATCAAAGTTTTAAATTTTTTGTTTTTTGTTTGTTAGTTTTTTGAGACAGAGTCTCATTATGTAGCCCTGGCTGTCCTGGAACTCACTATGTACATCAGGCTGGCTTCAAACTCAAGAGATTCACCTGCCTCTACCTCTGGAGTGTGGAGGATTAAAAGTGTATAACACCACACCCTGTTGTTTCTTTTGTTTGTTTTTTTGTTTTTTTTTAATCCTGAGACAGGGTTTCTCTGTGTAGCCCTGGCTGTCCTGGAACTCATTATGTATATAGATCAGACTGGCCTCGAACTCACAGAGATATGCCTTTCCCTGCCTCCCCAGTGCTGGGATTAAGGCTCATATCCCCATTTCTTATCTGTTAACTATTGTTCCACCTACAAGCTTATAATAAGATAAATTTCTCTATTTCTTACATTCCAGTGCCAAATTAGGATGAAAGTTTTGTGGAAATAGTTCACTCTCAAGTAAATGAAAAACACTTTTACTAATGTATATGAACTTCTATTACAGAATAATTTAACAGTTAAATTACTTGTCCTTAAAGATCTCCTTTTCATGGTCAGTCCAAACATTCATAAACTGTCTATCTTTATAAACTTTCATAGGATCCTCCATAAGCCCATTCATATTGATGAACTTGACCCTTCTTTGCTCTGCATCAAACATCATAGGTGGAATCACAGAAAGCTGCCGCATTTGTTTCTCATTATTCTGCAAGAAATAAATGCAACTTAGTTAGGATAATATTTAAACTAAAATTTTTAAAGGGCTATAGACTTTAACAGTTAAAAAACATGTCTGTAATTTAATGGCAATGATGCTGCATATATCACAGTATGTTATATGATTGTTTCTAACACATTTACACCAAATTATATAACTTACAGACAAGGAATTCAGATAAAATAAACTACTAGCTTTGGGTTGGTTTTGTTTGGTATATTGTTTGTTTGTTTGTTTTTTCTTCTTTTTTAGACAGAGTCCATTCTAGAGTCCAGGCCAAGATTCTATAGCTCAGGGTGGCCTCAAATTTGCAGCAATCCTCCTGCCATAGCACCTTAATGCTGAGACAAGGTACAAGTATGAACTACCACACCCAGCTTATCCTTTACTATTCTGAGGAATTCTTCATTGATATTTGGAAAATAATGCAATACTTTTATCTAGAAGATACAAAACAATAGTCTCTTTTAAAAAGTAGTCTCAACATCATTTTAGTTGTCTTTTTTTTTTTTTTTTTTAAAGCCTGTGTATTCAGATGAGGTGTCAATGCACGTAGAGGCCAGAGAGCATCTTTGGGAGTTTTTCCCATTGCTCACTACCATATTCATTGAGGTATGGTCTCTCAAGGGAACCTCCAGCTTGCCTGTGGGCAGGCCACCACACTCAACCTGGCATTTACAGAGACTTTGGTCCTCACACTTGCAAAGCAAGGGCTTTATCCTCTGAGCCATCTCCCCAGCATTTCATCATCAGTATATATATATAGAAAACAATGTTAGCAGGATTTCAGAGACAGAAATAAAGTAACAAATGTTATGAATATCTTAATGTCATTGATCTTAAATTATTTAACTCACGTAGCATTAAGTACTTCTTGCTAATTTTATGTGATTCATTAAAAATTTAAGATTCTTATCATTATAATTTAAGCTAGTTTAATCTATTGCATATGTATGACTTTTTCCAAAGAATAACTTAAGATACTTATACATATAATCTTGCATTGAAAAGAAACTTGGTTATAAAGCTATAGTATTTATCTAAATTGAAGGGTCTTTTTTTTTTTTCCTAAAACTATTCCCAAGTGGTCAAGTCCTTGCTAAATGTCTAGTTCCACAGGGTAAAATCAATTAGTTTGAACACCAGTGTTTGGGATTGACACATTAGGTTGATACCACTTCAACTGATAAGCTTCCTTAGAATGCTCTCAGATGTGCCCTAATGGTATTCACAGAAAAACAAGCATAGAAATTTAATGCAGACTTAATCATTATAGAAATTATAGCTACAGATTTCAGAGATTATCGATCATGCATTTTCCAGTGATTTTTAAAACCAATATAGAATAACGGTTGTGTTTTTTTGGGGTTTTTTTTGTTTTTTTCAAGACAGGGTTTCTCTGTGTAGCTTTGCGCCTCTCCTGGAACTCACTTGGTAGCCCAGGCTGGCCTCGAACTCACAGAGATCCGCCTGGCTCTGCCTCCCGAGTGCTGGGATTAAAGGCGTGCGCCACCACCGCCCGGCTATTCCCAGGACTCTTGATGACAAAACAATCTTTGGAAAAATTTTAATCACATTGCTTCAAGCCCTATAGTGGTTGGCCTCGGTCTCTGAAATAATTCAAGCACTATTATCTAATGTATCCTCATTTACATATTGTAAACCTTTACACCCTGGGCTACAGGGCTGAAATGCTTAAACAACTAAAGAGTTAACTTGAATCAATCAATTTTCTTACCTCCTGCTCAGAAAGACCATCAATAATTTCAGAAATCTCATGCTCACTCCTAGCAATGGTAGCTGAAAGACCAGCTCCCCTCTGACCAACTCTAAATATGAAAAAGAAATATAAATATATTTAAAGGCTTTTTATGAAAAAGTAAGAAATTATCATTAATACTGGAGCTATGTAAAACATAACAAATTATCATTAATACTGGAGCTATGTAAAATGTGACAAATTATCATTAATACTGGAGCTATGTAAAATATAACAAATTATCATTAATACTGGAGCTATGTAAAACGTGACAAATTATCATTAATACTGGAGCTATGTAAAATGTAACAAATTATCATTAATGTTGGAGCTATGTAAAACGTGACAAACTATCATTAATACCGGAGCTTATGTAGACCAGGCTGGCCTCAAACACACAGAGATCTGCCTGCCTCTGTTTCTCAAGTGCTGGAATTGAAGGCACACATCACCACTGCCTGGTTCAAACTGAGCCTTTTTTTTTTTTGGTTTTTCGAGACGGTTTCTCTGTGTAGCTCTGCGCCTTTCCTGGAACTCATTTTGTAGACCAGGCTGGCCTCAAACTCACAGAGATCCGCCTGCCTCTGTCTCCTGAGTGCTGGGATTAAAGGCGTGCGCTACCACTGCCCGGCTTCAAACTGAGACTTTTAAAATAAAATATATTGTATTTATTCTTTGACAGTTTTACACATAAACAACTTATCTTGATCGCATCCACCTCCAGTTCCTCGATCCTCCTCATTGACATCCTCTAGTGGGTTTTTTTTGCTTAGTTTTTTGTGTAACCCAGAGTCCAAATTACTACCATCTGTTGGAATGTTGATCTGATGCTGTGTTGATCATGTATAGGTCTTGTGCATGTAAGCATACCTTTCTTAAGCTCATTAATGCAGTATCAAAATGTCTATGAGATAGAACACAAAATGAGACTTTTGTGTGTGTGCATGTGTGTGGGTACATGTCTGAAATGCAGGTGTGCCTACAAATGTGTGCAGATGCATATGGAACACCAAAGTGGGATTTTTTTTTAATTAATAGGAAGTCAAAAAACCAACCCGAGAGTCAATGAATACTTTCAAATGGTATGCATGAGTCACTACCAAATTAGCAACAATTTAAATGTTAATACTGAGATTGAAGTTATATATGTTGGACTGGAGACACAACTCAGTTGGTAAAGTGTTTGCGCTCCATGCACCAGGACCTGGGGTTGAGCATTAGTACCACAAGGGAAAAAAAAAAAAAAAGGTTATATATCCAAGTTAAAATGGTAGACTAATAATGGGGAACTTGTATTAAAAAAGAAATTATTGATGCCATGCTGTGGAACAATCTTTATACACTGTAAACATGTATTGCTCTAATTGTTAACAAAAAGCTAACTGCCAATGGCTAAACAGGGTTTTCAGGTTGAGAGAATGCTGGGAAAAGGGAGTCTAGAGGAGAGGCAGAGAGAAGTAAGATGAACATGCCATGTTAAAAGAAGGTATCACCATGTGGCAGAGGGTAGATAAGAAATATGGGTTAACTTAAAATATAATACTTAGCCAGTAACAAGCCTGAGCTATTGGCCAAGTGAGGATTTATACTTAATAATACATCTCTGGATAGTTATTTGGGAGCAGTTGCTGAGACACAGAGAAACTCCACCTACAATATCAAGTCCATCTTTTGTCAACATTCTAAAGAATAGGAGTGCAAGCTTGGAAAAATACATTCAACATTTCTAAAATATAAGGAAAAACAATGAAAAAAAAGTCAAGCTTAAGATATTTGCAAAACACCTATTTTTACCTTCTGTGGGAATTAGTGATGGTGTTTTATGCCTATTCTCTAAAAGTAAAACAAAACAAAATAAAAAAATCAAGAGTGTGGTGCATTATGGTGAACATCTTTAATCCCAGCACTTAGGAGGGACAAGCAGATGGATCTCTGGAAGATCGAAGACAGAGGTCAGATCTCCATTAGCAAGTTTCTGGCCAGTCAAGGCAACATAAAAAAAAACTCCATTTTTTAAAAAAATTAATTATTAATAATAATAATGTAAAAATTTTTCTACTAAACCCCAAAAAATCTTTAAAAAAAAACTTAAGCCAGGCAGTGTTGCATGTTTTTAATCCTAGCACTGAGGAGACAGAGGCAGATGGATCTCTGAGTTTGAGGCCAGCCTGGTCTGCAGAGAGAGTTCCAGGACAGTAAGGGATACAGAGAGAAACTCTGTCTTCAAAAACTTTTTTTAAACAAATCTTATTTTTTATTTTATTTTGTCTTGCCTACATGTATGTCTATGTACCACATACATAACAGGTAACAATAGAAGCCAGAAGAGGGCGTCAGATCCCATGTAACTAAACCTAGGTCCTCTGCAAGAATAGCAAGTACTCTTAACCACACAGCTATCTCTTTAGCCCCACAGAATTTTTTGATTAATAATCAATCAATTTCATGCTGTTTCATTTTGTTGATGATTACTAAGGAATATTCGGGTTCATTCTTATTAATTTTCATTTTGAAATAAATTAGTACTTTTAAGAATTAAAGATTTGAGCTGGAGGCAGATCAGCAGTTAAGAGCACTGACTGTCCTTTCAGAGGACTCAGGTTCAATTCCCAGCACCCACATGGAAGCTCCCAGCTGTCTGTAACTCCAGTTCCAGGGGACCCAATTATGGCCTCCACAAGCACCAGTCGTGCATATAGGGCATAGACATGCACCCAGATAAAACACTCACAGGAAAAAAATAAAATAATTAAAAAAAAAAAACAGAATTAAAGAAAATTTAAAAATATTCACTTAGATTTCATATGAAGATTAAATATAAATATAAAAAAATTAATATTCAATTCACTAAGAAATAATCTTTACTGGTTGATAAGGAAGTTTTAAATTCTATGGCAAAAGAGTTTGCCACTAGATCTGACAACCTGAGGCCAATCCCACTTGGTGGAGGCAGAGAACCTACTCCCACAATATGTCCTCTGACCATCAGTATTACTGTGGTATGTGAGCTTCCCACATCCTATAAATGAATAATGAGTGTAATTTTTTTTGTTTTGTTTTTTTTTCGGTTTTTTTTGAGACAGGGTTTCTCTGTGTAGTTTTGGTGCCTGTCCTGGATCTCGCTCTGTAGACCAGGCTGGCCTCGAACTCAGAGAGATCCGCCTGGCTCTGCCCGCCGAGTGCTGGGATTAAAGACGTGTGTGCCACTGCCCGGAATAAGTGTAATTTTAAAAATTTAAGTTCAACATTAAAAATTCTTGCCAGGTAGTAGTGATACATACCTTTAATCCCAGCACTTGGAAGGTAGATACAGACAGATGTGTGAGTTCGAGGCCAGCCTGGTCTATCTACAGTGTGAGTTCCAGGACAGCCAGGACTACACAGAGAAACCCTGTCTCAAAAATCCAAACACTCTTGATGATCTGAAGGGAAAAAATTACCATTACTAAACATCAAACTACATACCGTTGAAACCGTTCTTGCTGCTCTCTTTGTTTTCGAATTTCTGGAAACTGCTTCTCATAGTACTCCCTTGTTTTGCTTTCTTTTGCTTTCCTCCGGGGATTGTTTTCTATTCTGTCCACTTTTTTCTCCCATGCTTCCATGAGCTGATCATAACGCTGGCAGATTTTTTGTTCCTATTAAACACCCGCAGTAAATTAATAACAATTAAACTGAACTCTATGACTTGGTTAGCCTTTAAAATACATTCCATTTCTTAAAATGAAAACAGAGGTACATTCGGCTTATATGACTCAGCTAAGAATGACAATTTGTTTTTGGTCTGACAGGAGAAATGGAGCAACTTCCTTAGATGAACACCCAGGGTGTACTTTCCCTGGAATTTTTACTAACCGTTAACACTATACAAATTAACAAACTCATTGACAACCACTGGTAGTGGTTGACCATGTATTTTTATTTTCCTGAAAACGTGCCTTCATTGTCAAAAAGAAAGGAAAATTAAAAACATTTACATAGTTCATCATCTAATCCAGAGGTTCTCAACCTTCCTAATGCTGTGACCCTTTAATATAATTCCTCATGTTGTGGTGACCCCCCAACCATAAAATTAATCTGATTGCTACTTCATAACTGTAATTTTGCTAATGTTATGAACTGTAATGTAAATATCTTTTCTTTCCCCATGGTCTTAGGCAATTCCTGTGGAAGGGTTGTTCGACACCTTGAGGAGTTGTGACCCACAGATTGAGAACCACTGCTCTAATCAATCTTTTTTTTTTTAATTTATTTATTTTTATTTTATGTGCATTGGTGTTTTACCATAGGTGTTGGGTCCCCTGGAACTGGAGTTACAGACAGTCGTTAGCTGCCATGTGGGTGCTGGGAACTGAACCGGGGTCCTCTGGAAGAGCAGTCAGTGCTCTTAACCGCTGAGCCATCTCTCCAGCCCCCTGCTCTAATCAATCTTAAAGGCAAGTATTTAGCATTTTGTTGGTATCTATCCAAACTGTCATAGAAAACATGCATGTATAACAGTTTCTCTACCATTAGAGGTTCTGGTTTTTCACTTTTTTTTAATTTTTGTTAACTAGTATAAATATTTTTTGCAAGAATGGAAAAGGCTAGAATTAGCTATTCACCATCATAAAAAGAAATCTGGTTAAAAAACATGAAATCAAGAATTAGTACTCTTGGTTAATCTTGAATTATGATTCCATTTTCTACAGGTACAAGGCAGAAGAACCCTCCATTATGGACACAAAACTATGTGACTACAAGATTCCATAAAGAGGAAAGTGAGAAGGGCCTTAGGACCACTGCTAACGTTAGTCACCTAAAAGTGACTGGACAGGAGAGTGTTTCTTCTCACACCATTCCCTCATCAATTCTTCCAACACCTATGTGCCTCTTGTGCACTTCACATTTTTTCTCTATACTCCCATCACTTGAATTCAAGTCAACACTGTCATCACCCAGAAGGGAAGCAATCATCTAGTAAATGTGGCCCACATAATTTCTGTTACTTTCCAAAACAGAGAAGATGGAAGCCAGGACCTGGTCCATGTTACGTAAGTGTTCAGATTTTCCCATGCATTCCCAGTGTTGCAGCCAGATACAAATTCTTTGGTTGTTGTTTGATACAGGGTTTCCCATATCTCAAGCTGGCCTCAAACCTACTAGGTAACGGAGCACGACTTGAACTTCTCATCTCCCTGCTTCAACCTCTCCAGTGGGAATCACAGGAATGTGATACCAAACAGTTTATTTGGTGCCAGGGATCCAATCCAAGGACTTCATGTTAAGTAAGCACTCTACCACTGAGTTACATATGCAACCCCAGATGTAAATTCTTAAAATTCAAACCTGAACTTCATCAGATTAAACACTTAAAAAAAAAAGTATCCTCTGAATCTCATAGAAAGTCTTGTAGGTGACCTCCAGTGTATCACTGAATCCCAGCATCCTTAACACCCGTGCCCTTCCCAGCTCACCCACTCTAAATTCAGTCGGTTTTGAGCCTGTCACATTAGCTATTTTTACTGGCTTTCCTGTTTAGTGGCCCTCCCTGATTCGTACCTGCTTTAGGCATTCCATTTTACACTCTTGTAGTCAGCTTTGTGTATGAGATCACATTACGATCACAATACTGAACCTGCCTGCTGACATATCTGCTCCGTAAAAGCTAAATAATATGGCTATCTTGCTTGCTTTTCTGGAATAATACATGAAACATCATCCACAACTGATAAACACTTATTAATCAAATCAGTAGAAAGATAAATTACAATTATTCCAAAGCATGAAAAGGTTTATTCTCCAGTGATTACATCACCAGAGGACTAATTTAGCAACTACCAGAATTACAATAAAATGACTGAACAAAAAAGCTAGTTTATCACTTAATATTTCTATGTTTTGGGGAAGAAAAATATTCAACACCAGTTAAGATAGCATCTAGAAGATAACACTGGAAATATGAACTACAGAAGTTTTACACCAAATAAAAGCTGCTGTCTCTTGAGCTTTACAACTGGTTAACGGTCAGGTGATTCAGTATATGGTAAAGTTCATTTCTAAAATAGGTTCAAAGAACTTCATTTTATTAAAAATCTGAATTTAAATGTATCTAAAATTAGTATGAACATATTACAAAAGTAAGGATATTCTCTGAAATTTAATTTTTATGATTATAACCATAAAACTTCTAGACAGCAAAGTTTATAACTAAATAAAAAACTATTTAAATTTTTAGACACTGACCAGATAGTTTTTCCTAAGGACAGAGAGCAATGTCTCATCGGCATGACCATAACTTACCGACACTTGTTTGAGTCCTAACAGACTGAAAGCGGATCGTCCTACTTAGCTTTTATTTTTTTTTTGACTACTCACCATTTTGCTGAATAAAAATATTGCATAAATGACTAATGAAATTAATTTGATAATGATGTTAAATGTGGTATTACAATGTTACTAGGATTAGATTCATATTTAACTCACACATACAGTTACTTTCTAAATCAGCATTGTTCTCATATAATCAAGGATCAATTATTAATGGGAAAGTGAATGCCTAAATGACATGAATGGGAAAGCTGTACAAATTTCAGTTAACAAGGATAGGACCTCACCCTTTGTTTTCTTGCATGATTTCTTCTTTTAAAAAATAAAATGAGTTTTTTCCTCATCACCTGGTTTCTAGAAGAGAAAAATATGGTTGCAGAACATTAAGAAAAAGCACAACTTAAGCCATGTTCACTTTCTGCAGACATTGGATAGACAAACCACTTAAGAACTTATGGTACAATCAGAGTTAATCTTAAGCTTTTTCACCCTGCAAAATAAGACTGCATAATTTTTGCAATAAGGTCTAAAATTCCTGCCATTCTATAGCAAGATAATACAGTTAATTTTTAATTCATGCATCTAATTTTAAGACATATTATTTTCAAATATAATTATAATTATAATTAAGGAGTAACTAATTCTTAAGCATTCTGATGATACAAGCATCTTCATATATACTTTGAGAAAAAGAAATAAAAGGGAAAAGAAACCTTTTGCAGGTACTTCCCTCCTAGAAGGAGAATGCACACCCAAACATTTAGAAAGATGTGACTTCTGCTCAAGACAGAAGATCTCTCTCCACAGATCTGACACAACACTCTATGGAGCAACAAAGGGCAATCTGACAAGACAGGAAAATGTGTCACGTGTCTTAATGTAACAGTGTCACTTTTCAACGTGGAAGCACTGTGACCCTTTAAAACAATGTCATGCAGATTCAAATATATAAATATTCATACCCCACCTACTTACAGAAATAATTCTAAGCTGACTATTCAGACATAAATACAAAGCCAATGAAAGTAGAAATAAATTTCTGGATTACGTGTTGCTCAGGACTAACACTGACACTGGCTCCACTCAAATATTCAAAGACAGTAAGTAGCTCGGTGTATGACAAAGCAGTCAGCAGAGGAAAAGAATTATTAAATGTCACATTTGCTATTTCATAGAAAGCAAAAGAATAGCTACTGAATGACTTGAGCAAATGTGTATACTTCAAAAGTAACATACAGTGGACCATAAATACTTATCAGTTTACTCTGACTGCAATTATATGCTACTCAAAAATAAATGTCAATCAGTAAAAAAAACTTTAAATGTCTACTAAGAATTTAAGTGAAGTCAGCTAGTCCATAACCCCTCTCAGCACAATCTAAACATAGGCAGTGTAGATAACATAAAATCAATCAACAACAGTGCGGCTTTCCAGCTTACATTGAAGGAGAAAAGACAAAACACAAACCGAGCTTGGGGGGGGGGGGGGGGGATATCACTAAATGTAGCCAACTACATTTTATCTGTTATCCTCCTTTTAAAAACATTTAAACAGCTAAGTAGTTCTAAATCAAAATGTATGAGTTTAGCCTAATCTTCTCCTAAAGGTTCTCAAGACCATGGCAATATCTCACAGAAAAATTCTTAAATAGATGACTTTATTATGAACCATTTACTTAACAGAAGTTAAAATGACTCAAACTGTAATAGTTGTCATGCACACTACCATGCAAATATATTTGCCACCAGTTCTGCAAAGTAGTCAATTATTGTACACACTCTCAGAAATTAAAAAATATATATATAAATAATAATGTGCTCATTAGTAACTGTAATAGTATATAATTATAATGTTCTGGATACACTTTTAAATGCATATAAATAGAAATATCACATTTCTGTCACCAATTAATAGTAATTCACCTAAAATGCTCTAAAAGTATGATAATTAACAACAATTTAAAAAAAAAACCTAGCTTCTCTTACTTCAATCAGATCAAGAAATTAAGTTTACTTTTCACTTTTCTTATTCCAAGATCTGCATCCATAAAGGCCTGGTAGTAGGATGAGCAAGGCAAAGCAAACTACATTCTGGAACAGCCTCCTCACCCACATGAGGGGACTGAGCCTTCCAAGGCACCAGGACATTAAATGGCAGAAGGGTCTACAAATACCGTCATTAGCAAGAGTCATGGAAGGGATTTCCCTAGAATAGGGTTTTGAATAATGATAAAATGATCCGTGGCACTTCTACTTTGCAATGGCAGATGTGGCTTGGTGGGGGACGGTGTCATCACTAGTCTTAAATGAAAAAGCTTCATTATCTTACTTCATCATGCGCCTTGCAGGTACTCCACTGAAAAAAACACAAAACAGGAGGCAAAGAATTCAAGCCTCAAGGTAAGCCATTTCAATGTTAAGTATCCACCTTTTTTTTTTTTTTTTTTACTAGCAGATTATAAAACCAGCTAGTTTTATGCAATATTTTATTTTATTTTTTTGGCCTCGGAAACTCAAATCTGTTACCCCAACCCCCAAAAAGCCAGAGGAAGATAACATATAGTAAACAACAGCAAATTACACAAATCTAAAACACACCTACACTGTTATAATAATGTCCGCAGGTAACAAAAATGATTTCTTTATAGAATATGTGTTCTTTAATTGAACTCCAAAGATGGTAAGTACTTACGTCTTGATGTTCTCATGGTACACCTTGGTATCTGATGGCTGATTATAGAGTGGCTATAAAAAAAAAAAAATGACATTTATGTGTAGAGTGTTGTATATATACTTACATTAACAAACAAAATCATTTTATTGTGAGACTATCTAAAATGGCACTATACCATAGCATCCAGCCTAAACCTGCAGGTGTCAGGTTTCCCTGTAACCCCATCTCCTACTGCTCTCCTACTCCAAAAGAAGTTTACAAACCCACTGTATCTTATAACAAATAAGCCTCATCACACTTTCAATTTCAGAGGCAAAGGGAAATTACACACTGTCTTTATCCTAATAGTACATTCAGGAAGCTCTCTTCTATTTCCTTTAGCTACATCTTCCTCCTCCTACCTAAGGGATGAAATGGCTGTTCAGGAAAACATGCTCAGAATACTGCTTACGCAAAGGTAATCAAGTTTACTCACAATTATCTTAAGATTATAAGAAACTTTCTGCCCGGCTATATAATTTTTATCCAATATTAAATGGATAGCCCATTTTATCCCAAGAAAAAAGAAACTTAACAACAATAATAACATTAGAAATGAAAACAGGAATCTCTTACCAGTTCAACTTTTGGGCCAAGACCTTCAAAAATTTTATGAGCTTCTTCTGCTTTTTTCTAAGGAGAAAAACATTATATTGATAATTAAAAATTATATTACCCCAAAGAAAAATAATTACCTATTTGAAAACACTTATCTAAGACTAATCTGCAACTAAATTTACCTTTATTTACACTGAAACATTCTCTAATTTCCCCTTATACTGGGGATTGAAGCTAGATTATCATGTAAGCTAGACAAGTGTTCTACCACTGAGTCATGGTGTTGGCATTCTCTAATTTTAATTTACATAGGGTTCTCTCACTAAATTTAATCAAATCTCTAGTCAAAGCCTAATGTCTGTACTGATAGCAACACATAAACAATTAGGAAGTTAATAAAATATTGGGAATACAGAGAGAAGGAATAAAATTTAAATTAGAAATATACCCAAGTATTTCAAATATTTAATTCACATGCTGCTGTTAATAAATATCTAAAAGCATAAAGTATCAAAAGAAGCATATAATGAGTTTTTTTCTAGCTCCAAGGAACTAAGTAATAAGTGAAGAATAAAGAAATAGCTAGTTTTACCCCAATCATTATTTGCAGTAAAATAAAATTTTAATAACATATTTAACATGCCATTTTCAAAAGTAAAATAATCAAAACCAAAGTACCCCATAACAGAATCTTGTGGTGATATCTGGAACAAATAAAATTTGCCTGAAGATCAGAGGACAGAACAAGCCACTAGATTAAACATAGAAGTCAGGCAGTGGTGGCACACACCTTTAATCCCAGCACTAGGAAGGTTGAGACAGGAAGTGATAAGGCTGGGCAGAGAAAGGAACATAAGATGGGAGGAGACAGGAACTCTGGCTCTTTCAGGCTGAGAACTTGCTGAGGTAAGAGGTGGTGGCTGCGGCTTGCTCTGCCTCTCTGATCTTTCAGCTTTCACCCTGATATCTGGCTCCGAGTTTGAATTATAAGACCACTTAGGATTTGTACAACAGATCTTCCTTGCTAAGAACAAATTAAATAGGTCAGCAAGACAGCTGTGGTTAGTTAAGATGCTTGCCATCAAGTCTGACAATCTGACCCATTATCAGGGCAAGAGTGGACTGACTCCAGCAAGTTATTCTCTGTCCTCTCCGTGTGTCTAACACACACACACACACACACACACACACACACAAAATAAACAAATGTGAAAACTTTTAGCCTATGAACGGTTTGGCCGAAATTTTTTTAACATAAAACCCTCCAATTGGGCTGGGTATGCAGCTCAGTTGTTGAAAATACTTACATAGCCTTAGGCCTTGGGTTCAATTCCTTATAAAACACACACACACACACACACACACACACACACACACACACACACACACACACACACACACTTTTCTCACATTTTCATATAATTATTAGTCTAAGTCTACATATGTAAGTAATTAATTCTTCAAATATAAACTGAATGTATTCTATGTGCCAGGCACTTACTAGACACTAAAAAAAAAAAACAATGGGGGTGGGGGAAAGACAACCAATTCCAGTATAAAGAATGGTTTGAAAGGCTTATGGATATTTAAGTGTACTCCACATATAAGAAAGATAAACACTAGACAAACAACCTGGGAGTAAAAGTACTAAAAAACACTTAATACAATACTGAAAGCCTCATCTGGTAGGAGACTACCAAGGAGGGAGTTTTTTGATAAGGCTCAGATAGGGCCAGAGAAGTGGCTCAGTGGGTAAAAGCATTTGCTGAACAAGCCTGAAGACCTGAGTTTGCTCCCAAGAACACATGGAAGGAGATAACTGATTCCACAGTTACCCTCAGTCTGGCACATCCAAATGCATGTGTAAGTTTGGGCTACTTTGTAGAAAGTAAGAAATAGGGTTTTGTTTGGAGAATTGTGTACTAGAACACAGGTATGAAGGATGGGTTAGGATGGGTTAAAAAGTGGAAAAAAAAAAAAAAGACTGTAAGAATGAGATATAGCAACCATGTGTAAAATTCAACTGAGGCAAATGGCAAAAGGAGAGAAGGGAAACAGATGCCTAGGATAATATACAGAAAACAGGTGTATGCTCTTTAGAAACTCATTACCATACATGGTGTGGCTGAGGGAGGGAAGCAGCCAGCTCCAGGAGAAGAGCAGGGTGAAAGGAGGATGCTGGCACAAGAGTGCCGGCAACTTTTTCTCTCTTCTGTGCCGTGGGCTGCAACAAACCATCCAGCCGAAATATACACTATTTCCACAATCTCTTCCATTACATACTAACAACCATTCCTTTTTGTATTTTTACAAAATTCTGAAATTGAAGCACCTACAAATATTTTGGGAACGTATAACTGAACAGACATAAAGAAACTCAAACTGTTAAAAAAAAATAACATAGTTCAGGAAAATAGTTTGTTCAAAGAGAAAACAAACAAGTCTGAGTTCAAATATGAACCAAAGCAGCTTTTCTCTCACGAAGCTAGCTTTAACAGTCTCCTTCTAGGCAGTTTTCCTTTTCTCACCAACTTTGTAAATAAAACAAGACTTCTCATGTGTGATAATGGTTCCGATTACTTCAGCCACACTGAGCATAATTCCCAGAGTAAACAGACTGTCACTTCACAAGGAATAAGTAAAAGATGTACTTCTGCCATTATCTCATGCCTTCTTGCCTATGGCATCAAGACAGATTAGGTTACTCACTTTAAAAGGTCATGGAAGCAGTGAAAGTCTTAGAAAACATAGCATGATGAGAAAACAAAACCACAGAGCTGGCAGAGACGCCCAGAACAGCTTTCCTCCACTTCCCTCTCAGAGCCCCACAAGAAGAACTACAAAAAATAACTAGTAGTAGGGTTTACTAAGAAAGCATCTGAAAGAAAACATGGCTTGACAATTACTAAGAGTGAGTTAAGAACATTCTTCATGCATGAAAAAAACTTTTCACTGTAAGAAGCCAAGACTCATACTGAGACATCAAGTTTGGCTATTCTTTGCTTTGTGGAATGAACAAGAAACAAAAAGGAAATGATCAAAACAGAAAAGATCTAAAATGAGTTTTCAAGTCTGATGATGGGCATTAAGAAACATTTATTTCAATATCTAATGAAGACACGTATATACTTAAACACAAATTAAGTTCTCTATCAGATCTTAATATTTTTCAGTCTTCACACCCACAACATTCACTAATTTGCAATTGTTTAGATTGTACAACAGTTTATTTTAAAATGTAATCAATAAGTGTCACTGAATCCATTTTATTTTAAAATGAATACTAAAATTTTAGACATTAAAAAAATTCCCATTGTCTATCAGTTCCAATCTCTTACTTTATCATAGAGATCACAAACTGGCTATAAAGGTCACTAGCTGATTAAAGTATTTTATAGTTCTGAAGGGTATTTCTTAAAAATCATAAGATATGCCAGGCACTGTGGTGCATGCCTTTAATCCAGCACTTGGAAGGCAGAAGGCAGGCAGATTTCTGAGTTCGAGGCCAGCCTGGTCTACAAAGTGAGTTCCAGGACAGCCAGGGCTGTTACACAAAGAAACCCTGTCTTGAAAAACAAAAATCTAAAGATATAACACAAAACTTCTCATTTCCATCTCCACAAACAAAGGGCATACTTTCCTATTCTGAACTACAGTCTTCCTCTAGGCATGGCATGAGGTGAAACATCACTTTTTCCCCTTACTGTCTTCCAACTTCACTACAGAAGATTATTCTGGCCAGTCAACAAACTGCACCCATTCTAAGCCCAACTAATTAAATATTAACTGCCTGTATTTTTACCAGCATGTGACATGTACCACACAGTATACTCTATATGTGACTCTCAACTGTCTACTCTTGTACAGATGTATGAGTTTAAGATTATTTTTATGTGTGTATTTCATGATGGAATTAAAATTATTTTTTAGTTTCCCTGCTGTCTTAGTTAGGGTTTCTATTGCTGTGAAGAGACACCACAACATAAGTAACTCTTATAAAGAAAACATTTAGGGCTGGAGAGATGGCTCAGAGGTTAAGAGCACTGCTTGCTCTTCCAAAGGTCCTGAGTTCAATTCCCAGCAACCACATGGTGGCTCACAACCATCTGTAATGAGATCTGGTGTCTTCTTCTGGCCTGCAGGGATACATGCAGACAGAACACTGTACACATAATAAATAAATCTTAAAAAAAAAAAAGACATTTAATTGGGGTGGCTCGCTTACAGTTCAGAGGTTCAGTCCATTATTGTCATGGTGGGACATGACGGTGTGCAGGCAAATATGGTGATGGAGAAGTAGCTGAGAGACCTATATCTTGCAGGCAATAGAAGTGGTCTGTCTTACTGGGATAGCTGGAGCATAGGACACCTCAAAGCCCACTCCCACAGTGACACACTTCCTCCAACAAGGCCACATCTACTCCAACAAAACCATACCTCCTAAGAGTGCCACTCCCTTTGGGGACCATTTTCTTTCAACCCATCACACCTGCCTTACTTTTGTTTTTAGTGTGTGTGGTGCATGTAGAGAGCAGAAGCTGATACCCTGTGTCCTCCTCAGTTGCTTATCATACTTTTTTTTGGCAGGGGAGACATGGTGTCTCACCGAACCCAGACCTCACTAATTTGCCTAGGCTGGCGGGCATGCAAGACTCAGGGGTCCTCCTGTCTCTAATTCCCCAGTGTTCAAATCACAGGCAAATGCTATCACACTCCCCTTTTTATGAGTGTTGGGGAACTAAACTCATATCCTCAAGCTTGTGCAGCAAGCACTTTATAGAATGAAGCATCTTCCCAGCCCCTACTGTTTATGTGGATGGCGTTCATAATTATTATTTACTTTAGAACATATTCATACAAAAGGCTCAGAATAGCAATATACTATTTTACGACCCTAATTCCACAGAACATCTCATTTTTTTGATACTTTTTATAGCCTTATTATATCTACATTATATAAGAACATAGCTTTTACCCATCATGTACTCTTGACTCTTATTTAGAATTAGTTCTTCAGGTAAACTCTCTAATTTTCTTACCTTTATAAATATTGCTGGGCTTGCCTGTCTCTCTTTAAATTTGCTATTGTGATGCTAGGGCTAACCCAGATCCTGTGCATGCTAGGGAGGTACTCCACCACTGCACACCCCAGCTAACAGTTGCTTTTCTTATGTCCAATATCCTTTCAAACCTGGCTCTCTGTATAAAATATACTGACTGATAAATCAACTCACTACAAAGCAAATAAATTCAAACAACAATTCTAATTTTTACTTTTTATGATTACCCTTGGCTAGTAAATCTTTTTTTTTTTTTTTGGTTTTTTTTTTTGGTTTTTTTCGAGACAGGGTTTCTCTGTGTAGCTTTGCGCCTTTTCCTGGAACTCACTTGGTAGCCCAGGCTGGTCTCGAACTCACAGAGATCCGCCTGGCTCTGCCTCCCGAGTGCTGGGATTAAAGGCGTGCGCCACCACCGCCCGGCTAAATCTTAATAATACTTAAGCTCTATTATATGTTCTGAAATAAGGTCTTCTAGAAGTCAATTGTTAAGCTTCTCTGATGCAACATTTTCTTTATATTGAAGTGATATAAGCTTCCCTTTACTTTAACTGCAAGTTAAAGTAATGATCAAAAGCCAACAGTGTCAATACAAAAACAACTCACAGAACTATGGCCTGGATTTCCTAATTGATAAAAATTTGCCAACTAAGAGAATGAAACAAAAAAATTGTTTTAATAAAAATAAAAAACCAAGCCGGGCGGTGGTGGCGCACGCCTTTAATCCCAGCACTCGGGAGGCAGAGCCAGGAGGATCTCTGTGAGTTCGAGGCCAGCCTGGTCTCCAAAGTGAGTTCCAGGAAAGGCGCAAAGCTACACAGAGAAACCTTGTCTCGAAAAACCAAAAAAATAAAAATAAAAATAAAAATAAAAAACCAAAACCCACCTAAAGGTCAAAGTCCACACTGAACTTTTTAAGTTCAGCCATAGCCCAGCTATAAACTCTGAGGCTGATAATGAAATTCTTTCCTCTATCCAAAGGTACATTTGTACTGAAATGTGACCAATCAGGCTTTGGTAAGTAAAAATTAACAAGCATGCAGGTCATGGCAGCACAATCCTTCCATCCTAGCATAAGATGCACAGACAGGCAGATATCTGTGAGTTTGAAGCCAGCCTGGTCTATACACTGAATTCCAGGCTAGCAAGGGTTACATAGGGATATCTTGTTTAAAAAAAAAAAAAAAAAAAAAAATTTGCAAGCAAGCATGATGATACGTAACACTCAGGAGGCAAAGGCAGAAGGGTTGCTTCAACATATGAGGTTAGCCCCGTCTACAAAGCCAAATATGGAGTTCCATGCTATCCAGGACTACACAGTAACTCCGTCTTAAAAAAAAAAAAGTAAAAAGCTAAAAAATGGCTATCTCATATACTTGTCAGTATGTGTATGATAGCAGAATCAGCTGATAAAATTCTAATCAGCGGGCCAGGTAGTGGTGGCGCATGCCTTTAATCCCAGCACTCGAGAGGCAGAGCCAGGAGGATCTCTGTGAGTTCGAGGCCAGCCTGATCTATAGAGCAAGATCCAGGAAAGGCACCAAAACTACACAGAGAAACCCTGTCTCGAAACCACGCCCCCGTCCCGCCCCGACCCGCCCCACCCTGCCCCCCCCCCCCCCCCGCAAAATTCTAATCAGTGAATTAATAGTTATACAATATATAATGTAAAACAGAACTCTGATTTTAATATAATTACAATAGAATATATTCAGAACTGGAAAATCCAGAGTCAAATAGATTTAAAGCCTATGTTGTCAGAAAGAATATAAACTTACCCGATTCTCATCATAAATAATTTGGACAATACTACGGTGTTTCTGCTCCACAGGAGGAGGGGACACAGGCTTCTCCGGCTCAGGAGGCTTAGCTGCTTCTTCTTCTAGCTGTTGCTAAGAAATCCAGAAAGAACTGTCAGACATTTGCTGCAGATCACCAATCAGCAGCCAAAGATAGCACATGCTACACCGTGCACTTCTTGTAGAATCTATAGGGTAATCGTTTACAAGGCTCTCAAGGATCCAAGAGCTCAAGGCAAAATAACCAGATGCATTTTAATAACTAAATATCATAAATCATAGTAAGATAGACAGACAGATGTAAAACCAATGGAGAAAATTTTGACTATTTCAATTCTGATAAAGGAAACACAAAAAAGAAACTAAGTTTAAGGAAAGCACCTTATTATAACTCTATCACAATAGTCTTTGATAACATTGGGAAAAGTTACATATTAGAGATACATGGTATTTGTGACAGTTTTGTGGTGAACAGTATGGTAGGAAAGGGTAAAAGGTCTAATTCCCAGCTAAGAATAGTACCATGTCCAAATCCAAACTTTCTATCGATTTAATACTGCTCTTGTCGAGAAGCACTAAACAGCTGGCATATGAATTACAAAGCAAAAGGCTGTGTCAATTTTTAGTCAGTCTGTCTAGGTTTGAGCCTGAAGGCATGATTATAGTATTTTTTTCCTAGAATTTAAGCAAATATCTAGGCCACTCATACAAGAAGGGATAACAACACTATTCAACATATAGTTTTTTGGCAAGGATTAAATGACCTATACTACATATACTCCAACTCTAAATGCCCAGTAAATGTTACCTATTACTATAAACAGGAATTTGCTTTTATTGTCTTTTTTTCAGTACCTAAAACCTAGTAAATGCTCAACAAATATCCAAATTGATTACTAGGTAAAAATAAAGTCTAGCATAAGGGAAGAGGAAAAAAAATGACCTGTACTACCAAGGAAGACCAACAGCAAGGTACTGTAAGTTAAGCCATACCCACTTGAAAAGAGCAATCTTCCCAACAAGGACTGGGGATGTAAATGACAAGATGGGAAGTGGGGGGAGAAACACAGAAAAGAGAAATGTGCCTAGCATGCAAAGAGGCCCAGAGTTTACTGATCACTAGACCAATGGAAAAGTAGCTAGGCTTAATAGCACATGCTTTTAATACCAATGCTGAGAAGGCAGACACAGGTAGGGGCTCTCACGGCCAGCCAGCCTTCCCTGATGGAGTGCTCCAGGCCAATGAGAGACGCTGTCTCCAAAACTAAGGTTGATGGCTCCAAAAGAACAAAAGTTGACGCTGCCCTCTGGCCCCTACCTGAACACACAGCCTCATGCACACAGCCTCATCATGTACACCTGAGGCTGTCCTCTGGCCACTGTGTGCATACTGAGTCCATCACATACACCTGAGACTGTCCTCTGGCCACTGTGTGCATACTGAGTTCATTATGTACACCTGAGACTGTCCTCTGGCCACTGTGTGCACACTGAGTACATCATGCACACCTGAGGCTATCCTCTGGCCACTGTGTGCACACTGAATAAGTACATCATGCACACCTAAGGCTGTCCTCTGGCCTCTGTGTGCACACTGAGTCCATCACATACACCTGAGACTGTCCTCTGGCCACTGTGTGCACACTGAGTCCATCACATACACCTGAGGCTGTCCTCTGGCCACTGTGTGCACACTGAGTTTATCATGCACACCTGAGACTGTCCTCTGGCTTCCACATGCCACACAACACTATCATGTAGGCATTCACAAACACTCACATGCAAAGATAAATATAAACTAATAACAGACTGAAGAATCTGCTTAAAGAAGTGATACTCTCAGCATTACCGCGCATGAGGCCCAGCATCATGAAAGGAAAAAGAAGGGGTATTGAAAATAAGGAAGAAAGAATTAAATGACTTGGAATAAAACCCCAAAAATGGAAATAAATAGAAATTTATTGTAGAGAATTCACTTATACCCTCCAAAAAGATGGGAAAACTTACTTCTAGATGAAATATAACTGAATTAAAAAAAAAAAAACTTGAATCACCAATAGGAAAAATTTTCACAAACACACACACACACACACACACACACACACACACACACACACACGACTCTCCATTAGATCAAGCTGATTTAACCAATGTTTAAGTTCTGCCAAACATTCCAGAACAAAATAACTGCAATATTTAACCATCTCAGAGTTTAGAAATGGTACATGTTAAAATCTTACCAAAACCAGACAAGGACAGGTAAGAAAGAAACAGTAGAGGCTAGCAAGATCGTGTAGTAGGTAAAGGCACTTGCCTGATGACCTGAGCGCTGTACATGGAATCCATGTAAAGGAGGAAAGAGTTAAGTAAGTCAACAAAGCTGTCTGTCCTGTGACCTCTATGCCCACTGGGCATGTGCACGCACACATTTCTGAAAAGACATGTACACACATTTTGTTTTTGTTTTTGTTTGTTTGGTTTTTGTTTTTTGAGACAGGGTTTCTCTGTGTAGCCTTAGTTGTTCTGGAACTCGCTCTGTAGACCAGGCTGACCTCAAATTCATAAAGATCTGACTGCTTCTGCCTCCCAAGTGCTGAGGCTAAAGGTGTGCACCACCACCACTGGCACAAGTAATACTTTTTAAAGAAAGGAACAGTATAAACTAGCTGGTTGCAGTAGCTCACCACTCTAATTCCATCACTCAAGAGATTCAAAGGTAGGAGGATTACACTGAGTTAGTTCCAAGTCAGTCTAATGCATCAGGGTTCAGAGCCAATCTGGGTTACATACACGACCCCATCTCAAAAGTAACAAAACAATCAAAACTATTATAACCTAATCCCTTTCATGAATTTAAATTCCCAAATAAATACTGTTAAATTAAACTAGCAATTGATAAACAAACAAATAAAAAAGGCACCAGGCATTGGTGGTGAACGCCTTTAATCCCAGCTCCCAGCACTTGGGAGGCAAAGCAAGCAGATCTCTGTGAGTTCAAGGCTAGCCTGGTCTACAGAGTAAATTCCCAGACTACCTAGTAAGACCCTGTCTTGGTTTAAAGAAAAAAAAAAAAAAAGATAATGTGGACAAATAAAGCTAAACCTAGAGCTGCGCAGGTGATCTGAAACCAGCACTAAAACAGGGGCTTACTAAGAGATCAAAAGGAGAAAACTATATGACTAGCAAACAAATGTAAAATAAGCACTTCTTTGTAACTAAAACTCAACATTCTTTTATTACTAAAATACTTGCAGACAGGCATAATGGCTCACACCTAAAATCCCAATATTCAGGAGGCTGAGACAAGAGTACGAGGTCAGCCAGGGCTATCAAGGCCAGCCAGGGCTACCAAGGAAGATTCTGTCTAAATGAAAAGAGAAAGGGATATCTTTACATGTCAGGAAAATACAGGATTTCTCAACATGATGAATTTCTACAAAAACTTAGAATAAATTCAATAATAAAATAAGACATTATTTTAAAACATAAGGCAACAGAAAAATAGCAATAAAAACTGGAAAGAAACAAAACTTCCACTTTTAAAAAACAGCTGACATGAGCATTAATTACACAGAAAAGCAAATCTAAAACTAAATCATAAGTGTAATTTTTTTTTGTTTTAAAAGTGAGTTTTTATTATGACATATTAAAAATTCTGTGTGTGGTGTGTGAGCATTGGATGTATTTGCTATTTTTTGAGACAGCGTCTGACACAGAACCAGAAGCCTACTGTTTGGTTAGGCTAGCTAGCTGCAGAGCCCCACTCCCTTACTGCAGAGGTTACAGGACTTAGCTGTCACCCTGGCTTTTTACTTGTGTTCTTGTCTTTGAGCTCTGGTCCCTGATGTATACAGCAGGCACTCTACTGCCTGAGCCATCTCCCTTGCCTAGTGCAAGTATTAACTGTTCCTCCATCCCAGACCTCAGTGTGGTGTGAGAACCCCTGGGGAAGGGGGACGAAGAGGCTTCTTGGAGATCCTTTCTAGAGGTCAAAGCTATTTTCTGTCTTGAAATACGGTCTTACTATGTAGTCCTAGCTGGCCTGGAACTCCTCCCTGTATACCAGGCAGGCCTCGAACTCACAGAGATTGATCTGCTTCTGTTACTTGAGTGCCTGGATTTAAGGTGTGCACCACCACACCACACCAAAGTATTGTCTTTCTTTTTTTTTTTTTAATGCCGAATGCCGTTTATTGAAGGAGGGAGGAGGTCTTGAATACAGGCTTACAGCACAATGGGAGAACCCTGGAGGGCAGAAGTTCGCTACAGATGTTTTACCATCTTGCATCTAAGCTGTTAACGCCCATTATGCAGGATACATAGACAAGGAACTTCCCTTAAGCATTCAGGAGGGTGAAACCTGGGAGAGAATTAGCATAAGGAGGATATCAAGGTCAAAACCATAATTTTTAAAGTACTAACAATGGGATGGGGAGAGAACTCAGTGGGTAAAGGACCTGAGCTTCATGTGTAGCATCTACATAGAAGCTGGGATAAGTAGCACACCTCTGTACTCCAGTGCTGGAGAGCAGACCAGGAAGATCCCTATGGCTCACCAGAGAACAAGCCTCACCAACTGGTGAGCTCCAGGTTGAGTGCTAGACCCTGTCTCAAAAGAGTAAGGTGGAAAGAGATAACACCCAACATGAACTTCTGGCTATCACATATTACGTACACAGAAGTGCAGCAACACACACAAACGTGTACATGTGTACAACACACACACAAAACTGGGGCCAGCCAAATGGCTCAGCAGGTGAAGGTACTTGTTACCAGGCTTATTACTGGATTCAAGCCCCGGGTCCTACACAGTGGAAGAAGAGGACCAACCCCCAAAAGCTATTCCCTGACCTCCACACACACATTATAGTACACATGTTAACATACACAATAAATGAATGGAATTTCAGAAAGTAATTAGAATACATATCCAGAGGTCCTGAGTTCAATTCCTAGCAACCACATGGTGGCTCACAACCACCTCTAATGGGATCTGATGCCCTCTTCTGGCATAAAGGCATACATGTAGATAGAGCACGCATACATAAAATAAATAAATCTTAAAAAAATAAATAAATAATAAAAATAAGTACATCTTAAAAGATATGGTTGAAGTAATAGAGGAAAGAAACCTCTGGCCTTCACATGTGCATACATGAGCAAGCACAAACACACATACACACACAAATTCCTAAAACTCAACAATAAAAAGACAAAAGATGTGAATAGACATAGATCTAGGAAATAAGTATAAATATCCATTAAACACATGCAAAGACACTCAACATTATCATTAAGAAAAATATTATTAAGGAGATACAAAGTAAAATCACAGCAAGACATTAGTTCACATCTACTAAGACGGATATTTCAAAAAGAAAACAAAAGTCGGGTGTAGTGTTGCATCCCTTTAACCGTAATACAATAAGCTGAGGGAGGAGAGTCCAGATCTCAACACCAGCTGTGCTACATAGAGAGAAGCCTTCCACCACCTATGTTACATAGGGAGAGGGTAGGAAGAGGGGAGAAAACTCACGCTGGCAAAGAAAGAAAACAAGACACACCTCCTAAGTACCAGCAGTTTCACAGTACCTAAATGCTTACATATGGTTTTACCACATGACTCAAAAATTCTACTCCTAGGTATATATCCAAGAAGACTGAAAACAAACAAACAAAAAGATCCACATAAAAACTGGTACATGAATGTGACAGCATAATAAAAAAGAAAGCAGCCATGGAAGAAAACTGGTTAATTCTAGTTTGTGATTTTTACTTACATTTTTTTTTATAAAGCTTAAAATTAAAAAAAAAAATTTAAGTAGATATGGGCTGGAGAGTTTGATTCCCATCACCCAAATGAGGAAGCCCATAACTACCTGTGATTCCTGCCCCCCAAGGAATCTGACACTTTCTCTGGCCTCTGAAGGCACACATACACATATACATAAATAAGAAATAAACCTTTAAAAAAGATAGACAACCCAAATGTCTATCAATTAATGAATAGATGAATAAAATACTGTATGGTTCTACAATGGAATCAATTTAGTCAGTAACAATTTTAAAATGTTGATGCTCCAGGCGGCAGTATCACATGCACTTGGGAGGCAGAGCCAGGCGGATCTCTTTGAGTTCAAGGCCAGCCTGGTTTACAAAGCAAGCTCCAAGACAGGCAAAAACTACACAGAGAAACCTGGTCTTGAAAAATCAAAACAAACAAAAAATGTTGATGCAAATACATCATAGGCAATTCTTGAAAATATGTCATAGGATTCTATTTAACTAAACAGGTAATTCATACAGACAGAAATAGACAAGTAGATTCCAGGAGACAAGCAGTATTAGAAACAGACACTAAGTACTAATGAATAACGGGTTTCTTTTAGAAGTCACAAAAATGTTTTAGATTCAATAGTGGTGATAATCTGCAAAAATTTATGAATATATTACAAGTACTTAATTCCACACCTTGAAAGAATAAATACTGTGGTGTGAATTACATCTCAGTTTTAAAAGGTGATAGAATGAATCTATAGTCCCAGCTACTCAGGAAATGAAGCAGGGGGATCATTAGAACCTATTAAGTTAGTGTCAACCTAGGCAAAATTTATTGTCACCCTAGGCAACATAATCAATGAGAACTTATCTTAAAAAAGTCCAACTCCCTCCTCAAATAAAACTATTAAAAAAAAATGAAATGATATACTAGGAAATTTTAACAGTTAAAAAAAGAGAGAATATCTGCACACGAAGAATACAGAAGGCATAACATGAAAATAAGCTCAGCCTCATTCCTAATCAAGACAATGCAAATTAATTAAAACTATTTCACATCCATTTTATTGAAAAATAAAACTATCCTGTAAAGACAAGGAGAAGCACAAACTGGTAGGCATATATGCTGCCACTGGGGAGATAAAATAAATTACATTTTAGCAACCTTAGTAACTAACACACAAAGACACCATACAGCATAGTACAGCAGGAGAAATAAAGGAATGAAACAGAAGAAACGAACAGTGCTGAAGAGTAAGCAGAGCACAAGGCCCATCAAAGGCATGGCTGCTCTTCACACCACCTTCTAGCACACAGACTGTGTTGAGCAAGGAGTCCAGCACTTACTTGCTTCTTTTTCAGTTTAAGGATCTGCTGCTCTACTTTTGCAATCTCTCGATCTACTCGGTCCATACTCTGTATTAACTCTTCTTTTGAAAGCTTTGAAGGTGAAGCGTTTTGATCATCTCCACATGGTTGCCCAGACAGTGGAGAGGATGGAGCTTCATGTTTGCCTCCAAATGCTGGATCCTTTAGAAGAAATATAATAAACAACAATTTATTTCTCACTAACAGCCAATGTTAGCATCAAGACTGTCTGAACAGAAAATGTAAACTTTAAAACACAGCAGAGTGTCTGTCTCTGTCACTCTGAGCATATAAACAGCCTTTATTTGTTGCAATGGTAAACGAAGACTGTAAACATGTCAACTACCACTCCTAGGTGACATAAACAGACACCATCCCTACCCTTCAACAGCAGTGTGCTATTTCTCTAATGGCAATAAATTCTCATATTCACACATACTTGCAAATATATATAAAACAAAACACAGATGTTTATACTACTTTTATAATACAGTATTCATTATTTGTTTTTTTACGATTGTGTGTGTGTGTCTGTGTCTGTGTATGTGTCCATCCACCTTACCACTTTTTTGTTTGTTTGTTTTGTTTTTCAACACAGGGTTTCTCTGTGCAGCTTTGGAGCTTATGCTGGAACTCGCTGTGTAGACCAGGCTAGTCTTAAAATCACAAAGATCCGCCTGCCTCTGCCTCCTGAATGCTGGGATTAAAGGCGTGTGCCACCACTGCGTGGCTTACCTTACCATTATTAAGCCAAGAGTTCCTATTAAAAAATTTTTTTGGATCTTTGGATATAGCTTGGTGATGGGATCCATGTTCAGCAGGATGAGGCCCTGAGCTCAATCTCTAGCACCAAAATGTTTTCAGTATTGCCAAAGACCAAAATTGAGGCATGAAGTCATACTACAGCACATGTGCCATCTCTTTAGCATAAAAGATCTTCCCACACATTTATCAAAAAAAAAAATCTTTATCCCATTCCACCCACAAATCAGCAGTGATCCATTAATAATGGAAATCCCTCTACCAAAAATCTACCACCTCATCCCAACACACACACACACACACACACACACACACACACAAAATTTCCAGTCTAAGATAAACATACAAGCAGTTTATTAAACACATCATTTTTGGAGAGGGGTACTATTTTTCCCTAGGTTATAGAATGTTCAGAGCAAGAATAGTTAGAAAGACTACAGAACCTAAAACATACCAAACAATGATTTAAAAAAAAAAATCAGTAGTTCTGAATCAGGAGTGCCCTAGAAGACAATTTGAATTGTGTCCAAACACAATTTCAGCTAAAATATATGTAATGCTAAAAAGCCTCAAAACACTATGCACATAATGTAAAAAGGTATTCTGGATAAAATAAAATCATAGCTATACCCTAAACCTGTAGAACTCCATAAATAAAGCATTAACAAAAAATAGTAATAATTCTCCCTAGACTCAATAATCCAGTTAAGTTTCAGTACTTTTGCATTAGTGTATAAACTCCAGCGGCCTGGAACCCTCACTTCATTCTTCCTCTATTAAAATGTAAATTCTTGGGTTCAAAAGGGAATTAAGTTTCTTATAAAAAAATTCAATTTTTGGCTGTGACTATTGCCATCAACCTTCAAAAGCAAAAAGGACAAGGGAATGTGTCTTTATGACATCAATGCAGAAAATTCAAATCTTCATCAACATTGCATAAGATACAGCAAATCAGCTAGCTAATATCTGCAAAAAATGAATACAGACTTTTCAAATTTTCTTTTGTTACAAGGCCTTGTAATTATGAGAATTTATTTCTGAGAACCTTGAAATGTGTGTGTGTGTGTGTGTGTGTGTGTGTGTGTGTGTGTGTGTGTGTGTGTGTTTTCAAGATGGGGTTTCTGTGTGTAACTTCTCTGGCTGTCCTGGAACTTGTTCTGTAAGACCAGGCTGGTCTCAAGCTCAGAGATCCTCCTGCCTCTGCTTCCAGAGTGTTGAGATTAAAGGCATGCACCATCACCTGGTAATAAAACTCTTGACTTTCCTACCACATGCACATGAGATAGTTTGTACCACAGAGATATGTATTCTAACAAGCAGATTATGAAAATGTTTTTAAAAACTTGTTCTAAAACTTGTTTTATACATATTCTAAAAACGTACAAATCACTAATTTCCCTTTCTGAATTAACAGTAAAAATATTTAACCAAAGACAAATTTCTTGAATGCCTCCTTTTATGACAGGATTGGAACAGCCTGATAGCTACTTAGAGTAAGAATTAGACTTCCTTTTTTGGGGAGAGGGGGCATGTGTATTATGTCTACATTTTTAATTATATCCTTGGGGTCTATTTTTAAAAATACAAAGAAAGAAAGGATATAAAAGAAGGATAGGAAAACAGAGTTGATGGACCATGAAGCGCAGGAAGGCGTTGGGGATCCTGTATTTTCATTCCAACTCAAGAGACATAACCTAAGGTCACTGAAGTTTTTACTAGCATGTTTTCTCAACTATAAAATGGAAATAACTCATATACAATGAGCATGCCACATTTTAATGAGTTTTAAGATCCCCTTTCTACAGCTATAAAATATATATGGGATAATTTACTCTGTGTCAGAAGACTGTATATTTAAATTTTGTTCCTTTTAGTGCATCAAGGGCTTTCTTGTAAACCCTAAATACTGTAACAGTGATAATCCATGTGGTATGATAATCTCACAACTCCCAGAGGCTCACCTAATTACTACCTACCACAAAGAGCTTGTGCCCACTTAATATATGATCTCAACAATTTAAATAAAAGACAAAAGCACATGATATCCATCTACCCTTCCTGCAGGTTCACTGGTTTTTGTTATACTTGTTTTCTCATTATGCACACAGTTTTGTTTCTTTTCTGGCTGAACTACCTGAAAATAAATTATAAAGTATATATGGGTTCTAACTCTATGGAGCTGTGTAATTAAATGGAAGATCATGAAAATATGTTAATAACAAAAGGTGTCTAAATGCACAATAACCAAAAATTAATCCAAAACGTAATGAATTTGAGGTTTCTGGCAGTATTTGCGCATCTCACAGTTATACTCCAGCTGCGTTCTGCACATACATGCACACTTCGCCCCATAGATGTCATCCTACAAAAGGAGTTGCCTGAAACACCTGGGCTTAGATTCAAGACGACTCTACCCTGAGCCTGGTAGATGGTTCAACTGATAAAGCATTTGCTATGCAAATGTAAGGACAGGCTGGGCATCGTGGCACACACCTTAAACCTAGCATTCAGGAGGCAGAGGCAGGTGGATCCCTGAGTTTGAGGCCAGCCTGGTCTACAGAGTGAGTTCCAGAACAGCCAACACAGAGATCTTGTCTGGGGGGTGGGGAGGGCATGAGGACAGGAATTCAGATACCCAGCACACATGCACAATAGCAAAGCAAGTGTGGTAGCCTATCTATAACCACAATGTTCAGAAAGTAGAGACAGGATTCCCCAGGGAAACTAGCTGGGCAGACTAGCTGAATGGATAGTGAATGACCCCACCTCAGTAAATAAAATAAAATGAAGAGCTATTAAAAAAGGCAATCAACATCAGCCTCTGGCTCCACACTACATGCACACTCATACACAAGCCCTCACACATGCAAAAATGCACACATGCATGCACACACACACCATACATATACATTATACAAAGTTTTCTGATCATATAGAAACAAAATGGTTTAATTATGGAAATAAAAACTAAATACTTTCATACTATCATTATTTAATATGTATCACATTAATGTATCTTTAGACTGTGTTACAATGTTTGGTTTTAGATATTACTGGCTGAGCTGCTGGCTTGAGTTTCAGAAGAAATTAACTGAGACCAAGCAGGATAGCTCACGCCTCTAATTCTGGCACTAGGAGAGTAGAAGTAGGATTAGGAGTTCAAAGTCAGTCTTGTGAAATAGCAAATCAAGGCTATGAGACCTTGTCTTACAAAGCAAAAAAAAAAAAAAAAAAAAAAAAAAGGAGGTGAAGAGGGGGTGGTGTCACTAATTAAATTTTGAGTTAGACTAATTTAAAATTTCCAACAATTTTTGAAATGCCCGACAATATTTCTGTCATTTGTACAAACAAGCATTCAAAGCACTGACACTTATAAGACCAAAATACCAGTAGACCATGAGAAACAAGTATCAAGGATTCAACGAAGATTTCTTTGTGTAAAAATAAAAAAGCAGCTGAGTGTGGTGGCTTACACCTAAAACCCTAGCACTCTGCAGGCAGAAGCAGAAGGATTACTACAAATGAGAGACCAGCCGTAAGTAGTGGAGATGAAGACGAGGCTAGAGAACTGGCTCAGAAGGTAAAGGCACGTATTACCAAGCCTGGCAGCCTGAGTGTAACAGGATCCACGTGGTAGAAAGAGAACCAACTCACAAAAGCTATCTTCTTGCCTACACACACACACACACACACACACACACCGCTTGAATAAAAATAATTCACTCTTAAATGGGAGAGGTGGCCCAGTGGTTATCGAGCATCCCGCCACATTGCTCTGGCAGAGGACCCAGAGTCAGTCCCTAGCACTCATGTCAGGTGGTTCACAACTGCTCGTTAACTCCAGCTCTAGAGGCTCTGACGTCCTTTTCTGGCTTTCTCAGCTATCTACACTCACATGTCCACATCCAGACATCCACATACACATATAATTAAAATTTTATTTAAAAATTTTAAAGACAAAATGATACTGAGAAACCATTAATACATATTAGTAAAAAGGTTACAGGGTAGAAATGTAGCTCAGTGCTAGAGTAGTGTACAAGTGTACAAGGCCCTCACATCACAAACAATAAAAGGTTAATGTAGCACAATTGAAGAGTTTCTTAAATTTTTTATTCTAAAATAAATATCCACTCATGTTAAACATCTGCTAATGTACATATTTAATGAGATGTAAAATAGATAATTAAAACTATATCCACAGCAATATAATAAGAACATAACAGACACATACAATCACAAAAGAAAGTAATAAACGCCGGGTGGTGGTGGCGCACACCTTTAATCCCAGCACCCAGGAGAGTCAGGCAGATCTCTGTGAGTTCGAGGCCAACCTGGTTTATAGAATGAGTTCCAGGACAGGCTCCAAAGCTACACAGAGAAACCCTGTCTCAAAACAAAACCAAAAAAAAAAGAAAGTAATAAACATAAGGGGGAAATTATTTGATCTCAAAAAACCCTTAAGTTAATACAGTATATTATTCAAAATGTCATGAAATATTTAATATTTAAAGCAGTTAGATAATGAGGATTTAGTTATAATTAATAATGCATTGTATACTTGAAAGTTGCTAAAATTTTAGTTGTTAATGACACAAAAATAATTGTTAAGTACATAGTGACAGATATGTCAATTATTTGATTTAATCATTCCATAATGAACAAATAAAGAATATCACACTGAACACTGGTTATCACACTATAACCAGCTTCTAGTTAACAACTAATGAGAACAGGAGGTTGTCATCAATAGTTATAAATTACAGAAAATGTTTTCTTTTATAATCTCTCTCTTTTAAGGATTTATTTATTTATTATGTATACAGGGTTCTGCCTGCATGTATGCAGATCTCATTACAGATGGTTGTGAACTACCATGTGGTTCCTGGGAATTAAACTCAAGATCTCTGAAAGAGCAACCTCTTAACCTCTGAGCCATCTCTCCAGGATCCTCTTTTTTTCTTTTTCTTTTTTTTTCCTTTTCTTTCTTTAAAAATCAAAAAAATAAATAAGGTCTCATATATCCCAGAGAGATCTTCCCAGGTATGCCCACCACCATGACTGGAAATCAATCTTAAAGTTTAAGTGTGTAATAGTTATATAATTCTGCAACCATTTTCTTTAGATAAAAATTATAAATAGTCAAACCTTAGATAAAACTTTATCCTATGTACCCATGTAACTAAGTATCCTATGCTAATAAATTAAAAGGGCTTTTTAAAAACTGACAAAATTTGCCAGGCATGGTGGAGTACAGAGAATTCAGAGGCAGGAGGATTTCTGTGAGCCAGTTTGATCTATACTGTAAATTCCAGACCATCTGGGCTAGATATGTATAACCTATCTCAAAGAGAGGGGGAAAAATCCCCCCCCCAACAAAACTCAGACAATAAGACTGTTTTCTGCAAAGCCTGATGACCTGAGTTAAATCCCCAGGATGCACAGGATGAAAGGAGAAAACTGACTCCTAAAAGTTGTCTTCTGACCTCCATCCACATGCATGCCATGGTGCATAAGCCCTCCCTGCCACCACACAATTAAGACAAATTTGACCAAACTGACTGTCTTTAGTACCTCTGACCACATTTTGTAGTATAGCATATCAACACAAAATGCATGAGAATTAGTCAAAAGAGACTTCTTTATTGAACTCCTCAAACTGTTTTCACTCTCCAAAAAGTCAAAGGTACTAACTAGAATCTGGAGCACTTAGTCTGTGGTTTATAGTTTTGCTTAACAACATTTCACTCCCATAGCACTAACCTTTAGAGGCTGCTGTAATGTGGGCTTTTCTTTTAGGCCCTGTGCCTGAAATACGGTTACATAAACATTATAGACCTAAGCTACAAAGAACAAGAAAACAAACATTTACCTTCTTAGTGTCTGCAGACGACCTCAACCCTTCTGGCAACGTGTGAACTAAAGGTAAAACAGCAGCACTAACACGCTGGAAATGGGCATCAGAAACTGGCTCCAGGCGTGGCCGCTTGGACTCCAATGAATCATGATCCACTGGTGAGGGGCCTGAGTGAAACTGTTCATATCCAGTTCTTCTTTCTTGAGGCCTAATACAAAAAGAACAACAACAACAAAAAGCAAAAAAGCAAAAAACACCTGAAAATTGTTAAGTGACATTTAACTCCTTGCTAATACCCCAGTTGAACTTCAGAATGAATGAAGGTTATGCTTACTTTCAAAATAAACTGCCACTCCCTATACCTATGCCAGAATAACATTCAGGCATGCCCAACTCAATGCCCATACACCACATGTATCCCAGGACAGCTATGCATGAAGCACAACACATTTATAGATAATGAAGTCATGTCACAATGTCAAAAGCCTAGACACACCTGAACCTCACTCAAATATTATTAACACTTCTAACTAAATACCTCTTTGAGAGGAAGAGGAAGTTCTATAGAAAAATCTAGAAATGAAAGTCTTAAAACAAGATTTTGATTTGTAAAATTATCTTGAGTTACTGAAAAACATCCATAAAATATATTTTAAGCATGCAAGCATAAGGACTTCAGTTCAGATCACCAGAACCTATGTAAAGCTGGCCACTTGACCACACTCGTGTGTGCACATGCACATACACAGATTTTTTTTTAAAAAGACTTTTATTTTAGCCAGGTAGTGGTGGTGGTACATGCCTTTTAATCTCAGAACTCGGGAGGCAGAGGCAGACAGATCTCTAATTTCAAGGCCAGCCCAGTCTACAAAGCATATTCCAGAACAGCCTGGGCGACACAGAGAAACCATTCAGGAAACAAAAAAACAAACAAAAACAAAAAAAGATTTTTATTTTATGTGGATGAGCATTTAACTGAACATACATAAGTGCATCACATGCATGTCTGGTACCTGGAGAATCCAGAAAAGGATATCAATTCCCAGAACTGGAGTTACTAATGGTTGTGAGCCACAATATGGATGCTGGAACCAAACTTGGGTCCTCTGCAAGAGCAGCAAGTGCTCTCAACCACTAAGAAACCTCTACAGCCCTCCCACACACTTTTTTTTATTTAAATGTTTTAAGAATTTAAATCAAGATATGAAGACCCAAGAATAAGACCATGATCCAAAGCTAAAGTAACCAAGAGAAGCACCCTGTACTAAGCAGCCAGAAGTAATTTATCAAAGAATAGCAGCTGGTCAAGCTCTTGGTCTCAAGAGATTGGAGCTACTCTTAACTTTGGTCAGAAAAGCTTCTTACTGAAGAGACGTCTGCCTGTTCAAGTGCTGACAAGAGGTAACTGTTGAGTGCTCAGCTATATATTTAATATATATATTACACACGCACCCTCCAAAGCTCAGAGAACATCACAGCAGAGGGGCAGAAAGTATGTAAGGGCTGGGGCTGGAGAGAAGGTTCAGTGGTTAAGAGCCCTACTGGCTACTCTCACAGAGGACCCAGGTTCAATTCCCAGCACCCAGATGGTAGCTCACAACTATTTGTAACTCAAGTTCCAGAGCCCAAAACCCTCTTCCTGTCCTACTGAGTACCAAGCATACATGTGGTGCACATACACATACATGCAGGCAAAACACTCATATGATTAAAAATAATAATAATAATTAAATTTTTTAAAGAATGTTAAGAGCCAGGAAGGAGTGCTGTGAAATGCTGACATCTGGACAAGACACAGCTGTCATACTCAGGAACTCACAGCAGCTGTGGTAACACACAAAGATCCAGCCAGTTAAAAAATCCCAGCATGGAGAGGGGAAAAGTTCCTGATGGCCCAACACAACTGAGTAGCTATTGGCAGTTAATAGTTGCTGAGAGGAGTTAGTCACTGTTCCTTAAGAGGAATGCCCATGCGCTCAGAGATGCACTGATCTGCAAATGGGCAACACTTACAGAAATTAGTGAGTCACAAAAAAAAAAAAAAAGAGAGAGAGAGAGAGAAAAGAGAGGAGGAGGAGAAGGAAGAGGAGGTGAAAAAGATGAAATTGGGAGAAAAATGTTTTGAGGGGACCTGAGTGTGGGGGTGGGGGATATGACCAAGATACATTGCACACATGTATGAAATTTTCAAAGAATTAAAAATTAAGTTCAGCATTTGTCATGAGGCTAAAGGTCATGGCAATCCATATAGCACATAAAAAAGAAGCTATTTCAAGGCTACAGGAAAATGTTCAGTGTAATTTCAAATTTTTCCCTTTCTATAAATAACTGTGACTTTCCATGGCAGTCTGAGTGTCTAAGCTAGATTTAAGTCCTTTACTGCCCACTGTGCTAGGAACCCTCATTCAGTCTACAGTCCTACAAAGGTGTAATTGGCCACTGTGGATACATCTGGTTGGTAGCATGTTTACCTAGCATACAAAAAGTCCTAGATCTACCACATATGCCAGACAGGCTGGTAAACACCTTCAACGTCACCATTCAGGTCGTTGGGGGGGGGGGGGGGGGTAACATCTAATTACATTTTACTTCTAACAACTCTTGACTGTGAGATTTATTAAAACCAGAAGGTAAAACATACCCAATACTGGAGAATAACAGAAGATAGAACTGAAGATGATCATAATGATAAATATAAATTTTAAAAATAAAAAAATTCAAAAATAAACTTGCTAGAAGGCAAGATAAAGAGTTATGAAAAACATAAAGGTGTTTAGAGAGTTTCCTGAAAATTCTACTTTAGAAAAATAAACTCACTATGTGTACACTTTTCAAAGGCATGCCTTTAAAGATTCTAAACATACCTTACTAGTAGGTGTTTGCAAGCTGTGCTTTTTTTTTTAAATCCTATCAAAGTTTAACATTTCCATGTGTTCAGGAGGCAGAACCAGGAATCTCTGTGAGTTTGAGGCCAGCCTGGTCTACAAAGTAAGTTCCAGGACAGGCTCCAAAGCTACAAAGAGAAATCCTGTCTTGAAAACTCCCCCCAACAACAACAACAAAAAACAAACAAGCAAAAAAATCCATGTATTATTTAAATAGGTCCATTATTTAAAATTTAATTTAATATTTAACATTGCTTAATATGGATTTTTAAAGTTTACATAGGCTTATAACTATCAGTCCCTTCCCGTGGCTTTCATTCTTTGTTTAGCTGGATTCCATCGCCTACAAATTCTATAATAAGTTTTGGACGCTCAGTGTTTTCATGTCTAAAAATACCTGCCTGTTGCTTTAAGGCTTAATTTTGTCTGATATAATATCTTGGATCTTAATTTTTCTCAGAATTTTAAGCTACTGCTTCATTATCTCCTACAACTAACTAAGCTCTATTCAGGTTTAGAACCAGACACTGGCCGTGTGAATGTGATGCACGCCTTTAATCCCAGCACTCGGGAGGCAGAGACAGGCAGATCTCTGTGAGTTCAAGGACAGCCTGGTCTACAGAGCGAGATCCAGGAAAGGCGCAAAGCTACACAGAGAAACCCTGTCTCGGAAAAAAAAAAATGTTTAAAAAGTTTCTGCTGACAAACAGTAAATTAGAAAATTGTTATCTGGCCGGGCGGTGGTAGCGCACGCCTTTAATCCCAGCACTCGGGAGGCAGAGCCAGGCGGATCTCTGTGAGTTCAAGGCCAGCCTGGGCTACCGAGTGAGTTCCAGGAAAGGCGCAAAGCTACACAGAGAAACCCTGTCTCGAAAAAACAAAACAAAAAAAAAAAAAAAAACAAAAACAAAAAAAAAAGAAAATTGTTATCTGGTATCCAAAATTTATAAAGAATTCAAATAACCCAAAAGATAATTTTATCACCTGGGACTAAGAAAATGGCTCAGCAAATTACACTTGCCACACAAGCTTGAGGACCTGAGTTAAGATCTCCAGGGCCCATGCACAAAACTGAGAAATGGGTGGATTGCTGGAGTTCCAGTTTCAGTGAGAGAATCCATCTCAAAAACTAAAGCAGGTGGAGTTTCAACTTGGTCCCGGCAGAATGGCTCCAGCAAAGAAGGGCAGAAAAAAGAAGGGCCATTCTGCAGTCAACAAGGGGCTGGCTTGGGAAATGTACCACCAATAATCAGAATCACATGACTTCAACAAGTTTGCCTCTCAGGCACTCAAAGAAATCCAGAAATCTGCCATGAAGGAGAAGGGACTCCAGGTATGAGTGCCAATACTAGGCTCCACAAAGCTGTCTGGGCCGAAGAATATTGTATCCATGTACATTTGTCCAGAAAACATAATGAGGATGAGGATTCACCAAACAAGTTCTATGCTTTGGTAACTTGTGTCCCTATTACCTCATTCAAAACCCTACAGAATGTATGCCTGGGGACAGGGAGGAGGAAGCAAATACAGAAGACATCTGACATCTACCTCTAGCCTTCATACACTTTTACAACGACGACGGACAGACATATGGACACACACACACACACACACAAATCGAAATTTTCAAAAGAAGCAAACTGTGGCTACATATTTTTCCAAACAAAAAATAAATAAGACTGCCAAGATGTATGTGAAATGGCATTCAATATTATTAATTAATAGGAAAATGCAAGTCAAAATGACTATAAGATGCCACTTCCCACTAGCCATCCATTAAGATTCCTATTATTGGGCTGGAGAGACGGCTCTGTCACTGCCTGTTCTTCTAAGAAAATCCAAGTTTGATTCCTAACAGCCACAGGGTTACAACTGTCTGTAACTACAGACCTAGGAGAGGTAGTGCCCTCTTCTGGACTCTGTGGGCACTGCACATGTGGTGCACAGACACACATGAAGGCAAAACACCAATATGCAAAATATCAAACAAATGGCAGGATGTGGTGTCACACCTGTTTAATCCATCCCTCAGGAGGCAGAGGTAGGTGGATTTCTGTAAATTCAAGACCAACCTCCTCTATATAGTTTGTTCAGGACCAACCAAGGCAACATAGTGACCCTGTCTCTAAATCAATTAATTAATTTAAAATTTTAAAAGACTCCTATTATCAAAAAGAAAATATAGACAAGGATGTAGAAAAAACAAGTCCTTGTACAGTGATGGCAAGTAAAGATTGGTACAGTCACTATTCAAAAGACTATGACAGTTTCTAAGGAAACTAAGGTATCTACACTTTTACATTCATTGAAACATCAACAGTCA